GTTTCCACCTCGAGTCGCGCAAGTTAAATTCTTTTTTCTTATCTTTCTTTGTTCGTTGCGTTTTGGTTGAATCTGGGATAGAGCCCTTTTCTTAAGGGCGAACGGTAACGAGCCATCACGGAACACGAAAAAGTAGCGAAATTCTGCAAATTTTTGGAAACGGACACGCCTCGTTTTCGAATTTACCGTTCGAGAGTCGGAAAGAAATTTTTGGCGCCCACGCAATATCCGTGTACGTTAACGGTATCGCAGCGGTTCTCTCTCCGTTTCTCTCTTTTAAAATTGAAAGACGCCACCGAAGAGATCGCGTCCCCGAGAGGACCAGCCCGTTAAGCGCGTTGCATCCTCTCCGTACCGCGATTTCTCATCCTTTTCGCAACGAAATCGCCCGTGAAACGAGTCTTCTCGCAGCTACGGAAAGGATTTTCGAGGATTCAAAGCGCGGTTCGCCTGATCCTCGCCCTTTCTTTTATTTTTTCCTCTCTTTGTCGAAAGAAGAGAATCGTCGATCGACAATGAAATTTTCTCGGAAACACGGCTAAAAACGAGCAGAAACGAGTAGAAACGAGCAAGAGACACAGAAAGGTAGACGAGAAAAGAGAAGAGCAGGTTTGGAAGAAAATGAAGAGTGGGTGGCCGCGTGAACGTGAACGAGCGAGCAAACCGAACGAACCGAGAGAAAAAGGTAGAGGAGAGGAGAGGAGAGGAGAAGGAGAGAAAGAGAAGAACTGGATGAGGAGAGAGAGAGAGAGAGAGAGAGCAGTGGTTTTTCGTTATCGACATTTTCCAGGACGCGTTAAGGTGTGCGTGAACGTACGTGCGTGAGCTCCTCTCGTTGCCCCCTTTAACGGCGAGAACGCGCGATTGTGTGCGACCGTGTGCAACCGTGTCTGTGCGTAGTTGTAGGTGTCCGTACCGTAGTGTGCGCGAAAATTTCTATGGGTATGTGTGTACGTGTTGGCAGGCATACGGGCAGTGTGTGTGTGTAGAGTTTTCTGGAGGTTTCCCCTAGCAACGAGCAGCAGCACCAGCACCAGCACCAGCCACAGCCCGGCTTAGGGGTAGCTACGAACCCCGCGCGAGACCTCGCTACTCTCTCTCTTCTTCTCCTTCTATTCTCTTTTCTTTCCTCACAATTTTCCATCATCCCGGTCTTTCGCGAACGCGAAACCGTTTCTTACCGTTCGTTATCTTTTTTCTTAGAAATCGCTCGAGATTTTCGTCGCAAACCGTAAAAAATAGGAACGTCGATGTTCCTAGCAGACGAACCGATCGCGAACAAACGGAAAAGATTTTTCTTTCGCGACGCGTTTGTTCTTCGCGGACCAACAACTCGAAAGCTCCGATTTCACGAGGGGAATTCGTAACCTAATCCGAGGAATTTCTGGTAAAAGCGTTGCATTACCAGTGTCGTTATTCCTGTGCCACTGGATCATCCACTGCCTCCGCGAATTCCGCATTGATCCGAACCTTTCGAATCCTTGTTTTTCCAAATCGACCTTGCTAAAGCGAAACGGAAACTTTGATGAAAATAACGAGACCCTTGAAGTTGCGTAGAAAAAAATAAACATTTGTCTTGCAACGCGACAGAACCTTCTCTACGGTCAGTGGTTCGAAGCTTTCCCTACGAAAGCGGAGGGAGCAGAGCAAAGAGAGACGAAAAGAGAGAGCGAGAGAGAGAGTGTGTGTGTATGTGTGTGTGTATGTGCGATGAGGAGAGGAGAGGAGAGAGAGACGGATAGAATCTCTCCATTCCCTCGGCCACCTCTCTCGTCTCACCCCCGTCGGTTGCCCTAGTCGTTTCCAGCAAGTACTTCTATGTACCACCCATCTCCTACACGCTACCCTTATATACCTTGTATATTTACCTTGCTGCCATATACGCGTACCTACGTGTATGTACACATCGGGGCCCGCGATACATAGGTCCGAGCTTCACATAAAAAGTACATAGAATAGTAGGTATAGCACCGACTGAAAATTATTCCGAGTATTTTCGAATTAGCCTGCAAAAACGAACAACTTTGCACGTAGAAAAAAAAAAAAGAAAAAGCTGAATGGGAAATGTACTTTTCATCGATTTACCGACCGTTCGACCGTTCAATTTCCTCGCCTTCTACTTTATTTTCCTGCTCCTTTTCCGACGAACCGATCTCGAATCCTGCGAGCAGCATCGGCGAAAGAAAAACTGATTTCGCGTGGCGTGGCAAGGATCTTCTTTATCGTCGCACCGCGATAACTCGGAAAAGCGTGGCGCGAAACCGCGTTAAAGACCGGTTTTTTCGCCAATCCTTTACTTTAACCTGAAAGCCTCGGGAAACCGGTCGGAGAAATTACAACTGCGTCGGGCGAGCTTGAATTCTTTTTATCCGAGTCACCTTTGCGACGCCTACGTACGGCTTTTTCTATTGTCTGGACGACGCAGCGACTGGAGATTAGGAGGATCGAACGCAGCTGGAGGAGGCGACAGAAAACGGGCACCATGCAGCGAACGCGGGAACAGAAAAGTGCTAACCGCGACTGAAACGTGGTTAAGCCTTTGATCGTATAGTTTGGTCATAGCGGGTCAACAGCAAAGTTTAAACTCCAGTATACGCAGAACGACGTTGAGTACGAAACGTTTGAAAGCAAGAACAAACACGTAATAACTGGAAGTATAGACTTTGCATCGAGACGAACGTATTGCAAACTATTGCGGGTCGAAAACGGCGATGCGACAAGTGGTATTGGAACCGTAACAAGAGCACGGATTTCGCGATCGAGGCACAACCACCTATCGGAAAGGAGCGCGAGAAACGATTACGACGTCGAGTCGCGATAAAAAAAATAAAAATAAAATTAATTCCGGCTCGTCCTTTTCCGTTCGATCGTACAGACCATCCGGCGACCAGATACAGACTCGTTCGAGATATACTTTACGTAACTTTTTCGTTTCGACGAGTTTCTCTTTCGCGACGTCGCGTCGCGTTCTTCTGTCTTCGACAGTTGCGAAGCTAGAAAAATCGCCCTGCCCCGTAATAAACGCGTGTAAAACACGTGACTTCGATGGAGTTTCGATTTTAAGGATGCGAGAAATGACAGCCGTGCGTTTTTAACAGAGTCGTAGACCGCGTATTCTATTATTCAAGGGTGGAATTTAAAAGTGGTCGCGTAAGCAAACTAATGATCATACAGTGTATTGGATGTTTAGATGGAAATTATTACAAACTAGGGTCGATATTTCCCTCGCAAATGTATACGCATAGCAGGTGTCCTCTTTGTTCCATATGGAAACATTCCCACTTTCTAATAATCGTCTTCGGGCTTGTATTACGATAAACATCGACGTTTCAAAGGGAATAAGAAAAAACTGAAAAGCGGAGAGACGTTGGTGGATACTCTGGAAAACTGGGGAATATTATAAAGCTGGTGCGAGAGTACTCGGGCAAATATTGGTTGCGCGTTTGAAACCCCTTTTGCCAGGACTGCAATTTTCGATTTTAACTGAAACAACGTAGGCAGGTTGCATTATAGTGGCTCGTGCAAACTTGATTGTTTGTATTTAGTCTCGAGCGTAATATTTGTGCCGTGGTGCGAGACACCATTACCAAGGCAGTGTACCAAGTATGTATCGGTAGCGAATGCGCGCCGCTTACGCTTCGCGTTCACCTCTGCCTCCGATGACTTTCCCTGATATCGAGTATCACGGCTTTTAGACTCCATCCGCTGGTAAACCGAGCATCGGTCGCTGCAAATTCGATCACAGGTTACTACATCTATTCTCGCACCATCTTCTTTCCAACCTCGGTGCCCGTTTTTTTTTTTTTTTTTGCGAAACCGATCCACCGACGGTAACATTTCGTTGACATAATTTGCCGCGGCCAAGATGACCGTGACTTTCCGCGATCTTGTCGCTAGAAATTATCTCGGTCCAGGTGGTTTCGTTTCCGTTAAGGCGAAACTACACGATCGATCGAGCGCACAGCTGATCGTAATGGCTCTACTTGCCGGGAACTTTGCACGAACACTCGTCGCCAGTGATATCTCCGTCACACACTGTTGCGACTCGAATCTTTTGCCAACTGCGACCATCTCGATTCTCTTTGTAGGTGCAACCTTTCTATCGCTACGTAAACTTGTCCTTTCGTTACGCGTTAACAAGACAAATCGATAGTTCTTTTCATCTTTCACGGAAAGTTGGCCTTGTAATTGAGCGAAAGAGGGTGAATAACAGAGAGAGAGAGAGAGAGAGAGAGGACAATCATAATTGGGGTGTACTTATAGAGAGGACAATTAATTAAGTAGGGTGCACGTGGACTATGGTTCCTTACGATTTCAACCTTTTCGCTCCTCTTATTCTTATTCTCTACTTCTATTTCTTTCTTCATTGTTTTATCTCTATAGCAGTACGTTTTAAATAGTGGGAAATTACCTTGTACTAGGAGAGAAGATTAATTTTTTACCAGGCGTTCGATTGTGCAAATAACACTTTCTTGATTGAAAAATAACTCGGTTAACAAATTAATCAAGAGAAAATAAGAAAACTTTACGTTTCCAACGATGCCCGTTTCTGTTTTCTAATTTGACGGCTGATAGAAATGCAGCGAACGAGTCTGTAAGAATTCACGGTTCGATTCGTTCGCGATCGCGTCGAACAATTTACCGGTATTCCGTGGCTTTGTAAATGACCCGATATTGAGAACATTAATTCGTTCGTCGAGCCATTAATATCCGAGACATCCTGCTCTCCTATCAGCGAACGAACGAACGAACGAACTAACGAATATCGTTTAGAAAACGTGTCGAAATTACCTGTTGCTGGTCGACGCACCAAGACATTCCCTCCGGCTTCGTTTCTGTAAAGGAAAGAAACAGAAATAAAAATATATCGATGATGAAACAATTTAAAAGATTAAAAGAAGAAAAAGAGGGGAATATAAAAACTTGCTGGCCGATTTTGAAAGATTGTACGCGCGAAACGATGCTTGATATTAAGGGTGCCGTTTGATTTTTCGTTTCAGGTCGTATCCATCACCTGTGCAAAACGGAGGACCAAACGGAGCGACAATGAATTGCAGCGGGTCTCAAGGTAAGAACGGATTCGAAATCTCGTAGGCAGACCAAGCGGAAAGGCAAAGGCTGAAACGCGGCGTCACAGAATATATTATACATTTTCGGAGATGGAACGGTATTTCGCAATAAAACGTGCAGATACACGAGGGGGTTGGAAAAATTCGAGAAAACGTTCCGCGTATCAAATTAACGTTGCATTAAATTTATTGGCAGGATTCTCTGTTAAAGATTGGTCGTGCATCGAAATACGCGTAGTCCTCCCTCTCTCTCTCTCTCTCTCTCTCTCTCGTGGAACGCGAATAATTTTCCAACTATCAAACCGTCGCTATTTGTATGAAAACAACCAGCCGATATATACGTACACACACGTGTTGCAGAGAAAAGTTTCAGGATATACGACAGGGACAGACAAAAGAGAGGGACAAAAAAATCTCCTGCCTCGTGACAATTCAATATCGCGCGATTACCCGGACAAAGGTATAACGAATCAAATATCATTTTAATTTTCTATATTGTATCTTGCAAACGCGTACTGGCCGAATATGCCGACGATTCGTGCGTTTGGCATCCTGCAAAAACCAGCCGTTTTCCGCTTTCCGCTTTACCCACCCGCCTTCATTTTCAGATTCGACCGGTCGGGGGTTTGTTTGTTCGCGGGGAAAAGAACTTTTCGAATGATCAATACGTAGCCGATTTACTTTGAGTGATTCGAATAAGCGTTCAAATTAGCGCGGTTTTTTTTTCTAGATGTGTGCGCAAAAAAAAAAAACTTGTGAATCGATCGAAAGTGTGTTTTTCCTACTTTTTTTTTGAGGGCACGAGAAAAAGGTAAAATTGGTCGTAACGTTTGCGAAGTACAAGCGTTGAAAAAAAATAGGTGAAAAGAGAAATTGGCACGGGATACCGCGAAAGAAGAAGGGAAACAAGAGGAAAACGTAATCGCTGGGGAACGAAAGAGGGTACGAATTTTCCGAGCACGGTTACCCCGCTGGTGTGCAAAAATCTTTATTCAAACTGGAGAAAGAAAGAGAGAGAAAGAGAGATACGGACCGCGTTTGTGAAAAAGTTGACTCACGGCGTAAAAATATACCTCGAGCGATAAGCTCGTGGAAAAATAACGCGTCTCTTTTCGGTCGCGTTCGATATTAAAAATATTCCGGAATAGCGTAAAAACTTGATGCTCTTGAGGAAAAATGACACGCCCAAGGGATGAAAGTACAGCTGCATCGAACCAATTAAGAATAATGTTGATAAGCGATTTTGATTTTGTAAGGTCCGCGAATGTATCGAGAATCGAGGAGTAGCGAACATCGAACGGTAGAGCGACGCGACGCATTGGGTACAGGGTGTTAATACCTTATCTACCGGAAGCCTATTAATAGACATTTTGGTGCCAGTAGTTATTGACTGAAAAGCAATTAATAAGCCTTTGATCGTTAACAAACCCGTGTATATTCAGGTGTATTCAGTTCGCCTTATCCGTGGACAGTTAACTCTGTATATATTCTAAGAAGAAAATGTGTCAGATAAAACCACGTTTTAGAAAGAATTATTGGATCGCAAGATTGGCGACAGGGAGTTTGGCGCGAACGCGATCGGTTTAGATTGTTAGCGATGTAGGAATGCAAAGTAAAATAAGAGAAAAATAGTGATGGTTAAGGATAGAAAGAAGCAAAGTCGAGGTACGATGGGTTTTCTGTGCAGGGGTGATGGTAAAGCAGGAAGCGAGGGATGACGGTTACGAGACAAGTCCGGACCTCGAGATGAGGAGCACCGGCGGTGACAGCAGTCAGCAGTACCACACGCCGCTGACACCGCACACACCGCACACGCCGCACACGCCGCACACACCCCTCACCCCGATATCGGCGACAGCGCATCAACCCCAGCAACCTGGCTCGACCGCTTCCACCCTCGGACAGGTGAGTTTTTCCTATTTCTACCCGACGACGACGCAAAGTACGCGTGAGCCCTTTCGATCGCAGTTCCTCCTCCTCCTCCTCCTCCTCCTTTCCCTCTTCGTAAACATCTATCTCTTTCTACCGTGCAAACCCGTCTGAAACTATCTTTTTCTGAAGAAAAACCGACGACATCTCGACGGAGAGCAAGAGAGATAAAACTCGTTGCGATTAACGTGGCGGAATTAATCGAGACACGAGTAACGAGCAACGATTACGCGGAAAAAATATCTAGAAATAAAATTGAAAAGTTATTACTCGATAAAAACAATGTACGATCGACGTGCCGGTCGATCGAGTGTACCAATACGTATGTACGCGTATCCAACGACGGACTGCCGGACAGATCGAAATTACGAGCGATAAATTCCGATAAAAGCGCGGGTAATCGGCGCATCGGGTTTGTCGTAATGCCGCTGGATCAATTTGCATTTCAACGTTAGTTTTTATGGCTTATCGTCGCTTATGCAACGCGGTTTCGCGCGGTTTCGCCTGGTTTCGCGCGGTAACGACGGAAGAAACCGCGTGGTTGCATCTGGGAGCACTTTCTTCTTCGTTTCGAAGTATTTACGAACGATCCAGTTTCATGGATAACCCCGCCGGATCGAGGCTAACAAACCGAACGATAATCGTCCGCGACGGTTACTAGACACCGATAAAGAGTAACCCTTTCCTTTTTTTTTCCACGATACCGCGTGATTCGCTCGAAGGTCGTCGACAGCGACCGGATAATGGCGCTTCTTTCGACCGATCGTTCTTTCCGTAAAATCTCTCCGAACGATCGATGAATTCGCGATATTTTTCCATGATTCCCAGGTGGCGATCAAGTGCGAGACTCCGGTGGATCCGTATTCGTTCGTCGACGAGGAAATGTCGATGGGTGGGATGAGGACGGCCAACAGCCCGGCTGCTGGGAACCCGGAGAACATGACGTGTCCGTCCGGGGCGCAACCGGGTCTGGCTACACCTACGTCCACACCGCCTGGACCTCTCTCTGGACCGCAACACCTTCAGATGAACCTCGGCGTGATGAACGGCAACGTGAACCCCCAATTGGCCGTCCATCAGCCAAAAAAACGAGGCCGCAAAAGAAAATCCGAAATGATTCTCACACCGGAAGAGTAAGAGTCGCGTGATTCTTCCCGCCCCGTTACAATTCTATTCTATTTTTAAACGATTGACACTTACGGTAAATTTACCGTCCAACCGTTAATTGTTAAGTCTGAGATCGCGTTGCGCAAACGAACCGGGCCAAAGTCGAGTTAACGAGGCTAAAATTTAGGGAAAGTAACGGACGGTTGATCGACGTTAAAGACGATGCGAAGGTCGCAACCGCGACCATTCACTTCGATGATCGACGTAACGAGATTATTACGATCGATTATCGTGTTTACGGGGATAATTTTGGTAAGTACACCGCGATCAATGGCTCCAGTTTGTTCTAAATAATAACACGCGGTGAGAGGTCGATAGACGCGGATCGATGCGATTATTACACTCGATTATACATATATCCGTTCGCTGTCTGCGTCAACTTGTACTTCACCGTCGCGTCGCGTCGCGTTGAATGAGTAACGAAGCTTTTAAAGAAATCTTTCTATGTCGCGTCAGCCACGGTATCTGGACGATAAATTAACGATTCTACGTTTAGAAGAAGCGTAACGCATCGAGTTCTCGAGGGAAAGAAGTCGAGTTTTCAAAAATTACCTCGTTTCGCATGCTTTTCTACCCCAAGAAAATGAAAAAATAATAATAAAAAACATATTGATCCGTGTTCGAGAGAACGCGTTTAGAGAATCGGATACGAATCTGAGAATTTGTTCAGGGCGGAATTAGCGGAGGCAAAGAAACGAGCAAAAACGTACAAAGAGAGGAAGAAGCACGACAGATTCGATGGTATGCCGGAAGAGGAAGTGAGCAAACGCGTCCTTCCGGATCATCTGACCAACAACCTCGACATCATCATAGTAAGTTGACGAAAGTTTTAAAGAGGCGTTAATTTAGGAAAATCGGAGCCTCGCTCGAGGATTCCGTCGCATCGGTTTTCGCGAGACGGCAGCAACGATTAATCCGATTAGCCGTCGGCGCAACGGTCGTCTGTTTAGCTGGAAAATCCATCTGGAAGGTAGCGAGACGGTAGGAAGGTAACAACGACAAATAGCCGTTTGTTGCGCGTTCGTCAGGTGTCGTAATCGCTTTAATGGTCCATACCGAATTCGGTTATCGCGCTTGACGTTGGTAACGAGCTCGCGCGTGTTCTCGCGCCTGTTCTGCGACTGAATTCGATCTAACCGGACCGCGATCGAACACGCTCGATCGTTCGTTCGTTCGTGGAAGGAAACGGAGAAATTTTTCGCGGCTCGGAGTCGGAGAGTGCGGAAGTCCGTTAGCGGCTGGTTCATATTCATACATTACGCGGAACGAGTAGTGAACGCGGTCGATCATCCGTCAAACGGTGTAAACGCTTTAACGGGCCGTGGGCAATTCGGTTATTACGGGCGTCGTTGTAATCGAACGCAGCGGGACACCGGTGTCGGCCGGCCTTCGCCGAGACCCGCTACCCCTAGGTTCCCCGATTTCCACCCCTCTATCACTCTATCTCTCTATCTCTCTACCTTCTCATCGACGCGCGTTGTTTTCAATCGGCGACAATTCCACACCCTACCTACCCTCCTTTCCAAAACCCCCTCCGATTCCTCCTCCTCGTCATTTTATCCTCGTTTATCCCGACCGAAGCGCCATTCGACGCCGGCCGACCGGCTAACGCATTGGCGTTAACGCGCTAATGCGATACGTACTTTATGTACGCAGGGAGAGAACCCAGCCACCCGTACGGAACAAACGATATAACACAATTTCGGACAAAGTCCCGCCACATCGCACCTTTCTCTTTCTCACTCCTCAACGATCCATCGTGTTTCCAAAAGCTTTACGAACTTGAACTGTAATCTTAGGTATTTCTGGAAATTCGCGGTAGAGGTAAGAATAAGTTGGACGAAACGTAGCTACGTACAAAGCATCGACAACGATTGTATACCGAAAGTTGCAAGAGCCTAGTCGCGAGGACGCGGCGACCAACAGCGTGTCCCTGTCACGTATCCTTGGACTTTGTCGTTATTAATTGTCCAACCGACGACGGAGCGAACAGCGAAGATAATGTGGTTGCGCAACAGGTACTACCACACCTGCGTCTACCGCGTTGCATAATCGCGGCTAAGAACGGTGTATGTGAAATCTGTGTACCGTGCCGAGAAAGGAATCGACCGTAAGAAACTGCAAACAGCTACAACGTTCACCGCGTACACCCTCTTCTTCTCCGTTTTCTTTTTTTTTTTTTACTTTTCTTATCCTCCGTTTGTCGATTACTTCGAAAATTTGATTCGCCTCGTTACGGTAAGGCCGCGATACCTGCTGCTCCGAACGTCCGTAGAATCCGAAGCTTAGATAGTTTTGCTTCCGAGAGATTTCGATGCGACGGAAGACGAGGAGAATGGAGAATCGGGAATTGGCAACCGAGGTCCAGCGAACACAAAGCCGCCAAGACGATAATCCGATCGCGGGGCACGGAAACTAGTTGGAAATAAGCTTGCCGCGTGATAATTTCACCAAGATTGAAGCTGTTCCAACTATTTTCACTTATAATAAATCGAGGAACGTCGATGAAACTGAATGAAATGCATTTCGAAGACTCGACGTTAACGCGATTTGTTTCTGCTACAGATTGGAATCAACCCGGGACTCTTCGCCGCTTACAAGGGACACCACTACGCCGGGCCAGGGAATCATTTCTGTAAGTTGCACCCTGTTTACCTATGATTTCCTTTAAGTGAAAAATCTACGTCTGGAACTTTGAAAAATTCGAACGGTTCGATCGACAGCGAAATACATAAATCGCGCAACTCTCGACGCAATAGCGAGGGAAGTTGAGGGATAAAAAGAAGCGCGCTGTTGGGTCGCGGGGACCGATAACCACGGTTGAAGAGCGAAATATCGAGGGAACGGCTCCGTGGGCGGCAGTCAAGCGGTCAAGAGCCCTTTCCACTTGGATTTCGTAGTACGCGCTGCGTCTCGCGACGAAACCTTTGCCAACGCGACACTCACTGCAACGCGTTCAATTACTCGACCCGCTTTCCAGCCGCTCTTCCTCGAAAAATTCTCCCTCGGTTTCTCTCCGTCTTTCTTTTTTTTCCCGCGTTTCCAGCGACAAAAACACGCTCGACACCCTAAACTATTTCGACTCGTAGGCGCACCTTTCCGTCGATGCGTTTAGCCAATTTGAAGTATGTCGAGCGTATGCGCGAGTTTGCGTCCGATTTAACTTGCCACGCGCGAGCAACTTTCTACCCTAGTTCCAACTGCCGTCGGAAAAAGCGTAAAATTTTGCAGGAAAACGATGCCGCAGCTTTCGAAACCTCGAAACGCGCCCGTTCGCTTAGAATCTGGCGGGAACGCGGTACCATTTCCCCGCGCGTTTTTTCTACAATTATTCGGCGAGTTCCCAAAAAACGTACGACCGATCACGTTCCTTGCCGATGAAACCGATGAAATGTCTGTTACCCCGGCACGCGTGCATTTTACACCGACGACCGCCCGTATTACAGATGTATACCACTACGTATACATATATGTATATAGGTGAACACGCGAGCGAGCGGACGAGTGGACGAACGGGTAGCCGGCCTGGCGGTCGCGCGCACTTGCGTTCACACATAGGTAGAGTACATAGAGGGTGAAGTTAGGTATACGCTGCTGGATTTTCCAGGGTTTTCCCGGGGTTGCGGTAGAGCAGTGGATGGGGTGGAGGGTGGTGGCGATGTAGGGAGGGAGGGATAGGAAGCGGGTTGTGGCGGAGCGCGGAAAGGAGGGAGGGGTTGGTTGTAGTGGAGGGAGGAACTATAATGAGTGGTGCGCGTGAGGGAGAGCAGGATAAAAAGGGGGCGAGAGGCAGGGTGCAGCGTGGGAAGAGGAGAAGGATGGAGAAGGGAGAAGGCGGCGAGGAGGGTGGAAAGCTGGGTGGTACGGGGTAAAAAGGTTGGAAGCTGTGGCAAAGCAGCGGGACGGGAGGGTGCGGGTTGACGGGGTGGTTGCTAGCTACGGCGAGTAGGATGAGGTACGACGAGAGGGAGGAGGAGGAGAAAGAGATGAAGGAGGGATGGGGTGGGCCACACGGGGTGGAGGAGGATGGGTAGATCGAGAACGACGGGTCAATTTGAGCCCCCTAGGGAGGGAGAATCGGACCGGGCCTAAAGGCAGTAAACGCCGAAAAATTCAACGCGGTTCAGCCGATTCGATCGCCCGAAAGCGAACCGTTCGCTCGCGATCGAGCCTCTCGCTGCCCTCCAGTTTCATATCGGCGCGCAAACATCTTTCTCTGCGCTTTCCGTTCTAATCCCTTAACCGCGTCGCGATGTGTTTGTGCCGCGGGTTGACGCGATCGTCGTCGTCGTCGTCAACGTGGAAACGTCAACGAACCTGTTAACCGCGAGATTCGAACATCGAAGAACCCTTTCGGTCGATAGACGGATAAGATTGCACGCGTCAGACGATCGATGCAACGTTGTTGACGGATAAAAAGTTTCACCGGAGTGTTGGGGCGAGGCGAAAAGAAGCGAGGAGAAAGAATGATCGCGAGTTAGAGTGTGACAGCGGTAGAACCGCGACAGGGGATGGGGTTCGACCGGTCGGTGACCCAATTCGAGCGACGGACTTTTTCGAACGGCGCGAAAGTTGAACGTGACCGGGGAAACTTTTCGTGGTCGTAACAATCGAGCGAACCGACGCGTCTCTCGTTTTCTCCGCTCTTCGACTATTCGACTATTCGACTCCTCGAGAAGTCGGCAAGTAGAAGAGTCGACGACACGGCTCTTCGACTCCTCGAACAACTTGAACCGCGATTCGCGATTCGCGATCGGATAGTTTCCTGCTCCTTCGGAACTTCTACCACAAAACTGAGTCAAGAATAAGGAAGGAAAGCCGCGAACGAATTAAATTATTGGTCGATAACGATGATCGATTTTCGCCTCGACGATTTCGCCAGTGTTGCAAAGTGGAAAGTAAGTTTCGACCGTTCGATGCTCGTTAACTCGAAAACTAGAGTTTCGGCTTTCGCTCTCTTCCTCGAGATTACGTCCTACATCTTTTGGTCGCGCAACGTGCTTCCAACTACTCGACCCAAGTTTTCGTCCGTGAAACTTTTCTTCGCGGAACAACGTCTGAAAACGATCGCGACTCCCGCTCGGGAAGACTATCGTCTCGGGAAAATCTACCGCATCCCGTGGGATATCGGTGATTTTCAGCTGGCAAGTTTCGCTTACCAACGAACAACGATTTGAAAACAAACGAGGATGAGTTCGACAAGTAGAAAAATAACACGGAAAGGATGAAGCGCAAATCGTAAAACTAGACGCGTACCTAAATAAATTTCGGTAGAGATAGTCCAGTTCGATCGCGTCAAGTTTGCATTTTTGCATAATTCTCGCAGAAAACACCGCTACTTTCGCCCTGTACAACTAGAACGTCCGTCTATCGTTCGCAATCTGCATTCCGACGAGCAAAGTTTCGAGAAGAACGGAAAATCGATCGTTCGGTCTTTCGATCGATGCGTTTGACCGTCCATCGGGACTTTCTGATCTCTCAAGGGTTTCTCTCCGAGCTAGACGATCGAACGAAGCATTTCCATATACGTATTCCTGCTAGAACATCCGCGGATGGTTGAGTTTGTGGAAAAATTTGACGAACTCGACGCAATTTCTCTCGACAGCCGTCGAGCGCGAAAAAATATCAGGAACGAGATAAAAACGACCAAGACGAAGACGAAGACTAAGACGAAGACGAAGACGAAGGAGTATTCAACGTTGAAGAGTATCGCAGGTAGCAGTGACCTGCGAAAAGATTGAAGAAGCCAGCTAAGTGCGTGAGTGGAAAAGGGATGCAAGCCTGACGGTTGTCGATGCTGGTGGAGGTGGGAAAGGAGGTGGCGGAGGTTGAGGGTTGGTAGTGGTGGGAACTATAATGAGTGGCGGCTGTGTCGGAGCGAAGGGAAGAGGGCGAGGATGAGGGCGGTGAGCTCGAGGGTGTGGGTAAGGGTGAGCGCGAGGGTGAGGCAGAGCGAGAATGAAGCAGGAGAGCGTAAAGAGAGACGGAAAGCGAGAAAAGGAGAAACAGAGATACGAAGAGAGAGAGAGAGAGAGATACCGTTGTAGAGGGTAGGTAGGGTAAAACGAGATGGGCGAAGGGTACAGGTGGCGAAGGAGGGTTGGCCGGTGAGTGTGGGAAAGCGTGTAGCCTCTGCCTCCTCCCTTTTCCACCCGCCGGCCACCCTTCTGCCAGCCTGCTGCTCGGTCCAAAGGGGCGGCTAGAGGGGCCAGAGGGGCAGGAAAAAGGGAACTAGAGCTGGCCGAGGGGGACGGGAGAGTGGGGAAGGGGTTGTCGCACGCCTATCCGCTCGATAGCAGCTTTCAGTCCGTGCACGCTTACTACCCCCCTACAATTTTGTACCCCATCTTTTCGAAATTCCCCGGCGAAAAAAGACTCGTTCGAACAACGTCCAACTTTTGCCTCGAACGAACCGCGAGAGTCTTCTTCTGAACGATCCAACGAAGCGTCCGATGCGATGGATCGTTTACGTTCCGTTCCGTTCCTTTCCTTTTCTTTTCATTCGAAACGAAACAGCACGGCACGGGATAGGAGGAAACGTGATTGAAAATCCGTTCGTGTTCGAATCGAATCGAGTCGAGTCGAAAATAAAATCGCAGCGTGCCTTTTTCAACGAGTCGTTGGAAAAATTGCGACAAAAGACACGATTGTCGCGTCGCGTCGCGTCGCGTCGGTTGCCTCGAGCGTCGTACGCTTTTGACGAAACACCGTACGAGAAAAACGTCGTGGTTAGGAATTGTTCGGAGAAGGCGAGCGACGAACGCGTCTAAGGTTAATACGTGCTCGCTCGCAAATTGTGGCAGTTGGAAAACGCAGCGAGGAAAAAGGCGAGCATCGCCGTGGAACGCGCTCGACGACTTCCTAGGTCTCCGTGAACGGGTCTTCGTCCTGGAAAACCCTGAAAATTGATTTTCCAGGCGCGGTCTCCCGCGGTACCCACGCACAGGTCTCTTTCTCTCTCTCTCTCTCTCTCTCTCTCTCTCTCTCTCTCTCTCTCTTGGTTGCATCGATTTTCACCTGGTTCTCCTCGCACCCCCTGCAGCGAGAACTCGAACCAGCCGTTCATTCAGAATCGGAGGAAAAGAACGAAAAATCTGGGTCAACGAAATTTCAAGAATTCCAGATAGATCGTCGCAACGGACCGCTCCTCCCTGCTAACAAAATTTTTCGCTTCCTCGATTTCGCGCGGATCGCAACGCAACCAACCATCTCGAGTACGCTCGATTACGAAATGTGCAAAAAATAGCCCATTACCATTCCTCTTGGTCGTATACCGTGCGTTCCCCTTTCGTCCCGTTCGGTCGTTAAATCGAAGAAATAGCGTTACCTCGCGTAGCTGAGGACAAGAAACTATACGTAAGGCGGAGGAGGTCCTGTTGCGCTTCAACCTCTTCGAAAGTCGGCGAAACGGGAGTTAAGTCGGTCGAACAGGGACGGCCGAAACTCTTTCGACTTTGAAACTTTCGAACCGGCAAGTGATAAATTTAAAAGATCGCTCTTTTTTTTTTTTTTTTTTCTTTCTTGAAAACGCATCCCGGTGTTACGCGACGCGGCAAGATTTCCTCGCGAGGAGGAATAAAAGCGAGAAAGGGAAATTATAAAAGTTTGAGGGGACGATAACGTTAAGGTAACGAGCGCGACGGAAAGGTCGAGGGAAGTGAAGTTGGGTTAGGTTAGCGTCGCGAACGAAAGGGAAGAGAAGGGTGGCGTTTCGCTTCGATAAAGTTTGTTCGATCGGCCGTTAGTCTTGTTCGGAGGGACATCGATAACCTTCCTTCCATACCTTCCACGTACGCGCACCCCTAACCTGGACACCGAATCATCGAACAGTTTTTCTAAAATGAGAAAAATCGTTTTCCTCTTTTCTTCCCTCTGCTCGACTTTAAGAGAGAACGAACACGATCTTCTATCCGTGTTTGGTGGAAAGCATGAAACGAGAATGAGAAGGAGAACGAGAACGGCCACGGCAGACGAGCGTTTAACTTTGTTCCGAAGTTCTCCAAGGTCGTGTGGTACGGCTGTAGGTCGGTGGTGCAAGAGGAGGCGAGAGAAACCGAGAGGACAAGAGGGAGAGAATTTCCGAGGCCGCGTCATAAATCTCTATCTGCTGCTGCCGGGGGTAAACGTTCGCGGGATATACTTTGGCGACGTCTGTAATTTCGCGCCAACATACCTTTCTCTCTCTCTCTCTCTCCCTCTCGCTTACTTTATACTTACTTTCGTTTATCCGTTTACCCTCTTTTTACTTTTCCCTTCTACCCTTTTGTTTCTTCTTTGATTTTTCTCTTCCTTTACGACGGATATTTGAAATTTATTTTCCCCTTTCCTCCAACGCGAAACAATTTCGACCTCGTCTTCCTCGATGATCCACGATGAGCTACCGAGTTTTCCTCGTTCAGAGGATTTCAAGGGCAACGATCTCCTTTGAATGCGGCAGGAAAATTCGGTATCGTCGAACAAATTTTTACGAGGGCACAAAAGAAAACGATTTACGACTAAACTTGTGCAAGGTAAAAAAAGAAAATAGCGGAGACCAAGCTTGACCCAGACCTATTTAATCCGTTAAACGGTACGCTTTGTAACACCTGCTGCACCACCTCCACCTCCGCCGCTACCAACACCGTCACCGTTAACTACCGGTGACAAGTAGTTTCCCTAAATTGCCGCGACGACACAAAGCGCTGAAAACCGGTGTTTTACCGTGCGGAGCTCGAGGAGCAAAAATACGAGGATTACGAGGGCAGTAATTAACGACAGACGCACACCCTTCTCTTCTCTTCTCTTATCGCCGTTTCTCGTTACGATCAAACGTCGCGTGAACAAATAACGGTCCGATCAAAAGTATCGAAAACCGAACGATATGATATAAAGCGTCGAACGCGATCTTTTATTCCGTTTCGTTCGCATCGCGAGGGCCGATTTATCGGTTGGAATTTACGGAACGTAGGGTACCAAGTTCCAGACAGTTTGTCGACAATGTTTGACCCAGACCTATTGAAATTCCCCACTCCTCTTCCTTCACCTCCACCACCTCCTCCTCCTCCACCCTCTACCTCGCCCCCTCGACCTGTGTAAATGTCGGTCGAACTTAACGACGAAGGTACTTGGCGCGTTTCCCGCGAACGCTGGAAAACCAGACCCACCAGTATTCCCTTTCGTCGACTTTAACGATCGATTAAACGACTTTTTTTCAGGGAAGTGTTTACACCTGAGTGGACTGACACCCGAACCACTGACGGCGGATGACGATTACAAGCTCTTGCGCTTCGGTATCGGTTTCACGAACATGGTGGCTCGCGCCACTAAGGGCAGCGCCGATTTAACCAGGAAAGAAATCAAAGAAGGTCGGTATACACGATGTTTTTTTTTCTTTTTTCTAATTTAAATAAAACGAACAACGAATATCGGGCAAGAAACTTTAATTTGAGAGTTAGAAAACAATATTTTTACGATGTACTACAGCGGATAAGCGATGTTCGGTCAGAGATGCGTTCATCTATCCGATGCTCGTAAGAATATTAAACATACCGTCCACACATGGCCGTAAAAACCAGTCGGTTTCAGGAGATGAGAAACATATACATATATACAAGTTGGAGTCGGACGATCGGTTTCTCGTCCGAGAAAAATCCAACGGCTGTGGAAGAGTCGCGCGTGTATACGATACTATACACGTGGTTTCATCGTAAAACGGCATATTTGTCGGTTTACGCGTGCTCGATTGATCCGCATCGAGGGCAGAAAAACGAGCAAATCCTACTCGACGCGTGAAACATGAAAAAGAACGGAAAAGCTTTCGGTCGTAGCGATACACGAAATCGTGAATCGAAGGTGCAAACTGGTTCGACGAGACTCCGACTATCGCCACTCGTTTATTTACTTCTTTACTTATCTGAATCGTATGCTCTATGTACATTTTTTTCCCCTTTTTCTCGTTCGATAAGCTTATTTTCATATACCCTTTCCGAAGTTTAACGAATAACGAGCAATCGTAAAAGATGTTAATCCGGGTACGACGAGTACACAAAATGCATCTCGAAAACGCAACGACCGTACAAACGATCGAGTAATTTATTTTCTCGTAACCGGAACGATAGAATGAAACGAAGTTATCTGTTCCGTCAAGGCAGTTGTCGTTTCCGCGTGAATAATTCTTATTCGTGAATAATTCTTTGCGAAATGCTAAGAGTTTCCTTGAAAACGTTTCACGGATTCGACGCGTGATAATTTATTTTTCTTTTCTGTTCTTTTCTTGTCTCGCTAGGGGAACTCGTACGACGTTGCGTCGTGGAATAGATTTAACCTCGAAGATCAGAGAACGGAACGGAACGGAACGGTGCGGTACGGTACGATACGATACGATACGAAACAAAACGAAAAACACGCTTGCGCGGAAAGAAAGTGTACGCTACGTTAAGAAGAATTATCGATAAACGTTGATTCGCTTACTTACCCGTCTCTGGATGTCTGCCAATGCCAAAGAAGTCTCGCGACGAACGACGCAACTTGAATCACGATCGATCGAATGTCAGGATTTCAAAGTTTTCTCCGGTTATCGCCAACCAGTCGAAGCGAATCCCCCGTTCCGCACACGTATTCGAATCGTTAATACAATCGGCAACGCGACGATAATATCCGGATCGGTTTCAACTTTGACCGGTTTACTTTGCGATCGTCACCGCAAGAATACTGGCGGCACGCGGTATCAGTGCTACCAACCAGCGCTCTTGAAATTCTCTCGCTCGCTATAATCGCGGTCCACGCGTCGCGTCGCGTAACGTTGCGTAGCCTCTCCACGCCTCGCCACTCCTCGCCTCTAATACGTTCAACGTATCAAGCTATTCGACCGAGGCGCCCGAATAATTGACCGATATACGAGGAAACGTTTCGAACGCCGCGCCACCTTCGCCTTCTCGTATTCTCGTCGGATATAAATTCTCTACTTCATTTCTAAACTGTTCTCTTTTTACAGGCAGTCATATTCTGTTAGAGAAATTAAGAAAATACAAACCCAAGATTGCGGTGTTTAACGGTAAACTAATTTACGAAGTATTCTCCGGGAAGAAAGAGTTTGGATTCGGAAGACAGCCCAATCTGGTGGAAGGTACCAATACGGTAAGAGAATAGATTTTTTTTTTTTTCTTGTCTCTGTTTTCTGTTCAAAAGTTCGTTACATAAGCGAAGAAAACGAACCGCTAACGATCAACCAACTATTCGATTACAGTACATGTGGGTGATGCCATCGAGCAGCGCGAGATGCGCGCAACTTCCGCGTGCGGCGGACAAGGTGCCGTATTACGCGGCGCTAAAAAAGTTCCGCGATTATTTGAACGGCACCATATCCCATTTGGACGAATCCGACATCGTGTTCGCCGACTCGAAACTGAAGAAGAAGGAACAGGAGGCGATCGAAGACAAGAAACCTTCGTTTTGCGACGACCTGAACGAAGGGGATAGCAGGATGGCCGATATGAACGGAACCGGCATGAAACACGATCAGAACTCTCAAATACCTGGTAAGAAGAAGAGGGGCAGACCGAAGAAAATAAAGAATCCGGAAGATCAACCTCCACCCGATCCTGAGAAACTGGATGCGAATGGGGAAGTGATAAAGAAACGTCGCGGACGTCCGAAGAAGATTCACCAGCAACAGAAACAGCAAGAACGAGAGATGAGAGAACGAGAACAACAGCAACAACATCAGCAGCAACACCAGGCTCTGGGCCATTTGGGGGACGGATACGGCAACGTGATGCCCAATTGTTTCTCGCCGCCAAAGACGTTCGCTCACATGGCGCCATACCCGCAACCGATCAACGATTCCGGATATTATGGCCAAGGCATGAACGACAGTCCGTACAATATGAACGCGAAACAGAGTCCGGTCCATTTGCAACATTACAGTCAAAGCCCGAAATCTATGTCGCTATCGTTCACTCATTCGGACCTCTCCTCGGAGATCAACACCGCGATCTCGTCGGAAAACAACCTAGAGCCCTCGCCGTTGACTTCTCCGAGCGTCGAACATCCAGACTTTGAACCGCCTACCAGCATGTCCCAACAAAACATGAACAACGATCATCGGCAATACAATCCGGCTGGTAACGGTGACAACACGGGCCACCACGGCAGCCCGGGAACGCCGTCTCATCCTAGTTACACCAGTTACATGGGCTATCACGAGCAAACCCCCGATCCTCACAATCCTCATCCCCATCAGACCACACCGACCCCGTTGAGCCAAACCGCTGACGAACATTCGCACCATTCCCATCCTACTCCCCCGCACACGCATCCTCACACACCGAACCATACCTCTATGTCCCCCCACCATCATCCGCACGAACAATACGGAATGAAAAGAAACACCGGCCAAGACGTAGCGTCCAAGAGTCTGAGCGACTTGGAATCTCTAGTCGATCAAATACCGAGTATAGCCGACGGTGGCAGCCAACGACTCCAACACTCTCATTCCGGCATCAACGACGACGGATCGCTCGCGGAAAAGATGGAAGCGCATCATCAGTCTTACCTGTCCGGTTTCTCCGGAATGCCTAACGCGGGTATGTCAAATTACAGTCCCCCCCTAGGACCCGGTGGCCCGATCTACCCTGGTTCGTTGCACCATTCTCCGAACGACGGTTACGGATCTCTCTATACCATGAACGGACGACAACATCCGGATTCCCAACAACAACAACAACAGCAACAACAACAACAACAGCAGCAGCAGCAACATCAACAACAACAACAACAGCAGCAACAACAGCACAGCAAATCTTACACGGTTGAAAATCTAGCGTCTAGCAATTATACGCCGAGCATGAGCCACGGGCATACCGGTAACTCGTATCCAAACATCATTCCTGGCCCTCATTATCCCGTACCGATGGGTTCGACGAACGGATACCTTTTCGGTGGTCTGGAGTCTAGCCTGATGCAACGCACTTACGGGATGGGCGGTATGAGCGGGATGGGAGGTATGCACCCATCCCTCGGTCATATGGCCAATCCTTATTCCTATAACGGTTCGTACTCTAGTTCCTTCGACGCGTATCCGGCACCGCCGGCTGGCATTCACGCGCCCAGCGCAAATTATCCTGGCGGTTACACCAGCGTCGGCAGCAGCACCCCCGGTACATCAACGCCACCCTCTTACCTCCCCTCTCATCACAGGCCGTCGGTCGACCTCGCGTACGACGGTGTATGATAATCGGTGTAAAACTCTAATCGACACACGCTACGCGATTCGAGCGCTACGTTTATCTTTTCTACGTATTTTTACACGTCTACGGATCCGCCGGAATTGTCGTCTTAACGAAACGCTTCTCGAATGCTTTTTGCCGCGACTCGCTACCACCATTTCTCCGTAACTTTCCTTTTTTTCTTTTATACTTTTCCACTTATCCCTCCGCCCTCCTTATCTTAACCCTCTCTTTCAACCTTTCCTTTACCTTTTTACTTTCACCGCCTCTTTTCTTTTCTTTTCTTTTCCTTATTTTCTGACTCGCTCGAGTAACGATCGTGCCGCGAGTAGCGACGGGTGCGCGGTTCAAAACCGTGGAAACTGCTAGCGGAAGGCAGAAAATTTAGTTGGCTTTCGCGTAACGCGTCGATAAGTAGCAGGGCTGCGCGGGTCACAATGGCAAGCGACGAGCGATGAATCTACCATTCAAAAGAAGATATGTACATTCGAAAAACACGAGCTGCGGTGAAATATTTTCCTCGTTGCTTGTCGCTCACCGTTCATCGTTCTTTGCTCTCCGCTTTCCGCTATCCACCCTCCAACCTCCGCACTTGGCTCGTCCGGTCGCCCACTTGCTAATGTAACATACATCGACGAGCATGGATAGTTCCAAGCGAGAGGAAACTCGCGATCGTTGCTCGCCGATGTACTCGTGGTCTCAGAAATTCGCCGCGTTTCGGGTCACCGTTCACCCACCCCTGTTCGCGTTGATCGTCGATAATGGGTAGGAAAAAAAAAAGAAACGATGTTAAAGTTTTGCTATTTTGCGACGTCTCGCAAAAAACGTTATTGTTACGCTTTCGTTATCGTTGAAATATATTTCACTTGTTTCGCTTGACCGGCGAATACGTGCAATCTGTTGCCGCTCCAACGGATCGATGCGAAAGAACCAGCTTCTCGAACGTAATTCCTTCGAATTATGGTAGAAACATTCGCGCCCATGCGTACACAACGCGTATATCCGTTATTTTATTCCTTTATTCTTTATCCGTTTCTCGCGTTCTCGCGTTAAGCTTCGTTGTTAACAACCGACGTACTCGTCTTGAATCAGTTGAATCGCGAAAATTTTTATTCCTTCACTTTCTGTAAGTTACAAGCAGTGTTTCCGGTTAACGAAGCAACAAATGCAGTTATTGTATTACACTGTTACGTTACGTTGTCAAAGCGATAACGCATATACGCGTGTGCACGCAATTCATTGCAAACTGTGCGTATGTTTTAACGCGAATCTAGTCAATTCGATTCGTTGAATCGTGGCCGTTTATCGCAATCGACCGAGTAATTTTATGTACTAATAAAGTGAAAAAAAAAAGAAAGAAAGAAAACACACAAATCGATAGAAATATCGAATTTCGCGTGGTTTCCCTTCCGTTTGAACGTAAAAGAGGCTACATCATGATTGACACAGCATCGCGTCGATAAGAACCACTGGTTACGTTACGTTACGTAGAAATTTCTTGCCGAACATATTAACGCGTCCACTGTCATAAGGGTCTAATTACTTTCATTCGAACAAAAAAAAAAAGAAAAGGTGTGAAATACCATTAAAATTGAGGATCCGTCACTATGTACTTCTGGTGTGACAGTGAACGCGTTAAGAAGCTTCTCGCCTATATAATTTGCAAGTTTGCCCCGATTCGAAACGCGTAAATTAATTATAATCGGCATCGATGCTTCTGATACACGGGATAAGTAAACCTCTCTTCTTTACGAGAAACGAGGTTTCTCGTCTCGTAACGTTTTCGATGGAAAACACCGAGATGCGAGAGGAGAGAATAGATTAGAGACGTTTGAAGCGTACAGAGGGAAACGGAAGAGAGATAGGTCGCGAAGAAAAGCTCGATAGTCGATTCGATAGGCATATCCTCGCTTTCGTACCTCGCACTCGCCATACATACACAGCCATAGTCGTTCCTCGTTGCGATAAATTTTCTGTATCGGTTGAAATCGTTGACTCTCGACGTCGCTGTGAAATGTCATAGGTTACCGTAATTTTTATCGTTATCGCGTTACGTTGTCTCGTTAATTGTATTTCATCGTCGTGTTTCGAGCAATCGAGGATCACCAATGTTTATCGATACACGATCGCGAACAGTCGATGTAGATGTATGCCATTAACCGACATCCTCTTTTGTCGCTAATCGACGCTGTAAAATTACGCATCTGGCATGATTCTATACAAAAATCGAAATGAATATAAAGTGCACTCGTACTCGTACACGAAAATGAAGAAAAAGAAGAAGAAAAAAAAAAAATGAAGAATGATATCGGTGTACGTGTACGCGGCTACCTTATATTTACGGAATATACATAAAGTATAAATATTATATATTGACTATCTACGATAAACGAGAAAAACATTTATCGAGTAATCGCATAGGATGTGTTGAAACATTTAAAATGATGCACAGGGTATAGATGAAGAAAATCGTTGATATAATAACTGATGTCTATATAATGAATGTTTCTTTTGTTCTATCGGCCTCAAGGACACAAACGCGCGTACGATCGACAATTAATCTATAGTAGATGTTTTCCAGAATTCATTTCGACTCAAAACGGACAGTTATAGCGTAAGTGTGCTCGGTGTTAATCGTTCGTCGATAATAAAATGAAATGGATAGAAATGAACAGAAACGAATAGAAAACGAAGAACAGTGAAAGAAAGAAAGAAAGAAAGAAAGATGAAAATGAAAGCAAGGAAACGGATACGAACGCATGCCAGCCGTGTCGAAACGGAACCAAGCATCGCTATCAATTAACCGAACACTCGGATTAATCGAATTAACCGATTGTACATTGATCGCTAAGGTTTAAATATTAAGTATAAATATATTATACAGATTTAAGTGGTTTCGCTGTTGATCGGATGTATCGGAATAAAGAAGAATGATAAAGAGAGGAGAAAATTGGAGCGTAAGCGAGTAAGAGAGCTTGGCACTGACCGGCTCGCTCGCTCGCTAGCTTTTACCTTTTAAAAACTAATAGTAAAACTCTGTCGTGTACGATTGTCAGTATCGATATCGTATCGATCCCTCGGTATCGTATCGAGATGTGTTCTGTATCGACCAACAATGTACTTACCGAGTATTTGTAGCTGTTCGTACGTCGTGGGTAAGAGGGGCGACGGATGGTTGTTCGCTTTTCGAATTTTTACTTCGTTGCTCTTTACCTCGCCCCTCTGCTCTCCCTCCAATTACCATTAGATCCGAATGATTCTTCTCCGCTCGGAAATGGATTTGCGACGATCCTCTACACCACCTCACTAGAAACAAACTGCACCGTCCGTTTCTTCAATTACTTTCCTTATCCCTAATTTTTATTTATCCTTTTTCTTCTCCTTCTTCTTCGTCTTCTTCTTTTTCTAAAACATCGAATTCGGACCATATCGGTAACTGGGAATCAATTACACATTTCCTTCGAATTGTTTACACGCGAGACGAGTCTATGGATTCTGTAGCGTAATTGTCATAATGATATCGACAAAAAAAGGAAGACTCGATAGTTTATTTCGCAAATAAGAGAAATAAAGCATATTTCGTTCAAGATTTTCTTCGTACAAACGAGGTTCCGCGAGTTCTAATCTTTTTTCTTTTTATTGATCGAAAAGGTTTCGTAGATTGTTAACGGTTGAGAAGCACCGTTAAAATTTTCAACCAGTTTCATAATCATTCCTCTAGGCAACACCTATATTAAATCGCCAACTGTCTTTTTCTTTCGTATTTGTAAAAAAATCCAAGTACGCGAAAATCAATTTTAGCTATTGCTAATTCTTGTTCAAAAAAGCCGCGCTTTTAAGGATTTTAAACGTAGTACTACTGTAGTTGGATTTGTAACCCTAAATATCGTTGCATATCGCGGATAATTTGTTACGGAAGTCGGTGGATAAACCGATCTACGTTTAAAGAATCTCTCCGTTGCCAATAAACGACACCTTTTTCTTTTTCCTAGAACACACAACGTTTCTCTTTCGTCCTTGATGAAAGAGAATGTCGCGTGTATATCGCGAGAACTCGCGATTATTTATATCGAACCTTTTGAACCACGGAATCAAAGATCTATCGATATCGAGGTTCCGCTATCCGCGATCGATGATTGGCTATATTTGCATGTCGCATATGTACGCATACTACATACCATATACGTGGTGCTTTGAAAAGCAATTCCAGTTTTTGTACAGAAATATAACTGGAGAGGTTATCCCATTCGTTGAAGTCTTGCGAAATTGCACCGGAAAGAAAACGAAATGGCAGGTAGAATTTTAATGAATCAGAAAATACAGATTTTCAAGTAGATTTCTTTATTCTTATATTCGATACAGTATCGCTCAGCGTTCAAAGGCGCTGACACCTGGTGTTTCGATCACGAAATCAAACGATCAGCGATTCTGTCTGAAATTTCATCAAATTCGAAAGTAAAATATCTATGATATAAGAATTGCGTGTCAGTTAGCGAAACAAATGCGATTTCAAACTTTACTGGACTATCGTACAAAAAATCAATTTCAATTATTCTTTCGTGTTTTTTCTTTCCTTTCTCGGTCGAGTGTAAGATAAGCGATTTTAGAATCTTTCAATCCCGTTTAACATTTTCTTTTAACGATTACATATTGCAATTAGTTGCGATAATGCTGTCCAAAAATAACCATAATGACGTTATCGCGCAAATTCATAGTTAGAAAAAAACAGATACCGAAATCGCGTTGTATTGTATGAAATGTGAATGAATGAAATCGCATTATGCAATCCCTCTTGTAAATTTTAAATATAACGAATCCTGTGGGGACACTAATCTCTTTTTGGACTCACTTGATCCGAGTCATTGGCAGTTTGTGTCAAAAAATAAATCGATTCGTTAAAAGAAGAGATCAATGTGTTTATTATTCGTCGAACCTCGTATGTTTTACGCGAACAATAAGAAAATAAGAAATTCCCCTTATATAAGGAATGAAAAATTTGTAAATTTTTATTTCTTACCAATTAGAATATTCGGTAGAAATTAAAATTTTAATTATTCGAACGTTCAGAAATCGATCAAAAATGAGCAATATGAAAGAATTCGCCATCTATCAAGCTGATATGGAAACACCTTTTCGTATTTCATCTAAGTATTATTTACCCTGTGCTTCATAAAACGCAAAGTGTCTGATTCGTCGTGTTTGTCGATACCTGTAATTACACTTACAATTTACAATGCCGCTAGAAAATTTAGAAGAAGAGGGTTTGGAAAAAAATCCAAATTTGGAGCTGGCTCAGACTAAATTTTTATTGAGTTTACCGGAACACAAGGATGATCCATACTTAAAGCAAAAATTGTTAGATGCCATTAAAGCAGAAAGTGAGATTGCATTTTTTACATCGTCAAATTAATTACATCGTATATTCTTCTGATCAAATACTTTAAATATGATATATCAAGTCTTTAATGATACAAGTTTATTTAATTTTTTGATACCCGGTTAAATTGACGGATTGTTTACGGTAATATTTATCTTAACCTTTTTTTTTGTCAAGTAATCGTCATTTTGTTTTCGATTTGACAGTCCCCTTATTTGGTACATCGAATATTAACAAAGAATACCGACGGACTCGTAAAGTATATAATTATTTCTTACAGATATGGCCCCATTTTACGAAGAAGTCTGTAAAGACTTGGATTGGCCCATCGATGAAGAACTTTTATCTACTATGAAGGCTAAAAATACGGAGCAGTTGAAAGAGTTAGACGATGCTATAGATGATGCTGAGAAAAATCTAGGTGAAATGGAAGTTCGGGAAGCTAATCTTAAAAAGTCAGAACACCTGTGTAGAATAGGTGATAAAGAAGGTGCCATTTCAGCGTTCAGAAAGACTTATGATAAAACTGTGTCATTAGGACATAGATTAGATATTGTTTTTCATAATATTAGAATTGGATTATTTTATTTGGATCATGATCATATCACTAGAAACATTGAGAAAGCTAAGAGGTATTTTATATTTACACATTGATGAATAATACAGATTTAATACATTTATCAGATGTACAAGATGTATTAATGTTTTAATTTTAGTTTGATAGAAGAAGGTGGTGATTGGGACAGACGAAATCGTCTAAAAGTGTATCAAGGAACGTATTGTATAGCAGTACGTGATTTTAAAGAAGCTGCAAATTTCTTCCTGGATACTATTAGTACATTTACAAGCTATGAGCTTATGGATTACAATACATTTGTTAGATACACAGTATATTTAAGCATGATAAGTTTACCTAGAAATGAACTTAGAGATAAAATTATCAAAGGTTCAGAAATTTTGGAAGTACTTCACAGTAATCAAGATGTTAAAGATTATTTATTTTCTCTTTACAATTGTCACTATGCTGACTTCTTTAAAAATCTAGGTACTGCAACTTTCTATTCAAATCTTACAATTTGTCAAGAGACTATTATACATATTAATATATAATAATATGATATTGTGTTTTAGCACACGTGGAAGGTTTATTGCGCCGGGATTATTTAATATTTCCTCATTACCGGTATTATGTTAGAGAAATGCGTATTCTCGCGTATACGCAACTTTTGGAATCCTACAGATCTCTGACCCTTCAGTACATGGCAGAAGCATTTGGTGTCACAGTAGAATATATTGATCAGTAAGTCGTATAGGGTACTTATCTTCGAATTTATATACTATATATGTTTATTGTCTAAACTGTTTCTTGCAGAGAACTATCACGTTTCATTGCAGCAGGAAGATTGCATTGCAAAGTTGATCGTGTTGGTGGAGTAGTTGAAACTAATAGACCAGACAGTAAAAATTGGCAGTATCAAGCTATGGTCAAACAAGGAGATCTATTACTTAATAGGGTGCAAAAATTGTCGCGTGTTATTAATATTTAATTATACAAAGAATAAACCATAATGATTTAATATAAAATTTTGGAACCTACTCATTGTCTTATTTGTGTGCTTTATAAATTTGAAATTATTTTACACCAATCTGTATCATTCTTCATTTTAATTTTATGTATAAAATACTTTCTATAACATTTTGATTTTTACAAAAAAAAATATACGTATTAAAGATTATCGTTATACAAATAATGCATGTTATTTTATCTTTGTAAAATAATGAGTTATTGTCTCTCCTTGAAATAATTATGGTATAATTGAAGTATTCATATTACTTAAATTGTAACGGTTCGAAATCATGTCAGATACTAACGGTATTTGTAACCTTTCGAGATTTCTCGATATAACATTCTGAAGCGCGTACCCCTATTTGTATACTAAAATCATTCTCCAAACATCCGTAGCTACTTCACAGTAAGTTTTTTTTTATAATTATCGAATGACTATTGTAATTACAAATAAATTATTTCTAGCATTCATGTCATTGCAATAATTGTATTTCTAGAATTTAAAAAATTTGCTTCGATATGGGTCGAAGAAAAAGTAAACGACAAGCTCCGCAAAAGAAAAAAGTTATCGAACCTCTGGACGTACAATTTACATGCCCATTTTGTAACCATGAAAAATCATGCGAAGTCAAAATGTAAGTTTTCTCGTTTTTAGGGAAAAACTGAAGAAATTTGTAATATTTAATTATCGTTTTAGGGAGAAGAATAAAAATACAGCAAGAATTGTTTGTCGAGTTTGTTTAGAAGATTATCAAACTAGTATTAATATATTATCAGAACCAGTTGATGTGTATAACGATTGGATCGATGCCTGCGATGCTATTAATTAATCTGTTTCATTGTTTAATTCAATGAAAGTTATGTGCCTTTTTCATATAAGTGACTTATTGAATTTATATTTCATATCACAATTTATTTTAATTACAGGATGTAACTTTGACCAAAATATTGTAAATATCATTGTTATACATACATGTGATGTTTATTTCGTTGGTGTAAATGATTGAAAAATAAACTTATATTTCTGACTGAATAAGAATAAGATTGTCCATCTAGGAAAACAGAATTTCAAATTATTTAAATATACATATGTGTATGCTGGATATATTATACATGTATGTATAGATCATACTATTATATGATTAATTTTTTGGTTTGTTCGATTAATATAGCTTTATTGTTACTCAATTCATATAGTGAAGTAGAAGACTTTTAAAATACCCGCTATCTACACTTTCCTAAGATACGTAACTTTTACAGTGTTCGACGTTTACCACATGAATTTGTTTCAGTAATTCAATATAATTATTTTTCTTCAAATACTACGTTAATTGTCGATAAATTACATAAAACTTCAAATTTTCGTTATTATGTAAAATCAAAAGTTACAGTATTAAACGATCTAGTTAATTATTTTTAAACAGAGGAGGAGATTGAGATATCGCAAGCCGTGCATGACATTTGTCTTGTAGTCGTCATCATCCAAAAATACCGAACGATTGCTCGAGTAAAGATCTACTGTGATCTACTGCCGTGTGATAGCAAAAGTGAAGCCTTTTAATTTCATTTAATTTCACACGACACATCGCCGGAATGGATAAAGCAAAATCATTGAGTGATACTTGTGAATTACCACCTCTTCGCAGTTTGAACGATTTTCTTTTGGAATCGTCACGTTTTCAATTACCTAATTTTAGAGATTTAGAAAAATGGGGTAATAGAGTAGTAAATAATCTTGTGTATTATCAAACCAATTATGTGTATATGACCATTGCTATTATACTGATTGTAGCGTAAGTATGTTAACCCTATAAAGTATTTTGGAAAAATGAATGGGATTTCTTAATATGATATTTGTCTGCTTGTTTAGATCGGTAAATCCAATGAAAATGATTATTGGATTATCAGCAATGACAGCAATCTGGGGTGCATGTATTTATTTATTTAGTGAACGAGAATCTTTATTAAAACTCAAAAGATCCTATCCACAAATTGGAATTATTCTTACTGTTATTTGTGCAGGTTTTGTTGTATACACTATAAATTCAGTTGTGTTCTTGTTATTTAGTATTCTTTTATCAGTTTGTGGTAAGTCTTCTTTTTATAACAAATAATGAAACATCAAATTGTATTGATATAACAGCTTAATATTGATGTTTTAGTAACTTTTGTACATGCATCATTGAGATTAAGGAGTTTGAAAAATAAGGTTGTCAACAAGTTAGAAGGAATGGGATTAGAACGTACACCAATGGGAGCTGTTTTAAATTATTTTGGTATGAAAGAAGAATTTTTTACATAAGTTTCTTTACACCCTGACAGGTGTATTTTTGTTTTGTATACAGCTTCATGATTATAAATGTGTAATATATATGTTTTTGAAGCATTGAACATTACACTGTTAAGCTTTGCTCCATTGCTCTAAAATGGAGCATAGATTTTCTTGTCTATATTAACTATTAAAACATGGTAAAAAATAATCCCTTTTGCTAGACTTTCTTACATTATACAGATAAATTGATCATTTAATAGATAATAGATTTAAATGGTATTTAAATTTCTAATGAATTAATAGAATGAATGTTTAATACTTTTCAATCGGTTCTTCTTCTTTGTGTATAAAGGTTAAAATATGTGAAAAACTCTGTAAGATGTTTAAAATAATTGATGTTAGCAATTGTAAGAAGATATGTAATCTGTGATTCTAAGATTGTATTTCGTTTATTTGTTAGTTTTATATGATTTTGGAAATTATGTATTTTACTCATTTTGTATTTCATTTTATTTATGTGTATAATCTAATCATTAAATATATTGTTAAATATTTGAAATATGTAATATACCTAATGTATTATACGTAGAAAGAATATTATGTCATATTTATGCTTAATGTATGACAAATAACAAAAATGGAATTGTATAATGTTTTTGAGTAGTACCAACAATTTTTCAAGACTTCATGATTTTAATTTGTATTAACACACATTTTTTTATTATACCTAACATTTCATTATTCTTTTTTATTTCATTATGCAGAAGACGCGACCGGTATAGCCTTTCGTAAGCAGACAACTATCGTCCAATCACTTCACTAGTAATTTGCTTTATGCAAAAATTTATAACAACGACTGGTAATGAATATACATGCAATTTTACTTATAAATTGATATCAAAATTTATTCGGAACCATATAATTTTGTATACGTATATCTGTTTCACTAAAGAAATAAAAGTTTTATAAGGAAGGAAGAAAAACAATTCTCGATGATAATTTCAGCTAAAAGATTTTTATTTACCATGTCATTTGAAACTTTCAATGTTAAAAACTAAGGAAAACATAATGAAATAAATAACCGAATGTTGAACAATAGGAAGTACAGCTTAAACACAGACTTACTGTACATGAAAATATAACAGCATTTTTTCATCATTATTTTATCTAAATACGGCATTAATTTGTTTCTTCAAAATTAAAAAAAAAACTGTTATAATAATCATATTAAATAACCATAAATACTAACTGAACACATATGACAATGTATATTTATGTGTATTGTTTCCTTTTAAGTTATAAGAATGTTTTTTTTTAAACTTATGCTATATTTGATTTCTCGTATCTTATCTGCAATAGCAGAACAATTAATTCCAGTGATTGAAATATCGTTTCATTTATTGTAAAAAGAAAAATCACCTAATAAAATTACTGTATCTTTGTTATAAATACTGTATTCGCTGGAGATAATATCGTGTCCGATAAATATGTTTCTGGAGAAAGCATTCCAATATTTGTTTTTGGAAACGGTACCAAGTAAGTGTGATCGATCGATGGATATCCCATTTCGTTCATTTTGTTTATAAAATCCTGAAAAGCAAATCCAAAGTAGTACATAATTTTTATACTATAGTTACAAATAATAAAGTTAATAAGCTTACTTCTATTGTGTTTATGGCAGACATCAACACCGTTTCTTTTTTACCATTCGGTAATCTTAAACAAAGTCTCACAGCAGATGCATTATCTATGTAAAGAATTAGTCTTTAGAACTTAGTTATAAAAGAATATTACATAAAATTTAAATGTAACATTTTATTACCAATTTCTGGTTCGTTTGTATCACATTTGGGTTCGCACGGTTGAGCATCCTAGAACGATTTATGCACATTACTTTAAGTTATGTATACGATAAATCATACACACTTTTTAGTATACCTTTGAATTGATTTTTTGAATTTCTTCGTTTAGATCGGATTCATCTATTCTTCTCTTTTTATTTCTATTCTGAAAAACATCAATTGTTGTGCTTGTACTTGAGCTCTGAATTGTTGCCGCGTCTATGTTATTATCTGTAAATATAACAATCTATATATGTAGGTGTAATGTAAAAAAATATGTACTACATCGAGCAAAGTAGAGTTTCAAAGGAGAAATGGCGATATAGGAGAGGCAGGAATTCTGAAAATCGTAATTTTCACGAAATCCTGAAAGCTGGAAACCTGAGAAAAACTATGGGGGAGATCGAAAACTCGGTCATCACCCTTTCCCTTGAGGAAGCCTACTATGCTAGATACATACTGTAATATACACATATAACATACCTGTATCTCTTAAATTACCAATCATATGTTTAGAAGGTTGAGAAGTACTACTGCTGCAATCCTGTATATGAATTTATTATGTTAAATAAATGAAAAAGTGTAACATGAAAGGTTAAACTAAGAACAAGTAAAGAAAAATTTTGTACACACCAGTAAATTGGGTAGAGCATTTTCTTTTGTTGCTGTCACTGCACTGTTCCAGTCTTTAGAATTAAAGGAATCATTTGATACACATTCTGGTGATGGATGAGTGCTTAGCATGTCATTCAAAGCAGACATTAAAATATCCACAGTAACATGATTGTAAGTTTGCATGCATTCTCCTGTTCTAGGATCTATTATTGCTAGATAAGGATATTCGTATACATCGTAAAGATGAACATAGCGGCTCCCATCGCTTGAATTTGACAGAACCTATTTACATATACAAGAATATAGTACATATTTCATGTATATTCAACAATAATTAAATAAAATTCTTTTGTAACAACTTACTTGCCACAGAACAAAGTGATCCTTTATAATTTCTTGAATTTGTTGATTTGACCAAACATCTCTGTTAAGAATTTGGCATGAAAATTCTTGAGGATTTTGAATATTTACAAGTAACCAATGATTTAATGTCTTAGCATGTTCACGAGCTTCGATAAAAGAACCTAGGAAGAGGATATTGCATGGAGGACGAAATAAATCTTCTAATCTTTTTGATTTACAGTAAGACATTTGTTTTACACCAGCTACTTTACAAGCCATTTCTTCCTCCTGTCGTTCTATATGAAATATAATAAGATGTTATAAAATATGTATATTAGATGAGACTTAAATATAAGTAAAATGATACCTACGGGTCTCTACTGCAAAATCTCTAAATCTATCAAACACATTAGTTGATAATCTTGGAAGGGAACATACTGGACCAGATGGCACTAATATTTCTTGCGTGGGTAAGATAGGAGGTCTCACTTCTGGTTCAGGATCAGGAACAGGTATTGGTTCAGGTGCTAGTCCTCCTCCCTCAAACATTAAGCTTATTGCAGCTTCTACATTTCCATCTGTTAATGACAAATACTGACGAGCTGTTGCTTCACCTTCTCCTAATAATTAATAAATACCATATATAAGGAAGAAAAACAGTTTTCCTAGGTTCAAAACACTAACCTACCATAAGTGTTTATTAAACAATGTGTTTCTTACCTGTTACTTCGACAAATTTATCAATAAGTTCTTGATCCATTGTGTATCTGAATTATAGAAATTTATAAATACAGACATTAGAATTTTCGCAAAATTTTCGCATCCGATGCAACCATAGACTCAACACTTTATGCTCTTTAAACTGCAGCAGTGATTATGGATTCAAAAAGACTGGACATGCCTTTGTTTTCGAGGGGGTATTGATTTAGGGGGTCCCAGACACCCCCAGGCGCAGTTAGGTCTGAATGCGTAATTTGACAAACTTATATTTTGAAAAGACCGCCTAGAATTAAGTATTTTTAAAGTTCGACCACTGCGCCATCTATACACAAGCGGCGGAAACTACTCAATAAATTACCGACTTATCGACTGAACTTCCGACGGTCGGTAACCGACGCTTTGACAGTCGGTAAGTTAACGAATAGTTCGCGCCACTCTTATATAGATGGTACATTAGTCGATGGCATGGGGTGTTAGGGACCCCGAAGCACCGGTGATGCTCTGCATATCGACATTAAGGCATTTGGGGTGTCAGGGACCCCGATGCAGCGGTTGCGCTCTCTACATACCGGTCTGGTATCACTTGGGGTGTCAGGGACCCCAAAGCACCGATGATGCTCTCTGAATATCGACATTATGGCATCCGGGGTATCAGGGACCCCGATGCAGCGATGGCGCTCTCTGCATACTGGTTTGGTATCACTTGGGGTGTCAGGGACCCCGGAGCACCGGTGATGCACTGCATAAGGCATACTGACATGACATCATCTTGGGGTCTCAGGAACCCCGGAGCACCGGTGACACTGTTCGCATACCGACATTTTGGCATCCGGGGTGTCAGGGACCCCTTACCACCGGTGACACTCTTTGCTTACCGACACAATGGCATTCGGGGTCCCTGATACCCCGCGGACCGGAGATGCTGCATACCGATATTATGCCACCGGGGTGTCAGGGACCCCGAAGCAAGTAGCGAAATATAAGACCTAAAAACGAACAAATCGGGAAACTCACTTGTTCGGGCTAGTGATGGGTACGACCTGATTCGATCCTGGGGTGTCAGGGACCCCGAAGCGCCGATGATTCTCTCTGCTTACTCACATGATATCCTGGGATGTAAGGGATGCAGAGTTGTAAAGGATGCAGGAATGTGCGGGATGTAGTGATGCAAAGGATGCAAGGATGTAAGGGAGGTCGAGATGTAAGAGATGGCACATAAGGGTTTGAGGGGGTGTAACAATGCAGAGATGTAAGGGATGCAGGGATATAAAAAATGCTGCGATGTAAGGAGTGCAAAAAGGGCAGTCCCTGCAAGGTCCTTGAAAGGAATGAAAAAATAAATAACTGCGAGAATTATTATTTTAATAACAAATTTATTCGACGCTTAGGAACAGGATTCGTGGTGTTGTATTATAATACTACTGGTATCCAAATATTTGCGTTTTGTATGCAACCAATAATAAACTATAGAAATACATGATAGTATTAAAATAGAAAAGTAATGTTGATTCACAAAAATTTATATTGTAAGTACAACCAAATTACAAGTTATCCTGGAACATGAACATCTATGACGTTGATCCCTCACTGCAATTACGATTTTTAATCAATCAATTACTTTTTCTAATAGTAAATAAAACTACAAAATCTTTACGAGAATCTTAATATTAAGAGATTATGCTAAAAATTTTATATTAACGTTATTTCAACGATGTTAAAAAAAAATTATGCAGTAAGGGATACAGTTAAGCAATATTAATTATTGCATCCGTAAAAATATTTGTATACTATTACTGTTGATCTGTAAGAATAAATTACTGTAATAAACAATTAAACACTATATCGTAACTAATTCTAGAATCATACTTTATCGAATTATGCGTATATACATTATTTTAGCGATACGTTATTCTCGTAACGAAGTCCGTACTTTAATACTGTGTACGATCGTTATCGACGACAGTTCAACAATATCGTACTTAATTATTCATACACTTTGTTTTCCAATCGATTTTCGTCCAATCAGATTTATTCTATTCTTATAATTAAGCTTCTGAACAAATACTTAGCAGTACGTAACTGTGCGAAGTTCGCGGTTCGATTGATCAATTCTATTATGAAACCTAAAATTATTTCTATTCCGTCTGACAGAATAACAGTTAACGTGAAAGTTAGATACCAATGTACGTAGTTCTTTCTTTTTTAACAACCGCCAAAACTATTTAAATCTATTGAAATAAAGTATTTAGTTTAGTACACTTATATAAACATAAGTATAGTTATATAAGCTTCATACGCATATATATTACATATATATAAATACATTTCAATATATTTATATATATACGATATACACTTACATGTTTATATATACTTATACATATGCATAACATGCAATTGGTTCCCATATTTCTTTGAATTTCATATACATATATATCATGCGTGTCGATATGATAATTTAAATTATCAATAGCTTTATCACATATAGTTTGTTCTATTTACAGTAACTTTTCACGTACATCTGGAATGTTTATATGCGGTGACGGTAACATAAGGATCACGATTCGACGGAAAAATTTCAATTTCGGAACATTTATTCATTACGCTACATCGTTCTCATAATAAATTGGATCTATCGAAAACTTCTTTTTTCCTATTTTATATCAAATTTTTAGAATTTCAAATTTGATCGCGATCAAGCTCACTCTTAACTTTGTTCGAACGTATCGCTTTCGTTTATGTTTAATATTTAGTTTACAGGTATCTGACTTGTTACATTTTTACTTCAATATGTATTTCTCCAAAGCTAATTTATAAACATAACATTATGTTAATCAATGTTTTTTGTTATGAATTTTAGTAAGAGACACTCAAAGTCTTTGTCTTTTTTTTCTTTTTTAAAAGAATAGTATAGAAAGTATTTACAACTTGGCATGTTATTTATAAACCTACTATGCAACAATGTAATGGATCTATATATTCCTGAAACTGTAACTCTTTTTCTTGAATAAATTCGTCTATTTCGGCATCAGTAAAAAAGAATGAGATTCGCAACTTTATTCTATTATTTTGCACCTGCTTATCGTATATCAACTACTTTCGTGTTCCCGTGTGTACTGCTGATATAAGTGCTTTAATACTTTGTCTCTGTAAAACGAAAAATATATTGACCACTGATTCCATACTACCAATCACTGTTAATGCTTGTAACGAGTAATCATTATGTATAAGGCAAAACGTTTCACAGCAAAATAATCACAATTTTTGTAATAATGATTGTAAATTTCCACTGATTTTTTTTTTTTCTTGTTTTGAGATTCCGAACAACACGGAAAGCACAACCTATAAAGAACTCAATTACAAAGTAATCTAATACAAAGTAAGTCTACCATGTCTCTAAATAGTTAAAAAAAAGCAAATTTATTACAAAACAAACTTATTTAAAAGCTAAAGTTATAAACAAATTACGAGGTGATAATAAATATGCGAACATATGACGTTCCAAATGAGAATAAATAATGACAAATGTATGCTTACTACAATCAGTTCAATTATAATACAGTAAACAATTATGTATCAAGGAATTTCATTATGTGCTTCGAATTTTTGTTTGTAATACCATGACTGTACTATAAACAAATGGTACTTAATGTTTTGACAAAAATTGTACTTCTTTTTATAAAATGTAATGGTATTTTCCTAAAAAATATATCTTACATATATTAGAAAGCATTCAAGTTAGAATAAAAAAAAAATGTAGGAAAAAAACGTGAATTCGATAAGAAATGACTAAAAGATCGTAACAGCAGTGCGCAATAGGTGTCAGGTACTTTTTGGAATCGATGTTTTACTCAGTGCCAAAGCTTTAAAGTCATCGTAAGTATAATGAAAGGTTTTTATTATTTTCACATTGTAGTGTTAATATCACATACAAGTACACTTTAAAGCTTCTAAAGGGAGGTCCTGTAACTGAGCGTTTGATTACTATGCTTCATCACCACATTCCAAACATTTCCTAACATCCATATTGCTAATATTTATCAGTGGTAACGTAAAAAAATGCTATATATACATAACGAGCGATTCTCAGTACAAAGACCGGATTATCGATCTAAAGACAGCTCGATACGCTTAAATGATTTCACACTGCTTTTTCCAGTTTTCCTCATGCCATAGAAATTGTAACATTAATTCCTAGATTTCCATTATCGGCAAATAATTGCGCGATAGAAGTATCAAATACAAGGCAGTCTGAATTTAAAATTGCAGATGAAACGCCTTCGTGAATAGAACGCGGCATAGCTTCCCATGTTAAGCGTCTTTTATGCCCATTCAATTCTAGTCTGTTGAGCATAAGAATTTATATTAAATCCTTATCCCACTTATTGTACCATATATGTATATTTACCTATAAGCAAAATTTTCTGCCTGTTTCCTTGAACCAATCAATTGAACAATTGCGAAAAATTGTTGATGTCCATCATATTTTTCTTGTTTTTCTAGTACTAGCATAAAGTGATGACCAAAACAAGACTGCATCATTACCCAGTCCACTGCACCAGGAAGATTAATATCAGTTGCTAAAAAAACAATATCTTCTCCTGTAATAAGAGCAATGTAATTACTTTTTCCAATTAGAAATGACATAATCATATAGAATATTTGGCAAGATTACCTTGAAGTGTTGTAATACTTTTGTGACTCATAACTAGATGCGGCATTACTTGCTCAAGAGATCCTTGCCATTTACAAGAAGCACCTGGGCAAGGACAACTGTATGGACGGAATTCACATGCATCTTCATGATCTGCCTTTTCGGTATGCACCAAAGAAACAGTGCACCCACTTGTTGAATATTTGCAAGGAAACATTACATTACCTGCTACTTTTTCCATAGCCAAATTGCGAATATTACCTATATTAAAATTGATACATCAAAATAATATGTTTAGAATTTGTTATACAAGGCTCTTCATTTTTCAAAGGTTTACACTTGATATATCGCATTACATACCTAATGGACCTCTACAGGTAGGACAGCAGTTAAGCTTTGGTCGGCAATTGCTACAAACAAGGTGTCCACTCTGACATTGTAAAATTGGTGGTAGAACATAATCAAAGCAAACCGGACATTCAAATAGGCTTGCCAGGTCAGTTGAGCTGCTCAAAGATGATACAGTAGATGCAGAGGAGCTTGCAACACTCCTCCCTCTCTTTCCCGTACTAATACTTAATTGGGACATCTTTTCTTTTTGTTCTGTGTATCGAACAAGAACACTTTGCTGTTTTGATGACAAGGAAATCTGTTTAATTTGAAGATGTCTAATAAATGCGATGCATTTTGGAATGAATCATCCACCTCATATCTGTAAATCATTATAATTTCAATGATGTCACAAAGTGCTTCGTACATAAAGTTTACTGTTATAAAATTTTAATATGTAAAGAATTTCTTATATTTTACAATTGTACCTTTATCATGTATGAAACTGATTTGAAAAAAAAAAAAAAAAAATTAAAAAAAAAATATTATACGTTATATCAATTCTTATCTCAATTTACCGAGATTTTACAATTTTATGCGAATACGTATAGTTCTGTTCATGTCCCTTTGAGCAAATTAAGCGATTAAATAAAAACCTTAAAAAAACAAAACGGTTCATCGAACTCTTTGATCGTGATAAAAGTACTTCATTAATAGTAACTTCTGAAAGTTCTCATAAGAAACCGTCTTGTTTATGTATAATTCTGTATCAATAACGATGATTACACGCTACATCGATCATACGACCATTTATCGGATGCGCATTGATTATCATCATCGTTTCTCAACGGAATTTTCATGCGAAAGTTTGACCAATTTTCCTCGAGAAACGCAACAACATTTTAGATGGTGTACTCTTGGATCGTTTATCCGAAAAATTAACGAGCAGAGAATAAATTGTAGAAAATAATGTCACGAAACAAGTCACGAGTCCCATCGCGACGAATGAACGATCAACATATAAACAATGCGTGAGAAAAAAAGAGAGCGAACGATTCTCTCGTGGAAAATTCCATATAATAAAGATGAGAAGAATATATAAGTTTATAACATTAAAGAAAGCACGTATATAAACTTACCGGAATCTGGATTGACAAAAACATTAGTACGTCACTCGATGCATACAATAGTTTTCGCGCGATTCAGATCGGGAAATAGTGAAAAGTATAAGAGAGGGAGAGAGAGAGAAGGCACTTGAGAACGGTGACAACAGAGATATAAACGAGAATGAAAACGTCGAGAATAACGACAGAAGACGATACGACAATAGACAAATGTTGTTACGAAAACGGCAACAACAGGAGATTTCATGCGACTTGGCTTCGAAAATGTTGCACGAAATGCTCCCGATAATTCTCGGTACATCGATGAGGAATAAACGCGAACGCGATGAAATCGACTGTGGGAGAGGCTACATCGCGAATTCTCTTGGCCAAAGAGGCAACATTAATTGTAACGTGGCTTTTGATAGTTTTCGCTGAGACATAGTAGCAATTTGCTCCTTTTCGAACTTCCGACACTTGCAGCTCGTTCCGTACAATACGACGCACAGCAAGATGATGACACCGCAGCTGTCCGTTCGACTGTACGCCCGTCCGTTTACACCCATGCAATGCATGCAACTGCCATTAACGAGCGTTATGTCCCGTTTTTAATGCACTTTATAACAGTTTCAAACTTATTTTCATCAACGACGACATCAATTTCATTTCTAACTAAAAATATTGAACATGTATCATTTTTATGGAATTTCATCAATTCGTATACTCATTATACTTATACATACTCATTAAAAGCAGAAATATTGAATCACTACTACCGAGTTTATTCGTACATCACAAATAGTTATGTAATTTTTCTACCCATTCATTTAAACAAATACATGAAAAATATATGAAATCTTAACAACTATTAAAATGACAATTTTTGTTAACATTAAAAGGTAAACAAAAAGATGAAGTTTTAATTATAGCTACAATCAAAATTTAGCAAATTCTCTTTTATATTATGTATCTTGATTGAGGACACGAAAGGATACATAATATAAATTCATATTTATTTATAATGTAAATATGTCTCTTTTACATTAATATATTTTAAGACATATAAACTTCTATTCCTTTCCAAATTAAAAAAAAGAATGTTACAAAGTGATTTTCAATTAATGAATATTTTATTTTTGTTATAATTAAAATATACACTGTGTCATGGGTGAACCAGGCGAATAGTAATCAATAGTAACAAAATATTTGTATTATTTCCTTTAATTTCACAATCTGTTCTTTTTTTTTCATATATATATATATATATATATATATGTATATATATTTTTCACACGCAGCAAATATGGTATACACAGTATACAGATTTAACTTCAAAAGCACAATTAGCTTGGCTTAAAATCTCTTTTAAGAGAACGATTTATTTTTCGTTTGCACGTGTATAATGAAATATATTTAAGCCAAACTTTCAATACTTTTGCAACATCTGAGAAAAACTTGAATGTTTAAAGCCTTATCAGCCTTGTGTGTAATATAATTTCGATGTACTTAGAGATAGTTCCATAATACCATATCTACATTTGCTATAATGCTGTCATTTTTCAAGAATTTTGTTCAGATAATCACAAGATCTGTTGGCTGTCAGATTTTCTACAATTTGTATCATATCAAATGATACACTATACGTTAACAGTCTTCTTGCGATATGAAGAGCAGTCTTTGTACACAGGACAGTAACTGCTATACGATGCAAATGCAAAAAAGAAAAAAAAAAAAATGTCATAATCTAAATTATAGTGATTTATATTTTCACTTTAAACATTCTGTTAATTCAGTGTTTACAAAACGTTTGTTTCAATATGATAAACCACGATCGTTTTTGCAATATTTTTATACCTTTCACATAACACAGGAGTACACGAGTGTAATTTTTTAAAACCACTTGATCGAACAAATCAAGTTTACATCAAACTGTATTCATTGTTGCAATTTGAACGTAATGAAAGAAAAAAAACGGTATTAGATGTATAATAATAAAATTATAAAGACAATTGTGTAAGTTACAGCATACTTATTGCTCTTTTTTTTCTATGACTCTCAAATATTTTAGAATATTTTGTAACCATCTTCTACCACTCGCGCACTCTTCGCGTATCTACCCAGGACGTTCATATTTTAATTATATTCATTTTCAAATATTTTTATCTTTCTCTTAATTTCTATTTCATTTATATACTAATCCGCACACGTGTACAATACCTATGTGTACACGTATATACATATAACATACGAAACATGCGTATGTATCCTATGATACCTTACAACTCATATAAGTTACAGGACTTAGTTTAGATTATAAACAAATAGATGATAATAGATAATACGTATAGGTTATAAATTTACGAGGAAGAAGTATGTTTAATTAGGAGTACGAACCATTGGTCCATGAATGGTAATTTGTTTTTATATCTATCGATTACCTCTAACCGACGAGTGTTTTCTGAACTGAAACTGTTTATCGACATAACGTCCTATTGTATATAAACGACACAGTGTTGCATTTCTTGCAATAAGAATAACACCAAGCATATAATAAACAATACTTTAGTAATGCAACTTAAGATGCTAAAGAATAATTAGAGTATTAAATTATAAGATATACATGTTAGTATTATGAATCATGAATAACAAGAAAATAGGAGTAAATCAGTTATTTTAATTTTTACTTTATCTATAGCTTATATGTAAGATAAAGACAGCTGTACGTATGAAAAATTTCTTTTCATTAGAGTAGTCTCTTAATTTAATAGTTTCCATATTAATGGTCACAATAATAGTTGTATCGCGTGATAAATGAGAAAATGTGCACAGACAGAAAAAAAGACACGATTTTTTTTGTTTGACCTCTTAGATTACACCAATTGCAAATGAACGAAAACTTCATTTGTTCTTTTAATAAATGTACATAGACTATCTAGTATTTTACAGACTCGACGTACATAGATTAGAGAATTTGGGGCTTTAAAAGGAGTTTGACAAAGACCCCAGAAGTTCATTTATCCCAATTTTCTCTATCTCAGTCTCAGACTGTATTCAAATAAAGTTGGTCTACTCCTTACTATATTCTTGCTGTATCACCAAGTTCTGAGTATGTAAGATTTATACACCCATTTTTAATATGGTTGATGTCTTTGAAACTGACGCGGTCCCTGACCGTTTCCTCTTGGCTTACCTTGAGCCCCGTATCCCATATTGTCATACCCATCGTAACCAGCATAATCATAGTTTGCGTACATATCGTCGTATCCTCCTTGATAGCCATTACAGTATTCAGGAATGTAGCCATAACCTCCACCGTATCCGTAACCATAGCCCGGACCCCAGAATCCTTGATTCCTTGGATCTGGATTGACTTTTACTTTTTTGACATCCACTTCTTTACCATTTATCGTTTGTTTCGGTGTTTTCAATAGTTTATATACAACTTCTTTAGAGTCAAAAGTTATGAAGCAAAAACCTTTTCTCTGGTTTTTTACCTTATCAAACGGTGCTTGCAATTCAACAATTGTACCGTATTGCCCAAAATATGATTTGATATCTTCGTCAGTGATTTCAGGAGTAAGGCCACCTACAAAAATTTTACCATGCTGGGGCTTTTTACTCACCCGTTTTGGATCCACCTGAGCGAAAAGAAGAGATTTTATTAAACGTGAAAATTGATAAGAAATAAGAAGAAAAATTAGAGCTTTCAATTGTAAATTATGAATATTTATTCATAATATATGACCAACCTTTCGTTTGTTGATATAATGCTCGCCAGACGCCAAAAGTTTGTCGATTGTTTTAGGATTGGTAAATACCATAAACGCGAAACCTCGTGAAATACCAGTATATGGATCAATTTTAACGGAAATGCTTTCAATCTCTCCAAATTTGCCAAAATGATCCCGTAATTCCTTGTCCGTGGTATTACGCGACAAACCACCAACGAAAAGTTTGCGTTCGTCATCCTTGCCTGGAATTCCGGCGGTGGCTTGTTGCTGCTGAGGCTGATGTTGCTGTGATTGTTGTTGCTGTTGGGTTTGTGACTGTTGGCCGGTACCTTCGTTCTGGGCTTGATTCTGGTAACAGTCAACCGCCGCCATCGCGTACCGTTTAGAGCTTACCACGTTAAAATCACGGCAGAAAAATACAAATAGGGCTGGCTGAACCGACGAGATCGGTAAAAGCAACGGTGTACTGCGCACAAGAATAATTTCGGAACGGTTGGCACGCGTCACAGTCGGTTCTTATGGTGAACCGGTGCCGGCTTATGACCGAAAGAAAGAGAGTCAGCAACAGTTTCCGATTCCCTCTGAGCCTGTATTAACATCACGCTATTCGTTCTTTCTAGTGAGACGCAATTCTTGTCTCCAATCACAACGATAGATCCAACAGACAACGCCGGAAATTCCAGTTTATTTCCGGTGATCGTTTCATAACTAACTTTAATTAATTTTTTAATAAGATGAAAAATTAATATGTTCACGTATTCGTTCGATGTTTAAATTTACAACTTATTTTTGTAACGCTTCTTTGCTCTCATAATAGATAATTATCAAAAGTCCTTGAAAATCGTTGAACACGAACAATGCACGAATACCTTTGTTCCCAACGGTGAGATCCAAATCTCGCATTCGTTGAAAATTTTATATTTCTAATTCGTTCTACAGGATTAACGTTGTAACGTATTTTGTTCACGAATGACCTTTTTTGTTCTTTGCATAACGACCGATTCAGGTTAGGTTAATGTTCGAGTTGTCAAAATGAAAAGTTTCAAGTTTAAACAGGATATCGTCATGTAGTGTATCTGTGGGTTATCGTAATATGCATAATCGAAAATCATTGATACATTGTGTATGATCGAAATCATATACGATTCGATGCAGAAAAGTCGAAATCATTGTAACAGTAACGCACATATTTTAATCAGATTTGATACGTATCGTTTTACTTGGCCCTCTTTTTTTTTTTGCACACAAAATCAATGGGATAATTCATAATTACTCCAAATTGAGTTGGTACAAGTACATTTACGATAGAGGACGAAGATGAAAGTAATAAAAATGTTAACTGTTCGAGTAGATTTCGCCTTTGATCATTTAATTGATAACTTTCAATTGTAAATGCTGAAAAATGACTTTTATTTTCAATATTCTGTTGGAAATTCGAAGACACGTGCTGTTCTTACTTATTTTCGCACTGTTTAAAGTCGTTGCTTTCTCGGTACATATATAAATATAGTCAGACAGAGAAGGTTGTATAAATAAAACACAGGCCCTCGGCAACCCCGGCTTATCTTTTCTTCGGTCGAACAGTTTAAGAATAGAATAAGGTTCAACGGGTAGACTGACGTGTTGTTAATAATAGAGCACACTCACTTACACCTATAAAAAAATATGGTACAAATGTTTTCATACAGAATTTCTTACTATAAAGCAATGCTCATGAAATCTGAAACGACTGTATAAAACTAAAGCGTCGATTACCATTGTTTTATACACGTTGAAAGAAGGTGTTCCTTCCTTGAACTGTTTTATCGTTCTTTTGTTGGCAAAAGTGAGTAGAGATAAACTCGCACGATGGCGCCACAATATTTACTGACGCGCGGAGCGGTTTTATCAAATTTCAACAGGAGCAACTTGCTTTCGTGAAATTTAACTATCGATATATCGTTTCAAAGGATTTGTATTCGAAACATTGATAAAGGAGCAGAATAAATTACAATATCTCTCAATTATAGTTCGATTAGAACAATGAGGTTTTTCTTTTCACCTTCACCACGTATTGCAAAATGTATTTCAATGTTTCGCCGTACGCTATTAAAATAGTAACAATCTTGCAAGTAACCAATTGTATAAATAGGTGCATGCATCATGCAACTCAGTGTACGTGATCTATTCGATATCTGATGGAGGAAGCTTTCTCTTATAGATGTTGCGGTTTTGTAAATATTTATTTTCTAACGTTATCACTATCAACGAGGGTTGGATGAACTGTCCATTTTTTTGTCCAGAATCGAAATGTTAGTAACTCATTTGATTATCGTTTATGGCTTCCATTCTGTTAGGTAAATTCTTTCCATAGATCTCGCTCGATGGTGGTCAGCGAAAAGTAACATCTATAGAAACGCATAGCGTCGCGACACGGCTGATAGCTTTCTTATAAGGGGGTTGAGAGACGAGGGGGTGGGGCGTCGCGACGCTAGGCGTCGCTGGCGTCGAACCGGCAGCATATCGTCGAGTCGAGTCGAACGTGTCGTGTGCTGTCGCTATCGCCGCCTTCGCCGTCGCCGTTGCCGTCGTCGTCTTCGTTGTTACCGTTTTACATCGAAGGGATTTTGAAAATCATTCGTGTCGGCAAACCTCGATTTTTCTTCCCTTCGTTTTCAAACGTGAAGAATATACGTATTTTGGTTTGCTCCTCGTCGCATTTTCTCGACCACTCGTTCGTTCGTTCGTTCAGTCGACACCTGACCTCCCGGCCGACGAAAGAGCGCGATAAAAAGGAAGTTTGCTCGTCGAAGGGGCCAGGGGTACGGTTAACGTTGCGATCGGGGGTTGCAGTAACGTTTGTGTACCAAGTCGAGCGTGCGGGGAGCAAAACGCGTAATGTATCGCGAGTGAGAAAATTAGGAAAGGAGGAAGGAAAACGAGCCGAGTCGAGTTGAGTCGAGAAAGGAGGAAAAGCGAGTGAGAGAAAAGGGAAAAGGGAGACCCGGAAGCGAAGGTCCTGGAGTATCCGTTAGTGGTGCAGGAGAGCGAGAAGCAAGGGATCGGTCGTTCGAAACGGAAGATCACCGGGAAGATTCGCGAGAGTGCGAACTGGACGATAATCGTAGTATGAGAGAAGAGCAGCACGCAGCGAGAAGGTAAGGGTAGTCGATTGATTCGCCGTCGATGTAGACGACGCCTCTTTTGCGCCTACTTCTCTAACCCATTCTCGGCGTACCATCTACACGGCAGCTGAGAGGGAAAGAGAGTCGGTCGTTTAACGGAACCGGAAGATCGCGAACGCGATCGAGGGCTAAAGAAACGTCGTCGATCGGAGCGAATGGGATAAGAGAAAGAGAGAGAGAGAGAGAGAGAGAGAGAGAAAGAGGGGGTTGAATGTTGTGTGCGTATACGTGTGATTGCGAGTGTGTAACTAGGTGCATCATGAATAATACGCGTAGCTTACGAACGAGCACACGTTTGCCCGATTCCTGCGTTCGTGGAAGCGCGAGGGTGTAGAAACGTGCACGCGCTTACGTTACATCCACACGCGTACCTACACGTAGATCCGCGTACATATAAATATAATCGAACGCACCCAGATATCTATTTATAAGTTTAAACACAAGGCAAGAAGAAGAAGGAGTGGTGGAGAATCTGTAGCGTTGGTAGCCGATGCTCGGTCTTTGCTAGATAAGTATGCGTGCCGCACGTTTTCGTTCGTGGTGGTGCTCTCTGCCAGTGGTCCCTTCCTACAATGTTGCTACTCGCGCGACGACGATGATCCTGACGATGCTGCTGGTAGCAATAGCGTGCTAGCTAAACGAAATACGGGAAAGGGTATTTTCGACTAGATTCGCAGTGTGTCGCGAGAAAGAAGAAGAAAAGTGAAGCAAGGGGAGATAGAAGAACTCGAACGAAAGAATAAGTTCTGATATTAAAGGATCGCGGTCGCGAGTGCGTCAACGCGGATATGACGAGCGGATACGCCCGACTCACGTGACACGCGACATCGCTTTAACTGTACCACTTTCTATTGCAAGATATGCGGTAAGTCACGAGATCGAGTCATTTCCGATTTCGAGATCATTCTTACTCGAGGCTTACCTTATAGAATAATATTATTTTCAAGCTATCAAAGTGTCGTTGACATAAAATTCTTTCTCGAACTTGCCCCCTATTGAATAGCTTCCGTGTTTCGCGGCAAAACTTAACTTTCTTGTAAAATTTCATCAAACACGTGTAGGTACCAGATGTATTTCGCTCCTCCTTTCTCCATTCCATAGGTTGATTCTAATTTTTTAACAGTTCGTCGATTAGACACGCTATCGAGAGAGTTTATCGTTTATTTGATGCTTCAACTATCATAAAAGTTGGACCGTGAATTCCTATAAAAGAGGGCAGTACTTAAATGTCAGTAAAAGGGCAACGCGTTATTTTTCTTTAATATCGTTGCTTGAAGTGTCAAGGTTAATAATACTTCCTCGTTCCTTTGAAAGAACCTTTACAAATGTAGATTTAGATTAAATGAAATTTCCTGTTTGTGGCATAAAGATTCTAAATTTCGTCTTTACTACTTGCCTGGTTTTACACACTGACCGTGTAATTTATGTCGCGAACCTGATTCGTGTCAAGTTCATCGGAAGTGTTTGGATTACACGCACACCTAGTCTATTTCACTGACTAGTTAGCTTGAAATACCAAAGGCTACTTCTTGAATACCTTCGACTTTACTTAGCCGAGAATGATTAGCCGAGAATGATCGCGAGGATGGTTGACGTTAATCCGCGAGTCTGTTGGTCGAGATAACGTGAAATTCCTTGGAGAAATTGTCGCTTCGATCGACCTGGTTCTCTATGGTCCAAAATCTCGGACTAATCCCAAGGAAATTCGGGTCGATGCATAATGAGGTTCTACCTCGGACTCCGAGTCGGCATTCCAAGGCATTCCGCCAGGAATGTTGCGTTTTCGAAATGTAGATCATTATTTGATGGGTAACCGTGTTACCGGATTTAGGTTTACCTTATTCTCTTTCTGGATCCTTGGGGTCTGTAGGTCAGCCTCGTTTCGCGAGTCGGAGAAAAACATTTATAAGGTCGAAGATAGTCGTTTCAGTTGGTTCGCGACGACGGGAATTCTCGTGTCCATTATTAGGAGGCTGGCGCCAGCGATCTGGAGGGTATCAGCGTCGCCGTACAGTTTACGAGGACGCGGTGCTTCACGAACCGACGCGACGCGACGCGACGAAGGCAACGCGTCCTCTGATCTCGACGAGGAAAAACAAAAGCTCTTGGTTCGGGCGTGTTCGCTCGATATTCAGGCTAATGATATTCGGTATCATGCCTGTGAGAGAACTAGTCACGCGAACGGAACACGACGATGGATAAAGAGAGATTGACTTTGATTTCCCTCGAACCGCTGGGCCACCCCTTGTTTTCCCATTTATCTAATGAATATTGTCGCGTTGGTCAACCGTTAAGAAAGTTTATTACAATGGAAGCCCGATCATCGTCCTTGATAATGTACACCTCGGATAAAACCTTTTTTAAACCTCTTTTCACACCTTTATTCTAACGTGATTCTAACGTTGCATAGGAACAGTTATTTTCGCGATGACCGCCACGGCAAGTTGATTGTCGCAGTAGAAACATCCGTGTTTGGTGCGGCACGCGGTAAGACGCGTTATTAGCGCGTTGACTGCCGCAGTGGAAATAGGCACGCATAGTCAGACAGGTTGGAGCGTGTCTTTCTTTTCCAAGAGTATCGATACTCATCGATCTCCCATTTAATAAACACGGGTATCGGTTAATACGGTTCGCAAAGCACCAATAAGAAGTATTCTTTGGTGATACAGGATCAGCCTAATAACGTTTGAATTGCAATTCCATCGGGTTTCCGTTTTACGACGCTTCCGTCGACGGATTGCTTTAGCGGCAAGGAAATATCGTTTCCTTCTCCGTCTAGGCTCTGGGTCCTAGACTCTCTGTTATCGTGAAACGCTCAAAGTTTCACCTCGACTGTATCGATCGACTTTATTAGAGATGAAGCTTTTTCGTTCCTGCCAAAGATATCGCAATTTTCAGGATTCTTCTCGATGGAAAAGAAGGTGATGGATCAAATTAACGAGTGGTATCAGTTTTCTGGGTTGACGGTCGAAAAGCTGAGCAATACTTTACAATACCTTACAAGGTGTATCTGAATCGAGTTGTTTTTTTCGCTGATGAATTAGCATTTTCGTGGGAATCGGTGAGAAAAAGGCGGTGAATCAAAGATAATTGGAAGTATGGTCGAATCGAGTGTGTGTGGGTTTTGAGCGTCATCCACTTGGGAGGCGAGAACGCAGGAGGTAGAGGGCGAGTCATCGATGTGTTACAAGCATCTCTTTGACGAAAGAAGCGTCAATTCTGCAGATTCGTGGTTAGGATATCATCCCAATGTTCTCGGCTTCGTGACCTAGAGTACCAACTATTTTTAAAACTCTTGTTTCCCCGTTCGTACATTCGTCGAAGCAGCGACCAACGATTTTTCATCCACGCTCTTCTATTTCCTTTCCTTTTTTTTCCCTGTTTGCCTCTGCTTGTTACGGTACGATGTTTTTCATGAATCAGTCGGGTTAAATATTACAGGATGTTGTTTGCCCTACTTGCCCGTTTAATTCTACGAAAATTCAGACCTCTTGCAGCTTTCTACCATAATAAAACGAAGTAATTTGCAGACGGAAAAGGTTTCTGATTTCTTCAGCAATTTCGATCTCTTGTTAGCTCCTTTTCTTTTCAGCAAAGAAAAGAGAAAAAATTGAAAAAGAGGCAAGTTGGAGAACAATTCGAGTTTGTTCTATTTTAAACGATAGATAAGAGAAGTTCGACGATCTTGATGGGTGCCCGGACATGTGTCTAGGAGTAAAAATATCTCGAGTACAGGTTCGAGAAGAAGCTTTGATCGCGACCGTGCCACGGCTCTTACAAATTGCTCCAACTCGAGAATTTTCGGTAGAATTCCATTCGATATTGTCATAAAGAAGCTTACTCTTTTTTAAAAAGCATTTCTCTTTTGCAAATATCAAAAGAATTTTGAAGGGACGATTTAGAATTCAACGGGGAGATAATAATCGACGTCTGAATTTTAGCGAGCCGATTATCATTGAAATGCGATGAATTTCGTTATGAATCGGACGCCGCGCCGCGCCGCGCCGGCTGATTCAGATTCAACCAGCCGTGTTCCAGATGCGAGCATTGTATCGCATTAACGAATCGACGGTTAATTAATGGAGATCGAGCGATCTCTATCCTACCATTTCTTGCGATGCTCCAATTCCCGACTGTCCCTGTTGGGCACAGCATAATTGAAACGTTTAATCGAAACGTCTAACATTATATTAACGAAATCGAACAGCTTTCTCCATTTAACCAACTCTTTGTCCACATGACGTTGGAAAAAATGTAGGCATCTAGTGAAATTTCAAGTTTCACCATTGAACACAAAATATTTCGATTCGATGCAGTGGACGGTTCTCGATGCATCGTTTATTTCGAATAGTTCGAGGAAGAGGAAAACAGGGAAACAGGAAGAAAAGGTTGGGAGAAACTGGGGGCTGCATATTTCACGAACGATCGACCTTCTTTCACGAAGTCGAGAAACGACTTTGTGACGCTGAAATATTGATATCAAGCTGGAAAACTCGGCTCGAGTTAACGGACAATAGAATTACGTGGGACGCATTGCACCGGAAACGATGCTCCCTTCTCCTTACGTCCCACCCTTTTCTCTCATTCTTCATTTCTTTCCTCTTTTCTATAAATTTCCATTTACTCTATTTTTCTTCAATTCGATAGCCTTTGCGAGAACTTTCCTCTCCAACTTGTTCACCTTCTGCTTGTAATAATTACCATTACGATTTCATGAATACTTTTTAACATCCGTACTTACTGCCAGCCTAAACGTTCCTGCAGATCAACTTCTGGATCGTTAACCCACGGAGTTGTAATTAACGGAAGCTAAATGGCTTCTGCCGCGGGAATCCTTGTTGGAAATAGTTCGCAATCAGCTTCTCTGGTAATCTAAGTAGCAATTAAGGAACCTTCTTAATCGATACGATCGATTCGCGGATATTGGATTATCACGTTAATTGCCGTGGGCGGTCATCGCTGACCGACGCCATAGCTTAGAAATTTGATGATGCAAAACACACTGATGCGAACAAAGTTCACCTCTGTATTTCTGTTGCCACTTCTTTCTTTAATTTGCTGCATTTCACTGGCCTGTACTCGTTCCTTTAAATTCGATAAACGTGGGAGGTGTATCGATGAAAAAAGGGCTGAAAGGAGGAAAGAGATAGGAAGGATCGGGCAGAGCGCATGCCAGAAAGTAAACGGGTAAGCGGCCCAGCTTGCTTTCGTTGGAGCAAAGTAGTGAACTAAATTTAACTCGTTAGCACCAGTCGGTGACCATCTTACCAACATACGTGTCTTTGTATTCGTTCGACACGAGGTGGAAAGTTTGTTAATACGTTCACAGCCACGGGAGTCACCGATTAGCATGGCTACAAAGAAAGAGTTACTCGAAAACTAAAATAACAATCGCAATGGAAAATAATAGGATTAGGTGAATAGGTTTCGTAGGTTTCTCATACGTCAGTCAATACGTTTGATCGGAAGGCTATGAAGAAGATGGAAGAGCGAACGAATAGCTATAGTAGCAATGACTAACGATCGACCATCGATCAACCAATCGACACGTTTTTCAAAATTTTTCATGTCGTGTCAGAGAATTAACAGAAAAAGTTTGTTTTATCGTATGCTAGGGGGTTGAGTCCTAACGAGAGATTGTTTATAGAGAAATCGATAGATCGGTAGTAGAGTGGTAGACTATCGATTTCAGACAGGTTGATGCGATGCGATTGAATGGAAAGAAGCAAACAGGCAGGCGAGAAACTCGCTGGTTGGTAGAGCTTTCTAGTATTTAGGCTCACTAAATATAGCGCGAGTCCGCTATAAATCCCAGGCTCCCGGACTTGCCGAAATCCAAGCGGTGGCTCGTCTCGCCTCCCCTTTTTTACCGTCGATCGGTGTACTTTCGATAAGAGGGCTTTCTATGCAACGTTCAGAAGCGAAGAAAGGGAAAGGGTGGAACATCGAGGCGACAAGAATGAAACAACGTTTAGCTTTTAGTTGCGATCCTTTCCCTTAACCCTCCATCTAACCATCGCACCGCGGTGACGAAGGAATTTATTCGTGTAACGTAGCCTTGAAAATTGGTGCGAGAAAAGAGACGCGGAACTCCTTGCTCCGGTGGTTATAAATATTTATCGTTTCCGGCGCGAACTCTCGAAAACCAGTGAGAGCGTTTGCAATAGACCTTTCGTCGTAAGCTCGATGAAGTACCGAAATGTCAGAGCTCTGGATAAATAGGGCAGAGCTGTTAGGTAGATAATATAACGTCCAGGTTGAAAAGATCGGATACAGATTGATCGATACGAAGGCGGAAGTGAGGTGAAGGTAAGATAAAGAAAGACTAATAAAGGTGTGTATAAAATGTTTAGGTCACGGAGGGAGGTTCGAAAGAGCCCAGTGCCGTAGCATGCCGGCGAGCTGCAGCGGGTGGTGGGGCGTCTCTGAGAGAGCGCGTCGATCGGCGTCGTCGGGCGTCTACTCGGGCGTCTGCGTGGTCAGGCAGGGTCCGGAGAAGCGTGCCTACGCGTGTATAGCGGGATTAGAAGGAGGAGGAAGTGAAGGCGAAGGAGGAGGAGGAGGAGGAGAAGGAGGAGGAGGAGGAGGAGGAGGAGGAGGAGTAGGGGACGGAGGCGGAAGTAAACGGAAGCGAAGGCGAAGAGGTAGAAGAAGAAGAAGAAGAGAGCGTGCAAGTATAAGAGTAAGCCTGGAGGTGATAGGGGCGAGGAGTAGGGACCGATGAGCGCGGGGGGGGATGGGGGCTCGGGGTTGGGCCCCCCTGAGCTGCCGGGGGCCCAGCCGACTGCCGCGACCCCCCCCATCCTCGGGCAGCACCGGAACCCCCAATCTGGCCAGGACGGACAGCCAGCTACAGCACTGTCGCAAACGGGCCAGACACTCGGGACCAACACCGGTGCCGCCAAATCCGCAACCAAGAGGCCGGCTCGAAGGGGCGGTAAACCTCCGCCCGATAGGCCTGTCAGGGCCCTTTTTTGTCTACCCCTCAAGAATCCTCTGCGAAAAATGTGCATCGACGTCGTCGAATGGAAGTATCCTTTATTTTTACTCTAACAAATGTCTAGCCACATCGTTCAGGGATGAAAAGAAAAAAAATTTTCGTGTCTCGTCTGTTCGAAAACAAAGTAGACCAATAGAAGAGGGTGATGGAACTGCCTGTCAATGCCAACCCTCGTTGACAAATCTCGCTTCAACGGTACATTGTCCCAATTTCGCTTCTATTTCGGTCTCTTACGTAAAACGTTTAAAACACGTATCGAAGTATTCGATACAAAACTTAGAAACCGGAGATCCCCTTCTATTATTTCGTTTCTTCTTTCCCGCGTCGCTGGTAACAACGGGAAAAGATAAAATTCCGTAATCTATGGGGAAAGTTCCCAATACCTTTCAGAGTCTGTTTGTACTTTAAAGCCTTTTAAGATCTTAAGAAGACCAGGAAGAAGTTAAACAAAAGTTGCCTTATTCCCGGCTCCAAGTTATTTTCATTTTCCTTAGCTAGAGCTGCAATCGACGCGACTCTCCAGACCTTTCGAGTGGCTTATTCTCATGACGATATTCGCGAACTGCGTTGCCCTGGCAGTCTACACACCATACCCGTTCGGTGATTCTAATTTGACCAACCAATATTTGGTAAGTACATATCCTTTTTATTAACTCGATGATATTTCATTCGTCGTCATTAACCCAGCCGCACCATCCTGCTCTGTTTACGTTCTTGTCAGGCACGAATTGATTTAACGATCGAGATACTCTGCGTCATAAGTAAAGATAGCCTGTTGGTAGTTTTCATTTTTCCTTATTTCTTATTTGAGAAACCGAACCTACCCAAAACGTCAGGTTTCGCTTCGAGAAAGAGAAAACAAAACGATTGCTTCGGATGTCAAGTATAATATATCTTGATCCGAGCAACAACTTTCGATTAAACTAATAATAGAGAAGATAATAGAAATAACTGTTCCGTTCATCGAACCACGTGAACCGACCGGGTTATCGGTAAATAAACACTATGTCCAAGAGATAGGGTTGATGGCATGAAACTTATTCGAGGTGAAACCTCAATAATTGTTCAATCTTCCTGACAATCGGGGCGCACTGTTCCCTACCATTATCGGAAAACATGCTTCGTATGTAGGCCCACTGAATCTTTTTTTCACCGGTACGAACACTAGAAAAATTAAACGAGCAATTAGGAAAATGAATTAGTTCGTTGTATCGTATGCCGCGGTAGGCGTGGCTTTTTCCGCTGCACTTTTTTAATAAAGCGAACCTTGTTAGAAAGTGGAATTTTTCCACGGGTTTATAGGACAATAGCGTCCGTGTGACCGCAAGAAGGGAAATCGGTGAGGTGCGATCGATATATAAAGGACGTAGAGTGTACAGGAAGGTTGGACATCCTTCGAAGGGTGGGATTCAGCACACGATTTTCATTGTTGTATCTCGTTATTACTATCGACTGTTTGTTGGAAACATTTACGTCACGGCCTCTCCGTGGTCGGTCGTTGGTCGATGCGTGCCAAGAAAGAGCGTACAACAGACGGACAGACAGACAAGTGGGTGTGGATGGTCTTGATCAGCCATCGATAAACTACGCGGACTTTAAGTAGTATAAACGTTTAGGGAACTTCCTAGCAACTGTGAATGGATACGATGAGTCATTGATTCAGGTCCGAGTTTCTGCAACGTGTTCCACTTGATTTTTCGCAAAATCCTCAAACTTCTTCTAAATATTAGCTTAATGCATATCGTTTCTGTTCATTAAACATTCAATCTATGTTCTATTTTCTACGAAATAGTATGTGAAATTGAAATTTTATGAATGGCTATGTTTCAGGAAAAAATAGAGTATATATTTCTTGTGATTTTTACGGTCGAGTGCGTGATGAAGATCATCGCTTACGGTTTCGTGGCTCATCCTGGAGCTTACCTTCGGAACGGATGGAACATATTAGATTTCTCGATAGTAGTCATAGGGTGAGTACATTTATTTTCCCTTTAACGTAGGTGTACGAGTTTCAGTGAAAAACGCGCAGCTCGTGGAATCGTTTTACGCGTGACACGTTTCACGGTCGAAAAATCAGTCGAGATTAATTTTGTTTTAATTGAAATTGCGAGCGAATATTTGTATACCGTTTCTTTCCAGAATGGTGAGCACGGTGTTGTCGATACTAATGAAAGAAGGCTTCGACGTGAAAGCGCTGAGGGCTTTTCGAGTATTACGACCCCTTAGGCTGGTTTCCGGAGTACCGAGTAAGATTTCCGTGTAAAACCGATGATCGAAATTCTTTTATTATTTTTCGAACCGCCGCGTCGCATATTTGGAAAAAGAAAGCAACGGATAACGAGTGTCTGTCGATTTCTGCAGGTCTTCAAGTGGTCTTAAACTCTATTTTGAGAGCGATGATACCCCTTCTACATATCGCTCTGCTCGTTCTATTCGTCATCATTATTTACGCTATCATTGGCCTCGAGCTGTTCTCTGGCAAAATGCATAAAACATGCAGGCATAATGTGACTGGTAAGTATAAACGATCCTAGCTATTTGGTACGTTCGAAATCGTAGCGTAGAATTTCGTTTCGGCACGGTCCACTCGATTTCACGCGTATCGGTAAACTACGTCAGCAAAAATTGGTGAATTTTCGTGAATCAGCTGTTTACCGCGAGACACGCAGCTCGCGTTCCACGCGCTAAGAATAATTAGACGTTAGTTTCGCCGTGGTTGAATCATATCTAAAATAGATAAGTGTGTTTCGGGGTTAAACCGGGAACTCACTCCCTCGACCCGAGATCTGCCAACTTCTCGTCGATATTCAATTTTTCCAAAAATTCTTTTCCCCGTTCAATCTTTCCTCCGTCGAGGAAGTTTCAGCCGCGTATCTATCGCGCGTCGCGTTTAAAAACGATCACGCGCATTATCGGGTCTGGCTGGGTGCTTTGAATACGTGTCACTTTTTTTTTTTTTTTTTTTTTACAAATCGTATATACGAGATGGAAAGCATTGTATCGAATAAGAAAGGCCGTTAAAGTAAGGATGACAGCATGTTATAACGTGGCTTGTTACGAATACAAAGGAGCTGACTTCGATTCCTGCTACACCTGTCACCCCTATTTTCCACGGATTCCTACGTAGTAAGCTCTCCAGCTTTCTGACTTAATTCTGCATCGCATTGTACTTCGAAATATTTTAAACGCATCGTCGTTCATTGTTCAAAGTCAGTCGAGCGAGGAACTTTTGTTTCCAATTTAACGCGTTAGCATTCGAATTGTGTGTGTTGTAGACGCGATAATGGAAGAGCCAGTTCCTTGCGGAGACGGCGGCTTTCAGTGCGACAACGTTGGGCCCGATTACTATTGTAGCAAACAATTTTGGGAGGGTCCAAACTGGGGTATCACGAATTTCGACAACTTTGGCCTTGCCATGTTGACGGTCTTCCAATGTGTCACGCTCGAGGGTTGGACGGACGTACTTTATAGCGTAAGATCGATCTCGTAACACATCGGATAGTCGATTGAATCGAACGCTTTCTTTTAATGTCATCTCGTTTCTTTCGTGTTTTATTGTCCCATCTTTAGATCGAAGACGCGATGGGAAGCTCGTGGCAATGGATCTATTTCATTTCTATGGTCATACTTGGAGCTTTCTTCGTGATGAACCTGATTCTCGGTGTGCTGTCCGGGTTAGTATAATTGGCACGATATTTTTGGTAATTAAAATATGTAGACAGCATAAAAAGAGTGAAAATTTTCGTGCTGTATCCTAAGATACGGCGCACACAAGTCGAAAGTACCTTTCGATTTTTTCGTTTCGTTTCGTTTTGCTCGAGAACATTTGAATTACGCTCGAGACAGGCTGTCTCTAATCACGCCACGATATCGTGCTCTTTTACTCGATACAGCGAGTTCTCTAAAGAGAGAGAGAAAGCAAAGGCGAGGGGTGACTTCCACAAACTCAGGGAGAAGCAACAAATCGAGGACGATCTGAGGGGTTATCTGGATTGGATCACGCAGGCGGAGGACATCGAGCCGGAAACCGACGAGCCGAAAATGCAAGACGGCAAATGTACGTGACCTGTTTACTTATTTACCCTGCTCCTTTAATTTCAATCTTTCGCACTTTTAATTACTCCGAGCAATGAATTTTTTCACTTGCTTTTCACCGTACAAATGCTCTCTTCTAATTACACGATCTCTTGAAAATAAATGAGACCGAAATACAGAATTATTTATTCGTTAATTAAGAGTAACGTTAATTCGTGTACGTGTGTGAAGAGTCGATAATTAACCAGTCGATCTAATTAACGGATTGCCGCTGACCTGCTATTACTTCGGATATTTGCAACTTCCCTTTTGTTTATATTTTTAACGAGTTCTACATTCGTTGCAACGTTCGAGGGTGAAATTTCTAATTAGTATCCGTCATTTGACCGTTACCGATAGAAAATTGAGAAAATGTTTAGCGAACGTTGGCGAAATGGCTGTTTCAGCGAAACAGCAAAGCGAGATGGAGAGCACGGATCAGCTGGAGGGTGACGAGGAAGGAGTTCAACAAGAATCCGTGTGGAGGAGAAAAAAGCGGGACTTTGATAGGTAAGAAAGGTTGCCTTTTGTCCGCTAAACTGATCGTTCGCTCGGTCGAGACCCATCGAACGTTTCTTTCAATCGAAATGTTACGCGTCCCAACAAAACGAGCCTCGCCTCGTTTATCGTCGGCTTTGATCGAACGAATTTGCAATGGAAATTCGCAGAGTGAACAGGAGAATGAGAAGGGCCTGTAGAAAAGCCGTCAAGTCGCAGGTTTTCTACTGGTTGATCATAGTATTGGTTTTCCTGAACACCGGAGTTCTGGCGACCGAACACTACAATCAACCGCATTGGTTGGATGATTTTCAAGGTATTTTGCGTCGGTAACGCGATAAACAAATTTTGCAGCATCCGATACGTGTGTGTGTGTGTTTTTTTTAATACAAAATAAACATTTATTGGATGCGCGAAAACAAAGGGGCTGCGTTTAAAATTTCGCTATTCTTGCACACAGAGATCACGAACATGTTTTTTATCGCGCTGTTCTCCATGGAGATGATGCTGAAGATGTACAGTTTAGGATTTCAAGTAAGTTTCCGATGTTGAAAACTTACAAATATGTAAATGATTTTCTTAAACGAGACGTCTATTCTCAGGGTTACTTTGTCTCGCTGTTTAATCGTTTCGATTGCTTCGTGGTGATCGGCTCGATCACCGAGATGATCCTTACGAACACACAGGTGATGCCACCCTTAGGCGTCTCCGTTCTCCGTTGCGTCCGATTACTCAGGGTATTCAAAGTGACAAAGTAAGTCTAATCTTTGTCAGGAAATTTTCCAAACACATAAATAAGGAAGTAAAGTAACCAGAAAATATCGATCAATTTTTTTTATAATAGATATTGGAAGTCGCTGTCGAATTTGGTGGCTTCTCTGTTGAATTCGATACAGTCGATCGCGTCTCTGTTGCTTCTACTCTTCCTCTTTATAGTGATCTTTGCTCTTCTCGGCATGCAGGTACGATTACGCGTTTTTATTCTTTTAAATCGAGCAAGGGTTAAATGTTTTTGTAATTGTAACTTTCCTCGCAGGTATTTGGTGGAAAGTTCAATTTTAGCGAGTTACAGGACAAACCTCGTCACAATTTCGACAGTTTCTGGCAAAGTTTGTTGACGGTGTTTCAAGTAAGTTTACGATTCACGATTATGCTTGTCGTGCTTATGTCCGAGGACAGCTTAAAGGCCTGTCTATAGCTTTAGCAAAAAATTGCTTCGGTATAAGTGAGTACGACAAGGTATACCTATAAAGACAGGTGTATTCACTTTTAATCAATATTTTTTGCATTTTCTAACCGACAGATATTGACAGGCGAGGATTGGAACGCCGTAATGTACGATGGTATCAGAGCTTACGGAGGCGTAGCCAGCTTCGGCATGCTTGCCTGTTTTTATTTCATCATTCTGTTTATATGCGGTAATTGTATCCTTTTCTTCGCGGAAATGCAGAATATTTAAATGGTGTCGCGACGAGTGGCGTTCGCGACAAACGAATTCAAATAAATTCCACTCGAGCGTCAGAAGAAAGAGTCGCGATACTCGATATTCATGCGAAATGATCCTTGACGAAAGAAGCATCGCAGATATTCTACTGAACGTCTTCTTGGCCATCGCTGTCGATAACCTCGCGGATGCCGAGTCATTGACTGCCATCGAAAAGGAAGCCGAAGAAGAGGTGAGTTTCTTTTTTTTTCACAAATTTATTGTTACAAGTTTCCGAGGAAATAACTCGAGATGAATAAACGTTTTCTCGTTGCGTTTACTCGATTCGCAAGGACGAGGAAAATTATAATGTCGGTCGTTTTAACGTTTGTCAAAGAGCAACGATACAGGAGAAAGCTCGTTTGCTTTCTCTCGTAATGACGGACGTCGTGTCTAAGGCTGACGCCAACGACGCCGACGCCGACGCCGACGCCGACGCCGAGGATGACGCCAATCGGCTCTTTATCGCTCGTTACGTTTCCTCGTGTTCGAATCTTGCAAATATTTGACGCGTCGTAATTAAGCGAATCTAGGTCATCCACGAATCCCTGATTGTCGAGGATTTGATCAGTGACCACTTCTATCAACGGAATCGAGCACTTTAACTTCGGAAAATGTATTAGACGACATCGAGTATACGGTTCGTAAGTATTCGTCGAGCCGTGAAGAAAAATGTGTCTTCGATACCGGAGCTAGAGGCAACGATTGGAAGCACGCACGTGGAATCGAGGTCGTCGCAATCGAATACCGATACTCTGGAATTAAAACTGTCATCGAGAAACACTAGCTGTTTAGTCGTTTAGTCAGTTTACCGTATCGGAGAAGGGCATGAAAGCCGTAGTACAACTACCCTGTGGGGATGCATCGAGTTTTCTCCCTCTCTATTCAATCATTTTCCTAACTATCGCTCGACATTCAACCTCGTTCCTTTTTATATCGGTCGCTCATTCCGATTGTCTTCCCTCATTTCTGACCCCTTTACCATAAGTCAAAGGGTGTTTCTCCGGGGTAATTAAGGGCGGCAGTTTTTTATTCGGCTTCACATTTATCCTCTTATCGCCGCTTTCGATTGTTTCGCACGATTTTTCTTTTTCTCCGACGGTATTTCGTAACGGGGAAACTGTATAAATATACGAAGCAACTCGAGCGTGAAGCTCGTAGTAAGGGTGGAGAAAAGAGGCCGTCATTGAACAAAATCACGTCTCTTCTTCTGGTTGAACGTTCGAAGCTTAATCGTTCGTGAGTTTTCGATAAGCTAATGAAAAATCGATATTTAACCCGTCGAGCATTCACCCAGCGAGATTTTAGCTTCGCCCTGATACCCCATGAAATTCGACGAGATTTATAAGGGCTAGTTTCTTGCACTTTAAACGGGGACAAAACGAGTCCAATGTCTTTTTTTTAATTATTAATACACTTTATTCAACGTTCCCCTAATTGCTTCGTCTTTTTCTCAACTCTTTGCGTTGGCTATGCTGCGACGTAAATTATAAATAATCAAAGGGTTCGTTGTTTTCTTTTTTCTTCTGCAGGCCAAGAAGAATAAATCTCACAGTGCCTCGCCAGCTAGGGACGAAGAGAGCGGGGAACAGGGTGACGGTGGCGAAGGAACAGGTGGAGAGGACGAAGGTGGTGGCACGGATTTGGAACATGATCCGAACGAGACGATGGAAGATTACGAGGCAGCTTTGGACACGGAAACGTAAGTAGGCGTTTTCGTAAACGGTTTCCGAATCAGAAATAACTAACGATCGAGGAAATTGTCGATCGAGCAGGTCGGAAAAGAGCGAAGACATGAATACTCACGCGAAAGTACGGCTGAATATAGAAGAGTCCGACGAAGAGGTGGAGGAAGAAGAGGAAGTCGAACAAAACGAGATGCACGGTAATCTTTCCTTCCGTTTCTCGATTAATATCCAGTTATTCTTCTACAGAAGATCGCTTTGTTTAGACGACGGTACGGAACAAGGTGTGTCAGCCAGACCACGGAGAATGTCCGAGTTCAATATGGCCACGAAAAGGCAACCGATTCCCCCTGCATCGGCATTTTTCATTTTCTCACAAACGAACAGGTAGATACGGTTCACTTTTATTATTTTCATCAGCGATATCATCTATTTCTCCTCCATATTTTTCAGGATTCGCGTGTTCTGTCATTGGCTCTGCAATCATAGTTATTTTGGCAACGTGATTCTCGTTTGTATCATGATATCATCGGCAATGTTGGCCGCCGAAGATCCGCTGAGCGCTTCGTCTTATAGAAATCAGGTACGATAAGCCATTATTCCATGATGATTTATAATTTATTGAAGATCAAGAACGTTCGAAATCCAACCAACAAACCCTCTCTACGTTCTTGCAGATATTACTGAATTTCGACTATTTTTTCACCACAGTGTTTACGATCGAGATTTGGTTGAAAATGATCTCGTACGGTTTTATCATACACGACGGCGCTTTCTGTCGATCGGCGTTTAATTTGCTCGATCTGTTGGTCGTTTGCTCTTCTCTCATTTCTATGTCTTTCAGGTAAGCGTTCACGAATCTTTTCAGGATACGTTATTTCAACTGGCGTTACAATTGAATTCGGTATACATTTTTAAACGTTAATTGTCTTTCAGTTCCGGTGCATTTTCCGTAGTGAAGGTGCTTCGTGTGTTGCGCGTTCTCAGACCTCTGCGTGCCATCAATCGTGCCAAGGGATTAAAGGTATCTTTCCTCGCTTATTATCCGAAAAATGGTACCATGAATTTGTCAAATCTGTCCCAGGATCTAGTACAAGCCCTGACTAGACGCGTTACGTTTGGGACCAAAGTAACTTTTCTTTACGATATAGATTAAATCGAATTCTTCCGCTAGTAGACAATATTCGTGATTGCTTTTGAATAGTAGACACTAACCGTGTCGAATTTCTGATCGCACAGGAAAAAAAAACACAGCTTTTCTTTATTCTTAAAAATTTTCACTAGAACAACAATTCTTATCGTTAGTTACTGGAAAAATGTTCTTCCTCTGCGATCCGTAAACTATAGTGTATAGTATAAAAACGAGAAAAAAAAAAAAAAAGAAAGAAAGCAAGGTTTATAAAAGCGGAAATAAGAAGCAAGAAAATGATTAAGGAAAGAAAGGTGTAACCGACGTAATAAATTACTCGGCACACGTAATATCCCGTTTGTTCGAGAACGGATCTACATTATGATTAATGTTGAACCCAGCACGTAGTACAGTGCGTCATCGTAGCGGTAAAGACTATCGGAAACATAGTCCTCGTCACCAGCCTCCTGCAGTTCGTGTTCGCCGTCATTGGCGTACAACTGTTCAAGGTAGGATTGCCAGGCCTCGCACACTAAAAACGGTCCTGGGAACAATTCCTTCGAACCTCTCGTAGTACACTAGAGTGGCATAATATACATATAATACAACCGAACCTTCAAACACCCCAACCCCTCTCAGACCTGTCCCCCTCACACTCTGTTGACCCGTCAGACCTTTTATATATATATATATATTATCGTCATTCTCGTTCATTCATTACTTCACATACGTTTGATGCAACGCCCAAATAATTCACCATCATCAAAATTCACAACCTACCAATTCGTTTACTATCTTGGTACGCCTTTGCTCGACATCCCCGTAGCCTTCTCTGACGATTATTCGTGTTACAACTTTTTTTTTAATCAAACTGTACGCTTTTATTCTTTCAAGTATAGAGTCCAGAATGGAAACCTGATGGTTTTTAAGTTACTACCAAAATGGCGTTGTGTGTGATCCCTCACCCCTTTTAGTCAAACTACAATCATTTAAAACTGAAAAAGCATTAGGTTTCCTTAGAGTAGAGGATCTGATATTTGATCTAGGTGGAAAGGAAATAATCGTCGAAAGGTGCGGGCACGAAGCAAACGTTGTTTTTTTTCCGACATATGCACCTCTGGGTATCTTCCCTATGACAAATCAATTGTTTATGTGTTAATTTGATCATTGGGTTTCTTGTCTCGACACTCTCTCCCCGAAACCTCTCACTGGGACTACCTTGCTTTTCTCTTTCCCTTCAATGTTTTTTGTTTCACTTGACCAAAAGTACACGCGTGATTCTCAACGATTCGAGACTGTTTTACGGTGGCTCCGTTGAACGAGCCATCGGTAATCGAAGATCGTTCGAAATCATCGTAGATCGTTTGTAGTGAGATTAACGAACAACAGTGGGTTTCTTTTTCATACGTAACGAGACGTATCGTGATAGGAGAAATGATATCGTAATAGTAATAGAAGCTCGTCGAGAGGCGGGCGATTTCTTTCACTTTCTATCGTTTTTGGTTTGATATACAGGATGTTTCTGAATTAAAACTGATTAAACTCTGTCAGCGTGTTCGAAATATTGATTTGAGACGACCCGATCGTACGTAGGTGTAAATGTTAGGTAGCTGAACGAACAGCTGATCACGTAGCCATCGATACTTGTAAGTACCTACACTCACACAAACCGATACGTGTTACCACAAATTTCAATATTTGCATCTAATTGTTATTCGTACAACACCCTGGCACGGTCTGATTAATCAGAATTTGGAAACACCTTGTATATAAACATCATTGTAATGGTAAGATAATAGACGAGTGACCGGGGGGAGATGAGACGGTAGCTCAAAGTAGATAGAGACAGAACATCAAAACATATAGTTGTACGTTTGTATGCCTCATTTAGAGAAAGTGATTATACAACAAGTGGCTTTTTCGCAAAGTCTGTCTACAATCTTTGGCTTTCGTATCTTCGTTTATTTCTCCTTTGTCTCAACACCCGACGATTTTCTGTATCTCTTTCTTTTCCTCTCTTTTTCTCTATCTGTCTGTCTCTTTTTCTCCCCGCTCGCTCTCTCTCTCTCTCTCTCTTTCTCTCTATACATACACACATGTACGTACATATATTTTTTAATCTCTCTTCCGTCTTTTTCTCACTGTGTCTATTTCACCTTCACTTCGCTGCTCGAGATTTAATATTTAGCTGGAAGATTAAAAGTATGAACCACATCGACATTCGAACAACACAATGCTATCAGACAAACACGATCCATGACACTGACAAAAATACTTATACAGGCTGCGTGATCAAAACTGATAGTAGAAGATTGTTTGAAAATTGCATGCTTGTGCCGGCTGAGCGTTGCAGTGGTGTGTCGCCTATATTAACACGAGAGAAAGGAAAGGAAAGGAAAGGAAAGGAAAAGAAAGGGAAAGAAAGAAATGACAGTTCCGTGAATTTCCTGTGAATCTGACGAACCTCAGGTTCGAGACGGAATCTAAATTAAATCATTTCTCGAATCATTTCTCTCATCAAAGGCCTCCTCTTTATATGGCGTTTCAAATGATCTTGCCCAGACCTGAATCAGAGGCTTCCAGATGTAATTTCGTGTTCCGGTAGCTTACGCCTGGAAGTCTCGAAGAGTAGAGTAACTTAGAAAGCGAAGAAGCATCACGGCACCTCATCTGTGTTTTTCATGTTTCCACCTGGATCCACCTTTATGGACTAATTCGTGCTATAGGCTCGATAAATATTTACGGAACAATGTTTCCCCTCGATGTTTTAGTGTACGTTAGAAATCATAGAATCGATTTGAAATCTGTTCCTCTTTGTCGCATCCGTGAAAAGTGAAGTTCGATGTTGAGAGATTAGAGAGCAATTTAGACGATTCGTAGTTATAGTTTACCTTTGTTGCTTCGTTCAAACTAGTCCTAGAGAGAAAAAAAGGCTATAGGCCCAACAGAGATATTAAACTGTTTAATGAATTTTTTTCTTTAAAATAACACGCGTTACTGACCTAAAATACATCAGTATTTTATCCTTAACATTTAATACACCTGTAGTACTCAAGTATACATACACTTACATCTAACACGTTGACTACGCGTTAAAGAGAAGGTTAAATACCAATTCATGTTATCAGGTGCATGACTATGTTTACTGTGTCAGTCAACGTGTTAAATGACTGCAAGAATACTCGTCTGAACGTAACCGTTCCATAAATGCTGCGTGTTTGAACGCTGATAATAAAAATCGGCTTTAACCATCGATGAACCCTTAACGAAACTAGAAATCGTTTAATTCCAAACAGCTCGAACGTTTTTCTCTTTCTCCTTTCTCGCTATTATTTTTAACTTACCAATAATCGTTCTATTCCTTTTCACTGTTTTCTTTTTCTCATACGATTCGCGTATCATTCGAAACGTTATTCGGAAGAAATATTAATTATTTCAAAACGATGCCGAGTGATCAAAGGAACGATAACGTGTTAAACGATGGAAAAGAATAAAAGAAAGATGAAATTCTCCCAATCAACGATTGAACGAGACAATTACGGTCGAACGTAAAAGGCCCATAGGTGCATTGCCGAGAAAAAAACATCGAGCACTGGTGGGTTGGATGGATGGCGAGGGCTTAGTTCACGATTTAACGAAAACAATGGACAAATTCAATCTAAAGTGTGAAAGACACGCTGAAAGAACGAAGCTTCGAAGATACGAGAATCCTTGAAATTTACTCTTTACGACCACGAAACTGAATGGTAGAATCGGAAGGCCGAATAACAACATTTTGTTAGAAGATCGCGTGTACATATGTATATTATAAAAGAAAAGCGGAAAAAATGAACAGGAATGGCCAGAAAACGAGGAACGAAACGCGACGGATCGTAGCTTCCAAAATCCCCCAGACCTAGTGCCACTGTTGAACAAATGATGAAAACAAACTAGCCATACCCCCACACCCCCCCACCCCCCTCGATTAATGCTACTTTGTATTTTTTTTGTTTTCTCTTTCTGTCTGTCTGTCTCACGATCCCGTGTTCCCTGCTGTGCTCGCTCGCCCTGCTCACCTGCCCTCAACCAACTACGTAAAAAAGTACGTAGTGAAGTGTGTGATTGTCGCCATTAAAACGATCGGCAACATTATGTTGGTCACCTATCTCCTACAGTTCATGTTCGCTGTTATCGGGGTACAGCTGTTTAAGGTAAAGCCAATCACCACCACTATAGAAAGTTTAAATTAAGCCAACGACAACTTCTTCATCTTCTTCTTCTTCTTCTTCTTCTACTACTGCTACTACTACTACTACTACTATTACTTCTTCTTCTACTTCTTCTTCTCTACTGCTACTTTTTGTTTCTGTATTCATACAGTCATCGTTTCTTCCATTTTGGTTCTTTCTTAATTTTGTTTCGTTTCTTTTCTTCGTCGTTGCTCTTGCTCGCCGTCAGACGATCAATTTAACGTCAGAATCGGAAGCTTTGAAAGCCGTGGATCGGATCTCGGTCCGGAAACGTCCTTCGAATTTCCTTCGCGAAATACGGGAAAGCGATGAGTGTTAATTGATTTTAGAATCGAAGGAAGTACATATACGCTTGCCCGAATTTCGTGAAACGCTGCACGCAACGTTCAAGAAAATCTTGTAATTTCCTTTACAAAGGAGAATATCGGCGATAATTATTGCTTCGACGAAATTTCTTTTCGATTACACCTAATCTATTGACGATGAAAGTAGGACGTTGATCGATCACAAAGCTAGTCGTTGCCTATATTACCCTTTGAAAAGTGTGTCTGCGTTCGCGTTAACACGCGGTCGAGGGCACGGTAACACACGCTGTTTACGAGCGAACGCTTCAATAAGAAAATCAAGCGGGACTGGAGCGTCGTGCGAGAATAATCTCGTCTTCGTCACACGATTTAACGAACTCCAGATAAAAACACATTTAACAAAATAGACGCATACCAGTTTCGCTGTGTAGATAAGAATGATGCTTTGATCGTAGTGCATGTTCCGTAGATCGTTCGTGTGCATCGCAACCACGAGAGCATCGTTTAAAGTACTGGGAGCATCAGATTTGAAACTTTCGATTAGTTCGTAGACTTAAGAATAGCTAGTATTAGAATTGAAAGTTTTGATAAGCTAAACTTATCGTAATGTAGAAGGTTGAAATTAGTTTTAGAGAAAGAAACTTACCGAAACGTAGAAAGTTTCACAATCAGCCAGCTGTGGATGAAACGGTAGAAGTCCTCTCATGGTTGCGGTTCACCTAATAAACAGACAAAACTCGCATGAAACTCGTCTCCCATCGTGTTCCGATCGTAATTTGCAACCGTACTAACGGTGAACGTTGTTCCGAGCGTTAACAAACCAGAGAACACGCATTCCTTCACCTACGCCTATGAAATCCAACCCTTCGATAGGGAAATGAAAAACAAGCAACCAGGGTCAGGGTGATCCACGCTGCACTTGGTGCATTGTTTTTTTTCTAAAACTTATTTATTCCGTAACAAGCGGATCGGTTATTTCGGTTATTTCGACTCGAGTAAATTCAACGGCAAGGGGAAAGGGGAATGATTCTATTTTCATAACAGTTGCGATAAGTAATTACGGGTTTACAACGCCTCGAAGTTCATAGAATCATCTATCGAAAGGAGCATAAACCTGGTCATTTTTTACAATCCTTCTACCTCCTCGATAATCCAATTTTAAAACTAGAATTCACGATGAGAAGGTTGCCCAGAAATTCTTTCTCAAACTACTCTACTTCCAACATGCAAATTCTTGAATAACTCCACGTTCGAATTCTGCTCGCGTGTAAAATTCCTCTAGAAAATAAGAAAGGAATCGATGAGTCGCGATGCTTCGACGAGACGTTTTAAAGAAAATCAAGGAAATATTTCTCTCGGCGAGCTTTATCGTCGAGTCATAAACACGCGACAAGACGTACTGTCGTTAGTTAGGGAAAAATCGCGAAAGCGTATTTTCTGGACACTCGTTGTGAGTTTCGTGCAGGCCAAACGAGATATGTAGCCTCCGTTCAATTTTGTACATATTTTTCTTTCCATGTACAGATACACACGTCATATATGCACGTTAAACGGAATGTTTCATTTTTCTCTTATTTCTCAATTATTTTTCTTTGTTCTTTCCTTTACTTTGCTCGATATCACTCGCTGCTACTGACTTTGTTCTAGACTCTAGAATGGCCAATTAACGATACGCTAATTTTTTTTTTTTTTTTTAATTTGTTCTATCGATGAACGATGCCGACACCCTTTGAAATTCAACGTCGAATCGAAATTGCGATGTTAATTGATAGGTTAAAGAGTAGACGTGAAGGGTGTCGGCACGTTCCCGTGGCTTTTGAAACTTTAAGCGAAGCCTTGAATCGCACAAGCGTTTGCTGTAGGTTAATGAAATTTTTATGTTGTACAGGGTAAATTTTTCTTATGTACCGATGCATCGAAAATGACGAAGGACGAGTGTCAGTAAGTTACAATTTGTACGAGAAGAAGATAAAAGAATTTCTCTTGACGCAACGTGTTCTTGCTTTCAGGGGTACATACCTCGAATTTGAGAACGGTAACATTAATAAACCGGTGATGAAGGAGAGAAGTTGGTGCCAGAATCGTTTCCACTTCGACGACGTGGCGAAAGCGATGCTCACCCTTTTTACCGTATCAACGTTCGAAGGCTGGCCTTCGTAAGTAACATCGTATCACGTCGAATCGCACGAATTATCCTCCTGATTTTATTTCAACGCCAATATACTATCACACCGTTTCTACTCTCGAAAATGTCGCGATCGTTGTAAGAAAAAGAAAGAGGTAGAGCGTTTTCTCTCTCAACAGATTGCTAGACGTGTCGATCGACTCTAACAAGGAGGATCACGGACCAATTCATAATTTTCGGCCGATAGTCGCCGCGTACTACATCATTTACATCATTATCATAGCATTCTTCATGGTCAACATCTTCGTTGGTTTCGTTATTGTCACTTTCCAGAATGAGGGTGAGCAAGAGTACAAAAACTGCGAGCTCGATAAGAATCAGGTAAGCGTTCATTTCAAACTAGCCCGTACGTAGAAAAGTCTGCTTTAAATTTCAATTTTCACAGCGGAATTGCATCGAGTTCGCGTTAAAGGCTAAACCAGTGCGACGATACATACCGAAGCATCGAATACAGTACAAAGTATGGTGGTTCGTCACCTCACAACCGTTCGAGTATACAATTTTCACTCTGATCATGATCAATACCGTCACGCTGGCAATGAAGTTCTACCGGCAACCGGAAATCTACACGGAAGCGTTGGATGTTCTCAACATGATCTTCACCGCTGTCTTTGCCCTCGAATTCATCTTCAAACTTGCGGCATTTCGATTTAAGGTACGAACTTCGAAGCATGACAGTGCTATTAAAATGCATTTAATATTTCGATTCTTGCAGAATTACTTTGGCGATGCTTGGAACGTGTTCGATTTTATCATCGTGCTTGGAAGCTTCATCGATATCGTTTACTCGGAAGTGAACGTAAGTAACTCGTTGGATTCTTAACACTTTCGAAGCAAAACTGTTCCTTGGAAACTATCATTTTCAGCCCGGCTCGACCATCATTTCCATCAACTTCTTTCGACTATTCCGCGTGATGCGTTTGGTCAAGTTGCTGAGCAGAGGGGAAGGTATCAGAACGCTACTCTGGACGTTTATCAAATCCTTTCAAGCTCTGCCCTACGTAGCCCTTCTCATCATAATGTTGTTCTTCATTTACGCTGTGATAGGAATGCAGGTATGTCGCAAATCGTTCAACTTTGATACTTCAATATTTTAATACGATATACCCTCCGTTAGGTATTTGGAAAAATTGCAATCGACGACGACACGTCGATAGACCGAAACAATAACTTCCAGTCGTTTCCGCAAGCGGTGTTGGTGTTATTTCGATCGGCTACAGGTACGTAAGATTATCGGATTTATTAAAAAGATGAAATTAATAAGATGGTTGATACGCAGGAGAGGCTTGGCAAGAGATTATGATGGACTGTTCGGCGCAACCGGGCAAAGTGATGTGCGATCCGAATAGCGATGAATTCAACAACCAAAATGGCTGTGGATCCGACATTGCATTTCCCTACTTTATATCTTTCTACGTTTTATGCTCTTTCCTTGTAAGTGTCGACGCGTGTCTACGAAGAAACGAGGAAATTCCTATACGAATGTCCTCGTCCTCCTTCTTTCAGATCATCAATCTCTTCGTCGCCGTGATCATGGACAATTTCGATTACTTGACGAGGGATTGGTCGATCCTGGGTCCGCATCATTTGGACGAGTTTATTCGTCTCTGGTCCGAGTACGATCCTGACGCGAAAGGTCGCATCAAGCACCTGGACGTGGTCACACTGCTGAGAAAGATATCACCGCCTTTAGGTTTCGGTAAACTCTGCCCTCATCGTGTCGCGTGCAAAGTTAGTATACCTCGATCCGTTTGTAATAGCAAGGATTCAATGGTTTTTACTCGAATCTCGATCGTGTTCAGAGGCTGGTCTCGATGAACATGCCGTTGAACAGCGACGGCACGGTTTTGTTCAACGCGACCCTGTTCGCCGTGGTGAGAACTTCGCTGCGAATCAAAACCGAGGGTAACATCGACGATGCGAACTCCGAGCTCAGAGAAGTGATCAAAAAGATCTGGAAAAGGACCAGCCCGAAACTGTTGGATCAAGTGGTGCCACCGCCAGGAGGCGACGACGAAGTAACCGTTGGTAAATTCTACGCGACCTTCCTGATCCAGGACTACTTCCGAAGATTCAAGAAGCGCAAGGAGCAAGAGATGAAAGACGGCGATAAAGAGTGTCACAACACGGTTACGCTTCAGGTAACTTTCTTCGTGGAAACTAACGATTAAATTACGTTTCATTTATTATAACCGTTGTCGTTTACTTTACAGGCCGGACTGAGAACCTTGCACGAAGCTGGACCCGAGTTAAAGAGAGCCATTTCTGGGAACTTGGAAGAACTTTTGGACGACAATCCGGAGCCTATGCACAGGGTATCGACAATCGACTTCGCGGTTCTCGCAATTTCCTAATAATCTCGTGTTTTTTTCATTTTTCTTCTCCAGAGAAATCATTCGCTGTTTGGAAGCGTGTGGTCGAGCATGAGAAAGGGACATCACAGTTTCAATCGAGCTAGGTCGTTGAAAGTAAATTCAACGACTAAGGTAAACGACGATTTTTACGAAGCAACGTTGCTAAAACTCGTTCGATATGTTTTATTCGATTACGATCCACAGGCGTCTCCGACGAATTCCATCGATTTCCTGCCGTACTCGTCGCTTCAGAGAACAGGCGGTCCCGACGCACCGAACCAAATAACCGCGAGGTCTCATCAAGTTGTGCCAAACGTAGCGGGGTTAGTTTCCCTTCCCTTCCCAGCACCCATCGATCGAACGAAGCGTAATAGAATGATAAATGTACTTGTGTGTTCAGTGGGCTAAGCGACAGCGCGATGAATCAAATGGGAATCGATGCGAAGCTCACGGGCATAGAGGAGAATATTCCTCTGAGACCGTTGGCCGGGTTCGGGAATCCCGTCCAGCAACAATCAACCACCTATCATCCCTCTTACAAAGTGGTCGAGTAAGTAAACTAGCCGTGGTCTAGAAACGTTATCTCGTCGTTGGGAATCGCGTCGTGACGGACCGCGTAGAGTGTAGAGGATCGGGTCGCGGGGGAACGTGTTTGCACGATTAGAGATTCGCTCGCGAATTTCTGCACCCTCCCCTGGCAGCAGTCTTTTACGGTTTTCTCTTTACTCTCGTACGTTTCAGCGGTCCAGGTAGCGGTAATTACCTTCATCCGAATAACGAATACGGTAAGAGAAGTTAGGGCTGTATGGGACTCGATAGTTTGCTTTTGATCTTTGACGACATAGCATTATTTCTCGCTTGCGCGCTTGCATGCCCGTACCACTAACCAAACAATACCAAACCAAGCCAAAGCAGAGTGAAGCGAAAGTATCGTCTCGATCTCGCGGACCTTACGACACGATCGGAAGAATCCTATAACGTCGCGTCGCGAGAACCTTGAGAATCGACGAGGAATTGGCGAGGTTCCGTACGAACGATTGCATGCCGTTCGTCTACCTTTACTTTTCTGTTCTTTCGCTCTCTCTCTCTCTCTATCCCCCTTTATCTTTCTCCGTTTGTTTTTCCCTCTGGCTTGTGTATAATTCAGGCGCTTCAGAGCGCGCGATTCGCTCGAGGTTCTCGAGGACGCGGCGAGGATTCCGCGCGCACCGTCGTTCGTTCGCTAACTAACTAAGAGAGTGGTTTTTTTTGTCCCGTTCTTTTTTTTTTATCCCCCGTGTCGCGTGGTGCGTCGACGTCGACGTCGTCGTCGTCGTCGCGGCTGCTTGATGCAGTGTTCAGGACGGAATCGAGCGGCAGCTGACCCCACCAACGCCACCGCCAAGAAGGAACCCACCCTTGTCCGCCGAACCAGCCATCGTACTACTATCGTCCAGCAAGTCCGCCAGCGCAACGCCGTCGATCGCCACGTGCACCAACACCTCGACTGCCACCACCAGCCCGAGTTCCAACGGCACCTCTTCCTCCAATGGGACCCGCTGTTATTATTCCTACGCCACTCGGCCTTGCTGCGTCGATTGTGCCGTCTGGAGTAATCACGGTACGATCTATACCTATTCTTCTCTCTCTCTCTCTCTCTTTACCTATCTCTTCACCTATTATTTCTCTGTAACTTTGCTCTTCTCTCTTATCTCGCCTCCGAATCAATCGATCCACGAGTTTTCGATGGAAAATTGTGACGAGAGGCGGGGTAAGGTTCGCGGCAATGCTAAACCGAGATATCACCTGAATAAACAGCAGCCATAGATCGCGAGGACGGTGATTCGTCAGCGGGAAGCGAGTTCAGCGAGTCGGATGGGTCAAGAGGGTCGGAAGGATCCGAAGAAATAGGATCGGATGAGGGAGAAGAGGTTGGAGCTGGAGGAGGCAGAGGTGAAGGAGAGGGAGGAGGGTCAGGAGAGTCTAGCAGTTGGAGCGACTCGGAGAAATTAGGACGTCGAGGAGGATCCCTGAGGCAGGAGATTGGCGCGGCGTCTCGGTCTCGGGCTCGTGGTCGACGCGGATTGAGCTCGTTGGTCGGCAAGTCGGCGCCGTCGAGTTTCCGGAAACGTGACCCGAATGGCGGTGGACAATCGAGCAGCTCGACTACGTCCGCGAGTACCGGGTTCGCGCAAAGCGTCGCCAACGGGCTGAAACTAGCTCAGACACAGGCGATCGCCGTTGCCGGATTCCTCGCCGACGTCGACGATTCGCGCCACGATCGCGTCTGCGCCTCCTGTCTGTCGCATCGAGCTTACCAAGGCAGAGGTGACTAATCCCCGACTAATATTCGATCCGCAACTCCTCTTCCATTCACGGTCGCGCGTTTGTCGAACGATTTTCGACTCGATCCGAATCGTGGTACCATCGTATCTTTTATACCAGTGGCAAAGTTTCTTTCTTGATTCGGATCGAAACGAAATAAAAGAGGAACTAATCCATATACTTCCATTATTTCATCGCTATAAAATCGCGAGTCTCGTTTCCTTCTCTGCCGCACAACCATCGCACGATAATGCACAGGGCACGAAGAGAGGAAGGACGGGGTAAAAAGTGTGTGGGTGTGTGCGCGTGTTTGGGAGTGTACCTATTGCATGACCAGAACCTATCGCTCGAAGCATGCGTTCTGCCAATTCGAGTATCACACCGTCGCTTGACGCAATTAACCATGCAACCAGCTCGATGTAGCACGAATCGTAGCTGTGTTGAAAACGTAGAGGCAGAGCGTAACGCAGCGAGCTTAAAATTCCTTCACGGCTCTCCTCGTTCGTCAGTGTCCTGGGCCGGAGAGAGTAACGGAAGCATCGGCGCAGAGCGCCTGTCCCACAGTTTGCCGGGCAGTCCTGCGGACCGGAAGCCTAACTTCGAGGTCATCGGAAGCGCCGAGAGTCTAGTCGGTCGGGTAAGTGAAAATGAAGAAACTTATCGAAACTTTTCGCGTTTGGAAATGGGTGGATGTTTTGGAAGGACGCGTTCCCCGTAGGTTCTGGTGGAACAAGGACTGGGCAAGTATTGCGACCCAGAGTTCGTCAGATACACGTCGCGAGAGATGCAAGAAGCGCTGGACATGACGCGCGAAGAGATGGATCGAGCTGCTCATCAGTTGCTTCTGCAAGAACGTCGAGGACAACCGCTTTCCTACCAGTTACAGCAAGGACCGGAGCAACCGTGGACTTTACCGGGCTACCAACAGATGCAGCCGTCGACAGGTATCGGCTATCAACCGCTACAGGAGCAACAACCTACTACTGGTTCGCGACAGTACCGACCATATTATCGAGGCGCCGGCGCCAGCCCCGGCACCGCTACCGGTCAAGCGACACTCTCGGATCCAGCCACGCAACAACAGCAACCTCCACCATCTTAGCGACACGACCACCATCTTGTCGACCGTGTTCCTAGTTCGTTCATCTAGCACCGATCGCCGGAACGAGCTTCGCCCTCGCTGTTACTCCGAGCAAAGGATGATGATTATTTTCGGAGGAAACGCAGCGAGAATAGAGGCTGACGCAAGCAATAAAGCGACGAGAGCAACGAGCGGGTCGTTTTTTCGCGAGCGTTGTCGGAAGAGAAAATTGTTCGCACGGTCCTCGAACGAATGGCCGAAATAGACGAGAGGGGACGAAGGGAATTCGCTGGAAACGGAAGCGCGGACGATTAATCCTTACACATTGCTCTCGTTCGTATCGTAAACATTTATTCCTTCGATTACCGTTGTTTAGAATAATTGAACTCATTATTATTGCTCTTCGTACGACGGATTCTAGACGAGATAACAAGTGCCTAAGTATCTGTAACTTCTTTCGGACCAGAGAAGACTTTTATCAACTTAGACAAAGTACCATTGTCGCGAATTACCAAACAAGTTGCGTGTCGAGTGTGTACGCTATTATATTGTAACTATACATATATATATTATATATATATTATATATATATATTATTGTTCGTATAATATAACTGTACATATACGTTGATGCGCGAGAATGAATGGCCGATAAACGTAAATTGCCGCGAGTTTCGTTTCTACGTCCAAGTGTATGCATGATCGGCCAAAAAAGCTCGCTCACGATTAACCCTTTCGTTACGAACGAGTTCGAACTAAAAGTTTCGAACGATTTTCGTAACGAACGAGTTGATCGAGACGATCGAACGATGCTACTCTGGATGACGCAGCTAATCCTACGTATTCCTTCGGAACCATGTAAGTACTTACCCGGGATACGCTTGCTCGTATTCTCTTCTACGTTTCGGTACTTTTCGCGAATTTTCGTACGGTATTACCTCTCTGAAAGACACGAGCTTAGCTCCTTGGCTCTTGAAGAGAAAGATATTCGTTTGTTGTCGCTAGCTATACCTACAGCTTTTAGAAAACGACGCGATACTCGCTCAGAAAGGTAGTACCCTACGTCGCGATCTTTCCTATCCTCATCCATTCCCTCCCACTTTCCTATCCCCATTTTAGACTGGATTTTTACGAATTGCGTCCCTACGAAATTTCCATTCGTATATTCTTGTAGCCGTGAGAGTAATGCGTGCAAGTACGGAAGAGAGAAAGAGGAAGTGAGCGAGAATGAAGAAGAAAGAGAGAGGAAACATCACGCATACACGTATGTACGTTCTTCTACGTAAGAAGCAAATCTCGATTTCGATCGCGATACGCTCGACGAACAAGTCGGTCAGGAGTGGTAATCGTTCCTTTCCACGCACAAATTTTATTCGCGACAGGAACGAGGATGGCTCTGATACGCGAAGCTGATCGCGCAATATCCCTTGTTCGATCGTCACGCATCGAATGCGCGACAAGTGATCGAAGAAAAGTGGAAGATATTCGATTGCCCGATTTTCTAAATGTTCCCTTGTCGATCGAATTAGTTTATTCAGCCCGAATAGTGAAAACATTTTTTACGCCTTTTACTCGTACATCGAGACTCTAGAGATTCGAGTTTATTCTCTGGGAATGCGATCGCAAACGAACAAGCATCAACTGAAATGCGCGCGATAAAAAAATTCTAATTCGAAAACGTGCAATCAGCTTCCGACGTTCTTTATTTCCAAACACGTGCAACACGGAAACCGGAAATGTTGCGGATGCGATTGCAGAAAGCGCCGAATATTTTTTAGAGAAAATTCGAAACAATCAGCGTGAAATTTTTCGTGTACTCAAGAATGACGTCGACAATAATTTTAATCGATGACATTTACAGAATCACGTTTCTCTGAAATTTCTGTCGGCGCTTTCTTCGTTTTAAACGCTTCCATTATCGAGCGATCGGCTTTCCCGCTTTGCGTTTCAAATACCAGCGAGATTTATAGTTCGATCAACGATAGTCTACCTTGGCTGTCGATCGATCGAATTCCCAGAACGTTTTTCGATTCGATTTACTTTTTCCTGCGCGCGCAGCTACGTTTCAAGATGGACGATCGATCTTTTTAGACGTATATGTAGTAGTACGTGGCGTAAATGTATGCATTCTTGTAAAGCGTAAGAATGCTGTTCGGAGAGCCGCGGTCGACGCGAGCCCTTCGCCACCAAGGGAACCAAAGCAAACTAAACGATATTTCAAAGAAACGAACAAATCGACGGACGCGTCTTTGAACATTTTCTCTTATAGGTACGGATAATATAGGTAGGTGGTGTGTGTGAGGAGCCGGCATGGCAATGGCGGCGAGTAGCAGTGCGCATGTGCGTGCGCGCCATTTCGTCGAAAGAAACGAATCGACGAAACGGAAGGAAAGAAAAGAATTTGTACAAAACTAACGATACACCTGCCGATAAGTTGCGCACGAGATGTTAACAATCGTCCTACTAACGATATTCGCGTATACGTGTGTATAGTCGACCTTTCGTATTCGTTTTTTCCAGCGTCTTTTTAACAATTATGTATTTGTCTATAGCGATCTTTTTATACTGTTGTAAAGTGGCGTTTACACCGATCCGTAGAATATACGCGTAGAGGAAATGTTCTTACCTACCTTTAAATCGTAATATTGTATTGCAGAGGGTGCACGGGACATCGATGCTGTCCAAATAGTTTTTAACACACGCGGTTTAGGAAGACCAAAATTTTCTACGTTACGAGACTGACGACTACCGATACGCGTATGACCGACTGGTACACACACGAAATGAAACGAACGACGCGAAACTCCTGAATAACCGGTCCTTTCAATGCCTTCCTTCGGTCTCGATAGATAACCTGTCCACTTCAACGTAATCGTCGCTCGTCTCACCACTTGTAAACACTTCGTATACCATACACAAACGATATCGGCGATTTTGAAATGTTTCAACCGTTTAGCGAATGGATGAAACGCTCACTGCGCAAGATTCGCGTTCGTAATGGTAAAAAACGCGCGCACGTGACGTACACGTCGACGAGCCACCTGGTAACTAAATCAGAAATTAATCAGCATTGTCACGATAACCGAAAAATTAAATGTTTGTTTTTCTTTTCAACTAATCGACAAAGTCGTAGATTTATTATCTTGAAATCTTAACGTACACAAGGTTAAAGTATGCTTGCAAATTTTACGGAAATGCCGGAGATCTATTACGGAACGACGCAATCAGTTGCTTACCAGTTGAAAGCGCGGCAAATTCGAAACGTTCTTTTCAAACGAAATTCGTAAATCTTGCTCGACGATGCGTTTTTATCCGTGCTATCGAATTTCTGGCACAGCATTGGCACTCACACACGCTACTCGCACCGTTTATTTTTATTAAGACGTTCTTATATCGACACGATAATAAAACGATGTTCGCGCAAACATTATCATCGTTTTTTAGAAGACATATTCGATACACTTCGATAAAGACTCTGAAACGACTCTGAAATTGCGTAATCGAAAAAGGCACGATTCCCCTTTCCTTTGATTATTAACAACCGTTCCGAAAATGAACTTCCAATTTCGTTTAATTTCTGTTCTTTACGTTCTTACATTCGCTAACCGTGGAATTCTCAATAACCGATTATACGAACAATGCAGTTACGACATCCCAATACACGCACAATCCAATCGATCGATCGGTTATACGTGACTCTACGGTTAATGAGATGAATCGAATAATAAAAAATTGAATATGTCAAAAATTTTAGAAATATCTGGACCCTATATTAATTCGGGGAAACGTGCTTCTTTTCCATTTGAAACAACGCATATATCTCGTTGATGAAGAAAAATAAGAAATCCATTAGAAATTTTACAGCGCTAAGATTCAGAAACCTTGATATGCACAACCAACAGACACGCACACGATAAACTGCCGTTTTTCTTTTCAATTTCTGCCCTCTCTTTGCTTCCAACTTGTTAAAAATTTTCAACCCGTTTTCACGCGCAACTATTGACGATTAATCATCGATACGAGAAAAGCAAATTTATGAGCATTAGTTCAATCCCGGTTCAGTCATAACTAAAGGGTTGACACCACTGTTCAAAACATGTTATCTCACGTTTTCATCGAAATGGAAATATTCCCCACGGATTGTATACAATTTCAGAGCACGTTTTAACGGAACCCTTGATTTCTGTTGCACGTTGTTCAAGTTGTTCTTCATTCGAGAAAAAGAAACGCGATAGTTGTGCCCCTTGCAAACCCAACAGCGAAACGTTTTTGTTATACAAACGAGTGAAGGGTTGATCGATCGAGCGATGCTACAAACCGCGAGTATACACGTACCTGTTATTTATAAATATACAAAATCCTTTAGAAATTCTAACAATCAAATACAACAATTTACTGGATGAAAAAATATACCTTGCGTTCGTCGATCGATCAAATATGTATCGATAAACCTACGCTCGATACTTTGCTTCGTTTACTGAAACAAGTCGATTATTAATTTTTTTTTTTTTCTTCATTCGATACAGTTTCGAAAAAATGTTCACCAGAACCCTAAAAACGTTTGCGGTTTAAACGAGCGGTTAAACGCGAAAATGTTCGAAGATTACGAACACGTGCATGCGGTTCCGAGATTACAAGAATGAGACTGGCGAAATGGATCGAAGGAACTGCATGGACAATACCGAGCTGAAATTAGGAAGAAACTAACACGAAAGAATTGTTGTTGTTAATGTTGTCAGAAATGTGTCAAATTAAAATATAAGGATTTCAAACATCTGACATCCGATTATTTTGTTGCTTTTCTCCCGAACATAGATTGAGTAATACATGTTTTTCAAAGATCGTACGTGTCTTTATTTATAGAAAGTATGCACGCTTTATTCTGAACGGGCCACACTGTTCTACGAATACCATACGTTATTATACATTACTTACAACAGACCTTTCCAAGAGCCGCTTCCACAAATCCCCACTTCATTATTAAATGGCTCTTCCGTGGAAGGTGAGTGGACTTACAATATAATCACGATCGTCCAGCCGGTGACGAGTCAATACGTGAGGAAAAGATTTTAGAACTCGAGTACTGGGAATACGATTTTTTTTTTTTTTTTGCATGCAGATTTAACCATTGTGATTAAATGGACAATCACTAAGTGCAGCGCGATCGTTCTGTTGCGTGCAAATGGCATGATGATTCCTAGAACCGTTGCAAACTGTGCACGTACAAGCTAAAACAAGGCACAGGTATAATACAACAGCCGACATTCGATGAAACTAAAATCAAAATCCGCTTTTTCAAACTTCAATGAATCCATCTTGCTCCTCTACCGGAATTTGATTCATGAGGTTGTTTGTATCGGAATTCAATAAGTTAAAAAGAATGTTCGCTTTAAAAACAAACTATTATTTCATCACTTGTGCCGCCTTTTTTGCCTTAACCAGTTCAACCAGTTCCTACGAAAAAAAAAAAAAATATTTGTACTCAGAAACAATTTGCTTCTTTCAAGTACAAACATGTGAATCGCTGTACCGTAACTTCGAAGCTTACCTTATACCTCTTCATACATTCTTTTTTCGTTCTAGTTGGTATACAGGCTGCTATCTGATCCCATCTATCGGGCACGCTAGTAGGATAAGTTTTCAATGCCTGTTCCAGTAATTTCTGTTCCGCTGGGGTCCATGGTTGAGACTCCTTCTTGATGTCCTTTTGGTCACCAGCGACACCGTTCGAAATAGGATGATCCAAACGTTCTGTAACAGCTGGCATTCGATCCTCGACCGACTCCTTGGCTTTCTTTTCAGCGATGAAATTATCGAAAGCTTTCTTGTTTGCTTGCTCCTTTAAACTAGACTTGCTGAAGTCGGTCGATTGCAAATCTTTGGCTTTAGCAAGAACTTCCTTTGCATCGCGCGTTACACGACTGGACGAACTACTATGCTGATTAATAAAGTTGGCAACCACTTCCCAGCGTTGATTCGTACCAGCTGGGAACAGGTTTACAGCTTTGATCAAAAGCTGTAAATCGCTTTCGTTCCATGGAGCTGTATAAGATTTTACTTGCTTTTCCGGAGTATTTCGCGTATCGCTGGATGAAACGGCAGCCCTACGCTCAGCTTCGATCTTCTTTTCAGTTTCTTCCACGAGAGAAAGAAATGCTGACCTACCCTCGGCTTGTAACTTCCTCATGGCTTCCTCCAGTTGAACAAGCTTGAAAAGCTCGCAAATTTTCTCTATACTCTCCATGTGTCTAATATTTTCAGCTGAATTTTCTGCAAAATAATTGTTGGCTTTACAAAAATCTCTCAGCGCTTTTCTTTCTTTACGAAGGGCTTTCTTCTGCGCTTCCTTTTCTTGCTTGAGCGCATCTAATTTTGCCTTCTCTTCGATATCACGCTTTTCTTTTTCAACTCTCTCCTTCTCTGCAGCGTCTCTAGCTATTCTCTCCTCTTCTTGTTGTCGCGCTTTCGCAGCTTCTTGCTTCGCCTTTTTTGCCGCTGTCTTCTTATCCTTGTCCTCCTGTTGAAATTTCTTTATTCTAGGATCCATATTGTAACCCATATCGACCAATGCACGTATGCGCGCCATTTCTTCCTTCTTCCGCTTTGCACGTGCAGCTTTGTTCCTTTTCTCGATCCACTTGCGCATATCTCGACTAAACAAACGATTATAATTGACCAGAAATACGGGTCACACTATAAAAAATTAATAGAGAAAATTAAATAAAAATATACTTACTCCTTTCCATTTTCTTTGTCTTCTTCGTCCAAGTAAGAGTATTCGCGCCATGAATCGAAATCGTACCAGAACGAGTAAAACTTTTCCACTTTATGTCTAGGCGTGTCCGGTCCGCCTAAGCGTGGCACCGGCTTTTTTACCGACCACCTAGCATTTTCCTTAAATGCTTTACCCATCACCAGGTAAAAGTTATTTTTACAGTCTTTCTCGTCCGGTAAATCGTCATTAAAATACGGATCTACGCTGTCGTAACTTCGCCTCTTTGCAGGGTTGCCCAGAGTTTCCCAAGCCCGTGTTATGCAGGTAAAATAATCGTCGTCTGGCCGGATTTCCTCTCCCAGTGCCTTACGTTTATCGGGATGATGTTTGAGAATTTTTTGCTTATCTGTAATTCACGCATCAAATACTCCTCAAACGCGTTAATCATTGTATCAAGCAAAATAGTGAACGATATAACACCTACATTCCTTTACAGAGTATACTTTGAACTTTCTCTACGTACAAGCCCTTTTTATAAGATCTTCGGTCGCTTTGTGTCTGAGCTTTTTCAAGCCTAACACCGCATAATGATCTTGATCTTTCCACGCCTTCGGATCCAACGACCTAAGGTACTCAAGATCATCCTCAAACTGATATTGAGAAAAATCTTCTTCGTCGGACGACTCAGATATCCTGGTACGCGTAAGGCTGCGATGAAATTGAGCTGCCCACGCTTGTGCAGTTGAATACAAAACAAGAGGTCCTGCTGTACACGTTTCCATCGTGGACGAACCTGCGAAAGAAATTTCGTAAATGTTAAAATCGATTCGTCTGTAGATTTAACCTCAACTTGGTAAAAATAATTTTTGTTATATACATATGTAGCAAATCGAACTATATCACGCAATAAAGCACTTAGATATTTGTAAATTGGAGGTCACCTTTGCTGTTTTCAGAAAACAGAAAGATTTCGATATACTCTTGATTTCCCACGTGTTCACTTTAAAGTGCTCACATACATTTTAAAGGCAAACATGAGATACAAATACCAATATCAAATATTGTACAATTTTGTGAAATCTCTTTACCTCCCAAAAAGAATAACGTGCTTGGTGAAATCTAACCTTGTATGGCCGGTGTCAATGAAAGGAGACGTTAACAGAAATTCGAAATCTTACCAGATATTGGATCGAATGTAGCGGAATTATCCTCACTCGTAACGTTCGTCATTATTAATCATTAATAAACTACGTTTTCTCTAAAAAAATCACTAGGAAAATTGCTGGAAAGGCATAAATGAATCTTACTATCGTATCACGAACATTTCGATCAGAAAAGGAGGGAAGGTTACTTCGAATTTTGAGGCTACGTTAGTACAAAATGGCACCTATACAACCTGCAAACATTGATCAGGCGAATGCACATCCATTACATACTACTGTACTATAGAATTAATAGAATGTATGTAATTAGACTGGTGTAACAGTTTTTCTCCAAATATATTTGTGAAAACATTATACAATATAGTATGAAGAAATTCTCGTGTAAATATTCAAAAATATAAATATTATAGTAGGTGCTCTTATTGGGATCACACTTTGGACGGACATACCATATTTTGGATCAACGATATATTGCTTTTTTTTGGGAAGACTAGGGGAGTATTTAAATCTGTTTTCATCTTATTTTGAACACTAACTTTTTTTGAACTTTTCAAAAATACGAAACGTAATAAAATTCTTCATTAAAGTGACAACAAAACGTTATAATTCAACAGAAGTTTATACACTTTAAAAAGCGGCATTATCAAAAAGCTACGTGCAAATTATATAAAATTCTAAATTATTAGTCGGAAATAAATTAAAACACGTGGGCTACAAAATATATAAGAGACCATCCACGAAAACGGTCAAATATGTATAAAACGATTGGCTATGCAATTATCATTAATTATGCTGAATAACGTAATTAACTTCAATGTCAGGAAACATCAAAACGGAAGAGCGTTCAATTATCTATTGATGCCCGGGTGATGACAAACGTCTCTGTGACTGGTAGGGGTTTTGTAGTAGGCGCGGCGAGCATTCAATTACTCGTAACAACAGCGCATCTATATAATCTTCCAAGTCATTTAGGCGTTTCTTCTTTTCTGTTACATCCGCTTGTAACTGCAGCGTTAATTCTATGAGATCCTATAGTTGCAAAATGATCGTCAAGTATAAATGCATAAAGTCGTAATTATCGATTTATAAATAAGGATAATAAACTGTATAAAATCTATCTTTACCTCTCTTGATTTTCCTTCGAACTGAGCAAGAACTTCGTGCGGTAGGTGACTCTTGATTAGCGTCGTACTCTTAATCGCATCTTCGCCTCCGATGATAATCCTTTCCGAAGACAAATTATTAACGTCGTTCAATTCTTTCAGTTTATTTTCTTTCTCTTTTTTTCTATCCTTTCTCAATTGCTTTTCATCTTTAGGACTCCAACAATTATATTTGTCCTCCTTTTTCTCCTTTAATTTTTCATCTCTTATAGTTTTTTCTTTGTTGGAAACAAACTTTTCTTCCCTGTTTTTGCTCTGTATAAGTTCACGCGGTGCTGGGCTAGGAGGTTCCGGAGTTTCTTGAAATTTCAAATTCGACGAGGGTGAATTTATAGGCGATGATTCGCGACGTTCATCCTTTGGCTCGTCTACTACAATCTTTGGACTTTGTTTATTTTCCCACCTTTAAAAGAAAATGTAATCGTCGAAACATTCAAATAACTATTTTCTGTTTCAAGAATAAGCCGTACCTTTTAACAGGATTATTCACTTGCTTTCCGTAAAGCTTAAGACCCCATTCATCATCTTTAATGTTATCAACTTTGGATAAAGAGGTGGTGGAAGAGCTCATTGAGTATCGTGGCGGTTTACTAGGGGCTGCATTTGTCGGTGCAGATGGTACATGATGCGTGTCGTTACCGGAAGAGACACTCGAAGTTACCGAACCTACTACCGGCGCGTTCAGAGACGATGCCGAACTCTTATGAGACAGATCATCGAACTGAAACGAACGGGATTTTAATGATTATTATTGAAAATAATGGCACAATTATTGTTACGAGCAAAAGTTCAACCGTAAATTCATCTTCATCCTCGCTGATCACACCAGGATCAGCCTCACCAGGTTCTTGTCGCGTCCTGAATTTGTGTTCCTCCCTTTCGTCGAGGTCTTCCTTTTTGTTCAAACTGTGCTTGCTTTTCCCCTTTACACGATTCCCAATTGACTTTGCCAACTTTTTTAAACCCTTACGTTTCTCGAAGCTACCTATACTCAGAAGACTGCCACCAATCGAATGAGCTGCTGTAGATAACTGACCGAGAGAACTCTTGTGCCGTTCTTTAAGGCTCAAGTCGGTCAAACTGCCAGCTTTCACGATGAAGCTTATTTTTACTTCGAGTTCTCCTCTTTCTTTCGTATTCTCCTTCCCTGGTTTACTTCCAAGAGTATACCTACGAGAGAACAGAATATTTTGAAATTTCATTCACGATTATACGATTACTTTGACTTTCGATGGAAAATAGTGAACTTTGTTACCATCTATTTTTCGGTCTCTCGTATACGTCGAAGCTGGAAAGGGGTATGCTGATCGTGCCGAGAAACTCGTCAACTCCCAAGAAGTTACGATGAAGAGCAGTAAGCACTATTTCCGCGGTGTTTCCTTGTTCCGGAATAAGCAATTCGCATTCTTCGTGCCATTCCACGTCTTTCGAGGCCTTCTCCTTCACGGACGTTTGGTATTTTTCTTTCCCAAGGGCGATTGTCACGAAACAATCATTGGTCTCTATGATTACATATATATATATATATATATATCGTTAAGTTGAAGAAGCATTTAACGTGGGTGGAGATGGTCAACCGCAAAGGTTAGCATTAACAAGCCTCGTAACGAGCATTTAAATCTCGCAGGAGAGGAGATCCATTGTCTACTTATTGCCCGCACGAATTACCTTCGCGTGATTTGCATCTTTTTTTCAGACGATGTTAATTAATAAAAAAAAAAATATTACAAATATCGTACAAGCTGTACGCGTCGCGAAATTCGATTCGAATATAGCGGCAGTGTGACACAATTTCGGCAGCGCTGGTCAAAAAATTTGATTTCCATTGTTTTGAAATTAGACTCGTTCGAAATGTGAAAAAGAGCTGACACGAACGAATCGTCATTTCGCGGCCACCTACGAAAGGCCGTGACATGTATGAAACTGGGCTAAAGCGACTAGAATTTCCACTACATTTATCCCATTATATAAATGCTGTATTATTATCGCCGCAACCGTTAACAGAGATACTTACTATGTTTTCCTTTGGTTAACAAGTTCTTCGCTCTTTGAACTGTAAACAAAAAAAAAAGCTTTTGTTAGAGATCATAGAATTATTATCAAACGTCTCTCGATATTATTCATTTCGAGCGATTCAATTCACAAGATAACGAGAAATAGGCGTAACTAGATAAAACGCGATCAGATCCGAAAGCGTAGTTTGAATGGAACTGAATTTTCATATGCTGTTAGATTCCACAGTTCGTTTTTGTTCAACGAAGTTTCTCTTTGAAAGTAATTTTCATCGTTCGAACGTACATGATAACATTTTGTAAAAACGCGTCATGGGTAACGAACACAACAGACCTTCCTATCATGGTAAAAGCGTTGAACGTATCGGTACCCGCCTATTATTCTTCCCTACATTTTTACCGCGAAACCTCGCTGTTTCTACCGCATTGTTACTGGTTATTTTCAGCCAATTACCCGCGATACTATACTTTTCTTCGCACAAATACGATATCGGAAGTAAATTCGATATATTTTCCCTCGACCGATGCTTTAGCGAAGATGACGAGTAACGTTCGTAAGATGCGGCATTAATACATGATACGTGCTCGATGAGCGCGATTGTTCGCGGAACATGAAAATGCATCGTATTCCTGATTTCTCGTCGAACAAAGTCGACTAGCTGAGAAAATCGACTCTCTCGCTGCATTCTTTCTTCCACGAGTCGATTAGACGAGCCGAAAGAGCATTCACCACGGCTGCAACCAAATACCGTTTACTCAGAAAGGAACATTCTTAACGGTTCGAGATCGCAACCATCGGACTAATTAAGTCGAGATACTTTCGTTTTTTCACCTGGCAAAAATCGCTTAGATCGCTTACCGTATGGAACGAAATGAAATCAATTGCGTTAAGATGGAAAAAAATAACTCTTGTACGTGATCTTGGAGTGAAAATATAACCACAAGGTAAAGAAACTATAAGTCTGTCTAGGAGTCTAAGAGAACTAAGAGAACCGTAATACAGAGTCGCAGGGTCCTCGTAGATACACCTACGAGCCTGGGCAGAAGGCTCAGGTAGGTAGGCGAATAAAAAAGGGGGACATCAGCTGCTTCTACATATGCTTTCACACTACCTATTTTGCATCGAAACGAAAGCGTTAAAAATTTGTCAGTATTCACGTAGATACGTTATAAACTAGAATTAATGAGAAAAATTGAACGAAATGTTAAAATACACCAGCAGCAGCTGTCAATTTCGAAGAGGTACGATAGAATAATATTTTTTTTCCCGTTCGTCTGTATTTGCATGCAGCTACCTAAATATCCGGCTTTCTATATAGCTCATCGAACAAAACAAGCGAACTAGTTTACCAGTCGTTGACTCATCGAATATTCGGACCGTGGATGATCGCGCGAGTTTTAAATACATCGTCCTTGTTTTGGCGCGTATCAGAGACATCGTAAAATATATGCAATAAACAGTGTTTTGCGATCCCAACGAGAGACGATAAAAAATGTGCAACTGCATATGAGAGATCGTTATCTTCTCAATCTAAGTACGTTCGTGTCTTTAAGGTATTCGAGTTTTCACCGCTTCTTCCCAATCTTCCTATCGCGTTACGGAAGGTTGCACTTGAACGCGATCAAAATTTCTATCGACAATTACTTTTTCCAGTTTTTCAAGTAAAAATGATTAAAGTAAAAATTTTCTAGAACAAATGAATACGTTGTATTTACGTAAAATTATGTCAAATAGGCTACTTAAAAATACTGTGACAATTGTTCTTTTTTAGATAAGATGTCCAATCTCTGGAAAATATAAAAACAGATAAAAAATTATAATGTACCGTTAGACGATTCAAAATGTTTCAGACTCGAGATATGTTGCTAGGTAAATCTCTACTAACGAAATTGTAAGGTTTCAATCGCGTACATTCAACGAACGATACGTAACCTAGCTTACGTGTGAGCAATAATTGTTTTACGGTACATTTGTTTCGGTACGAACCACCTGCCGCATCTATCTTTACATCTTTAACGTTTTTTCACGCTTACCTGTCACTTGAACGTGTGTCGGACTCCACATTTTGTTCGATTAGGTCACGCTGTTCGGTTAGAAATATTCATCTGTTGTTCCTCCTACGACGAACCGATCTACGTAACGAGTACCGTGATGCCGAATGCTGGCATTACGCGTCGTAGCTTTTGCAACCAGATGTGCAACGCCACGGCAACAAATCACGCCAACAACAAACTACTCTCGATGCAATCTATCAACGACAGCTATACTTGAGACTAGTGTTCGAACAACCGCTACGTCCGTCTTGCGCATCGCGCACCATTGTGGTAACTACTGCGCATCCAGTTTCGCGCATCCACCACGCTCACGCTTCAGGAACGGCGATATATGCATGGATCGCCCTGTACCATTATTCTATACGATACGCCCATTGAATTATATGTATATATGTGCATCTTACTTACTCATAGCAGTTCGTTATCGGTAAAATACGAGGATATACAAATAACAATTACCCGATTAAGCATGCAAACGTTTTATGTGTATATATAATTCTGTAATCAACCAGCTAGCAGAACGATATGCGATTCTAAATGATGCGATAATCAAAACACCGACAAGTTTTAAATTTAAATAAAATTATCTAACTATGTAAAGACCTTATAACTATTTAATATTGTAATTTACGTAACAGTAAATTGTAAATGTATACTCAAAGTATCTTGCGTTTCAAGCGAAAACGTTTTTCAAAGTAATAATCGAGTAAGTTGGTTCTTTTTACCTCTACTTTATCAAAGATTAGTCATTGCTATGTTATCGCACGATTTACCTTCTTTTATAGCAGCATGTCGACTTGTTTAATCGATTAATATCGTGACGATTGTTTCATTACATCACGATATCCTAGCATGATGTATTTAATTTTTGTTGTGGTGATTCATGTAATTCGAGTGTATTCTTTTGGTCTAATTGAGTAGAATTTGTAGCGTGTGAAATAATTATTTTCACTTGCAGTATAAAATACTTTTTTTACATAATTAGTTGGCGAATCGCAATTTATATTTGGAACATACTTTATACATATGTGTACAAAGTTCTACTTCATCGCGTTGCACTTGCAACAGGTGTTTCGCTTGTTCTTCTTTTCATAAGGTAACCGTAATCAGTAATGGTACTTGGTTGAATAATCAGAAAAATATTTTTGCCTGAGAACGCGTGAATGTATATAAATATATATTTATCACGATTGTATAATCGGTCACGTAGCGCGTACATGTTACCTTGTTAACAGAAAATTCAGCAAGTTTGGTAAATGTTTCCTGGAATACATAGAGATTTCGTATTTTGTTGAAAAGCTGGTTTCATCAATATACCAACAGGTGGTGCTGCATTAGCTGTCGTTTGCTGTATGTGGCGATAGCATCGTTTCATCCCCACTACGTTAGCGCGGTCACCGCGCTGCGTTCACCTTCGCTCTCATTGTTCCCCCTTGCTTTTTTCGCCGTTTCCGTCGCTCTTGTGTCTTTTCACATCGTCTCTCTGTCGTCTTCAGTTTCTAGTCGAAGTCAGCGACAGCGTCTCGCATGGATTCCTTTGGTTCTTTATCCAGAAACGTGTCGCTTTCGATCGGTTACACCTAGATCCGTGATATTCCTAAAGATTCTTAGTTGGTAATTTGGTCGTGGCAGTTGGTGAACGTGACCCCCGTGTACGCGTGAATCGACCTTTAAGTTTCCAATTCCCCCACGTTGCTGCTTACTGATTCAAGTTGATTCAGGACGGTGCATACCGCCAGTCGGTTCGAATAATCGTTTCGTGGCAGGTGGAGACAAAAATCGGCGAAGCCGAACCTGCCAACCGAATCATTCGCCTAGTCAGCCAGCCGCTGCACGAGGCACGGACGAATAGTAATCGCGCCTCGATCGTCGATCCTCGATCCTCGATCCTCGATCTTCAACGATAGATTATCGATCGCAGTGCCGACACAACGTGCAACATTTCTGACAGCCATCCGTGCGACGCGTAATTTCTCGTCGTTCTTTTTTTTTTTTCTTCTTTTCTATCAGTTATCGGCACCGATTCGTCTCCGTTCACTTTTCGTTTCAGTTTTGTGCGCGACATTACGAGGGTGAGACATGTCTTCCCTGAAGGGCGATAAGATTCCGTGTGCACGATTGTGCCACATCGTCAAATGGGAGGATTTCGACGGTTATGGATTCAATTTGCACGCAGAGAAAGGAAAGAAAGGGAAAAATGGCCAGTATATCGGTAAGGTGGACGAAGGGTCTCCAAGTCAGGCCGCTGGTTTGCGGCAAGGTGATCGAATCATCGAGGTTAACGAAATCAACATCGCGAACGAGACTCATCAACAGGTTGTTGAACGGATCAAAGCCTTCCCCAATGAGACGAAGCTACTGGTGGTCGATCAAGAAGCCGACGAATATTTCAGGGCCAACAACATTATTATCAAGGGCACCATGGCGAACGTCAAGGTGATCAAGACCCCGGAGAAGAACCCGAATAGTGTCGAGCAAGATGAATTTAACGGCAGCAATGCTTCCATCGATGGGGTATGTATTTCTAATCAATTTCCAAACAATTAGAAAGAAGCGAAAGATTCGTTTCCGAATCTTCGAGGGATCCACCTGTTGCTTCCGTATGCTTTCCATTTCCGGATTTAACTGCTCGTTCGCTTGTTTTGCTTTCTCGTGTCTAGACGCTTCTTCTTTTCGAGTGTAGTCATTTTGAAAGCGATGTATCGAATAATCGTTCATTTTGAGTAAACCTTCGATGCGGGACGATTTAAAACATTTGAAGAACCTCAAATGTACGCGGCTTTTTTTTTTTTTCATACGTGATTCTGTGTTTAAACTCGTGTATCTCCTTGTCTTTGATAGTATCTTGAGGCATGAGTCACCCGTTAATGCGTCAGTTTGGTCAGAGTAATAAATCATATGTTTCTTATCGTAACAAGAATCTGGGCTTTTATTTACGCCTTTACAAAATTGCTATGTAATGTTTTAGGTGTAACAATCGTACTTGCGCTAACATAGATTTTCATTTGGTAAAGAATTCTAGCACAGTAACCGTACTGTGATTTGTCTTATCAACGTAGGCGCGTTGTTCTTTAAACGAGAGGAAAGAGTTGTACATAGTCGGTTTTACCGTAGCTACTTACGAACAGAGATAAGCACGTAAATGTTTCACCAGACTTAGCGCTCTTAAACATCTGTGTTTACCCCAGTTGGCTAGTAGCAGTCAGTCAAGAAAAAAAAAAAAAGAAAAAGAAAAAAAAAACTGAACGCGCCATACGTGGAGCGCCGCTTCGTCGTTTGCGAACGGTCGAACAAATAAGTAGAAACGGAGAGTCTGCTTATTTCTTTTTTCTCTTATCCTGACAAAAAAGGACTGCGAATCGCGCGAGACGCGGCATGTTTTAAACGCGCGCAGTCTCAACCGCGAAAATATGTTAATCTCGTGAAAGTTCGTTTATCGAAATACGAATTTGTCGTATTCGATCGCATTTTTAGGCGAAACGCTACCGTACGCGATAAAACGTATAAGGAAGTACGCGAATCGATATCGTTATCGCAGGCTCAGCGAGCAAACGGTGTTCATCTCGCGAAACGTCCAATTTCGACCGTCCACTTTAAACCGATACAAATTTTGTACCTGTTATTTTCTGTTAGTTTCTTTATCTAATCGCGGAAATAAATTACGCCATTAATCTTATCCGCGTGATACATATTTTTCACGGCGCATAATAGTAAGCGAGTCGCTTGAAATTTAATAGCGTATCGAACGTTTCGTTCGTACGTGTACGTTATTTATTTGATCGTATCGCGCGCGTTCCACAATGATCTCAGCGTGGTACGAAGCAAACTCAAATACTGGGAATTTTTTTTTTTTTTTTTTTCAAGGTCTCGTGTATAGTCTTTAACATTCGAGGATAATTTATCCTCATCCACGAGCTGGAGTTAGCAGAAAAATCAATTGTCCTCTTTCGATTTCCTCCAAAGCGATCTATCGTTGATGATCGAGGAAGGTGATCGTTCGTCAGCGTTAAATGAGTCATCTTCTTTGGCACAAGGATACGTTTCTTTGCTGATGCTTGTACTAGAATGTTGAACGCCGAATATCAAATGCATCGCGTTATCGATCGGTAGTTGCAACAACAGGTGGTCGTGCGTCACTCCGTTACCTTGCGCTTTACGCTTTACGCATTGTTCCGTTTGAATCGGAAGAAACGACTATAAATTCAGGTTAAACGATATCGTCGCAAGCATTCTCGGATGTAACAAATTACGGTGGTAATCGACGGAAGTTCCTCCTTTACGAAACAACACGTCACTGGCCTTAATTCGTCTTCGTGGGATACGCGTTCGATCGTCTTCCTGCGATACACGCTCGTCCCACGAATCCGATCGTGCGCGATTTATCTCGCGATCGGAAGGAAGATTCGTCCTCAGCCGATAGAATTTGCCGGATTTCCGGTCATTTTTGCGCTGTGAAATTACGTAAATTTCACGTTGTATTCTGCGCGGGCTACGTAATCGAAGACACGCACCCGCGATCGTGTGTAACATTAGGTTCTCACGTACGATCATTGGGGTGAAACAGTCTTGAATAAAAAGTTCCACGAATTCGGACGGAGGATATTATTTTTATAAATATCTTCGTGAGTTCTTTACTTAAGTTACATCACATATTGGTCGTTTTTCTTCTTCTTCTTCTTCTTCTTCTTTTTTAAAGTTGCGTATATTCGTATCCGTGGCGTGCACTCGATAATTGGTAGAGCAAATAATTAATCGCTTTCCTGCAAACTGGACAATTTCCTGGCACCATTTTTTGGTTGCGCAATCGAACAAACGAGCGGCGTGCGCGCGTGTGGAAACGACAGGGAAAACCATTCGAAGCGGAAGAAACAATCGTTTGAATCTTTCGCGAATGGGTTAATCGTAAAAAGGAGACCACCTGACAATATTGAAACATATTGTGTTTGTTTGAAGGTTAACGATGCGAAGGTGAAGTCGATGAAATTCTGTCGCATCGACGACTAACATCAAAAATCCGTTATTTGCTCTTATTCGATTTTCGAAGAAAGCGTGCCAAAAAGCCAAGCTGAATACCTATGCAGTTAACGGAAATCTCCTTCGCAAAAAGAATCGGGACAAGCGTTGCATCGTGTCTCCCTCTGTTTCGGAATAATTAAATATCGTACGTTGGATAGGAGAATCACGTCCAAAATTTATCATTCCCTTTCACGCGGAACGTTCAAAGTACAGAAAATTGAAAGACGATTATCTGTTAATCCTTTGCGATCAACGAAATTTATTTGCCAACGATAAGGTTATTTTTGTTTAACATCGTATCACCATTTTTTAACGATAACGACGACGATAGCGTCAATCTTCTTGGAATAATTTATTAAACGATATAATTGTTCTAACAAAATAAAGATAATTTATGAATGTAATAACAATCTGTTCAACAGGTGATTTTATCCAGATGTCTGTGTTGTTTTCATTTTATCCTCGTCGTTGGCTGGAAAATAATTGAATTGCAAAGAGGATGCAGCAATGCCGCGGCATAGATTCTCGAAGTTTTATGGAGGGATTACCTCATCTCGATGCATAAACACCATGTTTGCATGCGACTATCGTTTCCGTCGGTATGTTGGTAATCGATAGAGTTATTGGTCACGCGTCTACACAGCGTTATTATTAATTAGGTTCTCTCGATGTCATTGGCATCCTGCAACGTAGCCTGCGATTGTGCGGCGCAACCAAAGATCCACGACCGCGTCACTTCTTCTAAGTTTCGAAACGAAGAAATTTTTCGAAAGACCAGCAAGTTTTTTCTAATTTCGGACGCGATAAGGACAAGCCGACCAACATTATTTTAAAGAGATTTAAACGGTCCGTGGCTTTGGAACCGGTTCTCCAGTCGCGTCGTCACGCGCTTGCCGCCTTTAGACGATGGAATTCCTTCGAGTACCGTTTGGAATATTGCATCAGGAGCCAAGGTCGTTAGACGTTTCTTCGACCAATTTCTGTCACGTTTTTCGTCCATCGATCCTCTATCCTATCCGTTTCATTTCAAGTTCGTTCCTTTCCAATGAGAAGGAACCAAGAACGCGACACAACCGTTGCTAATTACCGTGTCCACGCTTTTACTTTCTATCGGCGAGCGTTGTGTAACGCAAACGGAAAATTGAAGCGTGTCTCGCTCGAGTGCGCAGTTAATATTCAGCTTCTTTCAAGATTTCATTTGAATTCCTCCAAGTGTTTCCTAAATATTCAAAACAACGTCCCCTCGATGGTACAGCCAATTGGAAACGCATATTTAGAAGAAAAAAAAAAAGTAGCGCGCCACTGTATAATTAACCTTGATACGCGACACGCATTCGTTTGCATCTGTTCAGAATTCTTTTTTCAATAAGCTATCTTGCGCGCGAAATTTCGACGAAACATGGAAATTCTGTTATTTTATAAGAAAGTAAAAGTTGACGTTTTCTTTTCAGAACGCACAAAAGTCGAGCGGCTCCAACGACACCTCTCGCAGCGAGAGCAGCACAGTGTCGGCAGGTGCGACGAGGAGCTCGACGAAAAGCGAGAACGAGAGTGAACGCGGTGAAGAGACTGCTCGAGAAAACGGGAACAGCGTGAGGAACGATAGGAACGAGAGGAACGAGATGGGTGACACGCACGCCAGTACCGGGAACGGGAGCGTCGGTGGAAACGAGCCCCCACGACAGGGTCTGAATCTAAAGATGAGCGCCAAAGAACTGAGAGCTCAGCTGGCAGCGCGCAAAAAGTACGATCCGAAGAAGGAATCGATCGGCTTCAAGGACAAGTTCGACATCGTGCAGAAATTATAACCGCGACAGGTTACAACGTTTCGTCATCAGCATCGACGGTCTTTCTCGATTGTACTACAGCGCGTTGCTTTCAAACGAACGCGCCAGATACGCTTAGTCCCTTTTCAAAATCGTATCTTCCAACGATTTTAAACGACGTTCGAGCCGATCAGATGCGATTTTTCCCGCCATCTACGACACCGTTTGCGCTCTTCCAAGGACGATCACGACGACGCTGGAGAAAGTGTACGCGACGCGACGCGACGCCCGTCATCCTCGATTTCTGTTACCCGTTATCAAATTCAGGACGTTGCTCGTTCTTTCCGATTGCGTTAATCGATGAAAATTATCGCGGCTGCCGGGCCGGTTCGATGTAGAAACTTCTTACGACACCTTACACGACGGCAAACGATCATCGACGCGCAAGTCCGAATGGGAAAACTTTGAAAACTGCGAGTGTGGTTCTCGTTAAAGCAACAAAGACAGATTTCATTTACCAGAATTGAAATGATTTTACGTAACCCAAGAAATATGTAACACCGTGTAAAAGTAGGCGACACAATAGTGGGAAGTCTCGCGCGAGTTTCCACGTTCGTTTCTGGACAAAGTAAACGATGAGCCGCAGCGAGTCACAGGACTCGCAGGAAATCTTGTTGCTATCTAACCCGACATTGTTAAATATTACGACAACCTGTTGTGCAACCTTCAATTATCGTCGTCGTGATCCTTTTGCGTCGTACTTTACGCGAATATTTACGAAGTTTGTTGTTTTGTTTTTCTTTTTCTATTTCTTTTTTTCACACGCGATATATGTACCTAATACATTCCGTCTTGCGACAATACACACCTATGTACGTACGTACAAGTTTCTTATTGCATTATACGCAACATTTCGAGAAGCGTTTATATTACACGATTTTATGATTTGTCAATGGCTTTTGTCAAAATACTTTAGTCACGTGATTTGACTAGACGTTGGATTTAATACTCGATCGATAAAATGATTTTATGCCATCTTTTCGACGATGTAACGTAAATACCGATTTATATTTGGCTTTTACAATCGAGACATGATTTTCTATTATTATACTTTATACGACGCGTTTATTATTAGATAGATAGGCTCGATAAGACCAAGCGTTTTCGTAACTTCGGCTGTAAGACTATGTTTTCTTTGAAACACGGACGAGATAACGCTAAGCGCGTTTCGTCACAGCTATTTTCAGTTTGAAATCAATTTCATTATACGTTTGCATATAGCTATTTCATATATTCTTTTCAATGTTTAGAAAAATTTGTAGTCGCAAGTATTTCTTTCAATTCTGGTTTATAGAGGGACTTTGCGTACGAACCCTTTTTGTTCGCGCTGTAAAGACAGACTGATCGTTTTCTCGATCAAGGAAAGTGATCGATCAAATTGTTCGAAGTTCGTGTAACGCGATCTTCGAGGCTTTGCGCTGAACGTGCTATGTAAATTCTTTTCTGTCTTTTCGTTTTCTTGCAATACGTTTTTTTTTCTCTTCAGGTCCAGTGCATAACGGTATTCGTTTCTGTAAATATATTAGATCTTCGTGTCTCAAGATCGGTGCAACGATCGAAAGAAGCAGTTAAACGACGATTAAAAAATCGTAGGGAAACCATCGTCGTATTGCTTTGTCACGTAAACATTGTTATCGAAGGACGTCGATCAATCGTTATCGGATCGAAAACAAACGATATCAGCGAACCATTGATCTGAAACGAAAACTGCAGATTTAACTCCGATACGATGTTAGAAGTATCGCTTTAAAATTTGGAAAGTTTTTCGAGCAAACCGTTGCACCGATTTCTTGATATATGTATATAAATATTCCGAGTATTACGTAAATACACACGTTACGATTATCGCACACATTCAATATAATTTGTAAGCCTTAATTTTAAGCCTTATGTTTGACGACAAGACTTAGTTGTACGTTACTCATAAAATTGCGTTCATTTGCGTACATTTGTGTATAAATAGTATTGTACGTATTTGGATTTTGTTCTTTCTTTTTACCTTCCTATGTTATTTTTTTCTTTACAAAGCTTTTCACATTTTATTAGTAAGCATCCTAATAAAAAAAGAAGCATAAATTTCAAATAGAGACGCGAAGGTTGAAACAAATGCAACCCAGCAAGTGGCGCCACCTAGTTCGAATTCATCGATCGAAGGTATCGTTTACCTGAGAATCGATATTTTTCTCGATACGACTCGCTTTTGATGGATCGTTTTTTCCTGCGATATAAATCTCGTTTCTAACGGTTATTTCGCCTGAAGAAGAACGGTTTAGTCGCGTCAAGTAATTGTAATAAAAGATCCCTTATCGATAAAATTGTAAGTAGAATACGAAGCAACAACAATTGGAATCGAGCTTTCTGAATAAACGGTACGTTAAAAAGAAATAATCATCCATTATTTGAATTGCATGAACATTAAATTACAATACACCATTTTTAATGTTTAGTACTAGGAAGCCGTATAAACCATCGTCGAGTAGATTCTTGTAAGAAATTCAGTTCGTATCGATGATGGTCTGTATCTAATTTATTTACCAGTAATTTACGCGCGTTTAAAAATCATCCGTTACATGGATGTAATGTTTACAGTAAGAACGATCGATGGCCAAGAAGCACAGTAGGCGTCGTATTTTTGAAACGGCGCAGTGACAGATAACGTGTCGGTAGCGAACGGTACCGAGCAAGAAGAAGGCGTTGATGATGTTGGGCGAGAGAGGAATGGACGAAGTAAATTACCGGTAAATTAACAGCGTCAAGGAGGATTGGCGTTACGATGAAAAAGTGGTTGAAGTGGTTGGTAACTGGGCAGATTCTTTGGCTGGTAAGTAAGAGCGATAAAGAGAACTTGGAGGGGGGGTGATCGCGAATGACGCGAGTGAGAGAGAGAGCGAGAGGCGGACATATATGGTCGCGGGGTCCGAGAAGCTCTCAGGTTACGCTGACGGCGCTAACCGTTTTCACGATGATGTTTGTCCTCCTTGTTTCTCCTCCCTCTCTCTCTCTCTCTCTCTCTTCCTTTCTTTCTTAAAGCTCTCGCGTATCCTCGCTCTTTCGACTTCAACTTCTCCCTGGTCTTTCTCTTTCCGATTCGTTGATTCGCCATCCCCTTCGTATACTCGCGGTCCACCATCGTCTTCTCTTCCTCGTGCCCCGACCAAAAATACCGACAGTCCGTGTAGCCATGGGTGAGAAGAAGAGAGCACGATGCCGATGTCGCGGGTTCGATAAAGACGAAAGCGCGAAGCGTGGCGCGTCTTCGCGATGCCGCGAGAGAAGGAGCGAGGTTCTCGTTATTTCGAGATTATCGAGGATTGCCTGCTTTTTGGAATCGTGCCGATCGTCTCGTCCACTCCTTGATATCGAATCAGCTTTCTAACTTTTCTCGTGCATATGTTGCAACAAATTACTTGCAGAATGTTAAATCCGAATCATCATAGTTTAAACCGAAGAAGCTTTACCAGATCTATATAGTGATTTTATTGTTTTTAACACGTACACTCCCATTTATTAGTATACCGCTACATAAATAGGAATAACGCATTTATACCAGAAAGTGTTGTTTAAAACGGTACACAATGTGAAAACCCAATACTTATTAATAGCTTTGAAATAATATGCTTGTATTATTATAAGACGGAAATCCATTATGTTTATTAATTTGGCTTTTCATGATAGAATTGTCTGTCAAGTTGGATATACGTACAGAGATTCGGTAAATAATACGTGTCTGGGGTATTGAGTAACCGCGTAGGAGTTTGGTGGTCCAAGAATAGAAGAACGAGAAATGCAGAATCATAGAATTTTGATCTTCGAGTCGATCATTTTTGCGCAGAAGCATATAAACTAGTGAAAATTTCATTCTTCCAGCTGATTTCAGCTAAGAGAAAAACGATTCTTTGAACAGTTTATTTCTCGGAAATGAGAGTTGCAGCCGAAACGAGCCTGATGGAATCAATCAAATTTCGAATTTCTTTCTCCTTCGCTTTTCTCTGTTTTGCAAATAGGTAACTCGATAACTTCTTCTTTACAGTTTGTTATTCGGACAGAAATACAACATAGAGCTTTTATATTACGAAACGTCGAACAGATATAAAGATCATTAACGTTACGATACCTTAATATGTATATGTATGTACCTTTGGAAGTGCCTTCGACTTTATTTTCAGGCGGGATGATTCGTTGTTGATGGTATGGCTTTTCTAGCTTTAATTCCTCTCGAAATAGTCGTTAGCTCGCTAAATGGATCCTTTGATACACGCGATCAACGTTTTGGCCACGTTTTGCTATCGCAATCGCGTGGTTTTAGCGTCATACTTTCGTAAGTAGTAGATTCATGCGTATAGTCAGGCGCCTTGTTACATTGTATTATTAACACCTAACCGACCGGAAGCGTATTTATAGATCTCTTGAAGCCAGCGGTTATTGACTGAGAATCATTTTACCAATTCAGATTAATTAATGCAGGGACATATTTTTGAATAAGCGATTCGATCGATTTGTTTCTCTTTTTTTCTTTTTTTCATTTTAACAGCTACGAAGATCTTCAATTCAACTTGATCGAATACAAAACGAACTGATCGTTTGAAACAGTAAATTAGAAGGTTGGAACAGGAAATGACACATCTATTATCATAGTCATTTTGTTAAACTGCTTTTAGGTGTTTCAGACATCGCATTCATAAGTTGAAAACGTATTCACACTTTGCCACAGCTGTTTTCGTGATTCAACCTTTCCGTTAATACGTCGTGGGAAATAATCAACGAATAAACAAATTACCAAATGACCTATTAAAATGTTGCACAACGTAAGGACTAAGAACACATATCTGAGCTAATACTTGTAGCGAAAAGAGTAAGAAGAAAAAACAAGTGTTTTTCAAACCTTAAGAATCCATGGTGTTAGGGTGTTAGGGTGGAAGTAGGGGGTGGATCGTTTATGATACATGGCTGTACGCATAATAGGGGCCGGTGGTATCTTGTCCTGTCCTCGCACTCATAACATCTATTTCCAGAACCGACCAACGACTAAGTTTAGATCGACTGTTCCATATACTCGAGCCATTCGCCCACTCGGGTCCACTTGCTCGAAGAAAATCTGATAAACGAACAAATAAGTGAGCGTCGCTTTCGCTGTCCTTTCTGATCAATCGTTTCCTCGTTGATTCGACGTTTTTTCCTGCTCATATAACTCAGGGCTTTGACGTTAAACGAATCGACGTTTCGATCGGTTCGATAGTGAAATTCGCGATAATAAACGTGGCTGAATATTGCGTTGGTGGTATTGTAAGTATACAGAGAGGAGATAAACACAGTTCTACAAGCGAATTGCCGACGATACTGTATTTAGGTCGGTCAAGAGAGTGCAGTTCGTTTTCGTACAGGGTAAACATTTCCTTGATTTTCAATCTTTCCCACCTATTCGAATATTTGCGGCGCATCTTAAATCGCTGCTTATATATAGAGCGCTTTGTAATTTACGCCACCGTTCTCTCCGATTGAAAACAAATCAAATCGTGGGATATAATTTCATTTGATCCAGAGCGGAGGAAATAGAGAAATATGAGGCTGGAAGGAAAGCTATGACATATCAAGTTGGGAAAACAACGATTGTGAAAATGAGAGAAAATAACAAAATAATCAACTCGACGGGAATACAGCGATCGTCTCTTTTTCTGGTATTTCAAGTTAAAAGTATCGCTCTACTAAAAATATTTCAAGCATACAACACGAGAAATTTAAGCGATGTGGTTCATTGGTAACGAACGTGTGACGCATAGTCTTCTTCTTCTTCTTCTTCTTCTTCTTCTTCTTCTTCTTCTTCTTCTGGGTTGCACGTCATACTTGGAATGCCGCGTGTCATATCGAGCGGAAGTTTTACTAGAACATCTCACTTTGACAGAAACGTTAAAAGTAACGAAAAGTATGAGTATACGTAGAAACGTACTTTGACTGAATTTCAGTTGTTTGCGTGTTTGAATTTCGTAAAAAAAACACATCGGTATTTCAGGTTTGCGAGAAAAACAATGCCGTCATTGCGAAATTCGACATTCGTGAGTGAAACGTGTCAACATTGGTCTGTCGGAATTGGTGCGTAAAGCAATTTGAGCTATTTACGAAACCCGACAACCCTTTTTTATAAGAAACTTTTCAATTCACGTTCAGGTTAATCAAATTTTCTTTCGCGTTTTTTTTTTTCTCCTTTGACCCGCGTGTTTTCGTTTCCGCGAAAAAGCCGAGATTTATGCAGCGCCGTGAATCTGCTTATTTGCCCGCACCATGCCGTGTGCCGTTTCCTCTAAATCACCTGACAACATCCGATTCTGGCGTATAGATGTTTCCTTCTGGATTATTCCAGTCTCGCAGCTGTTTTTCCACGCATTCGTAAAGCTCTCGTTGTTCTTTTTAAAAAAGAAAAACAAAATTATTCGATTGTATTGAATTTCTAGCAGGGACCACAGTGGCTGTCAACGCGCTAAACAAGTAGAAATTAAGAACCTAATACGATTCTGCATTTATACGATAGAGCTTATTTACAAAGATGATGAGAAAGGTCGTCGCTGTCGTATCGAAGCATCTTGACTAATTCTGAAATAATGTCGTCTTCATAGAGATTCGCGCCATGGCACGGTGTAAGTACGAGTGTTCAGGTCGTTAGGTATAGATTCTAATACGCAAAGATAGATTCAGCGGTGAGGGGCGATCGTGTATATTTAGAAAAGTGCTCAGCTTGCCAGAACCGAGAGAGACTCGTATCTCGACACCGCGTGCGAGATTTCTCTTTATCTTTCACGCAACGTCTCGTTTATTGCTTGCATTTAGCAGAACTCTTATTATTCAGCTATGAAACATCGAATAAACCGGGCATCGATTTATTATAAATCGTTCAACGATTTCCGAAAGATGCAAGATTAAATTGTTCAAGAATATTTCCTCTTTTGTTGTAGGGTATCGTTGAGAATTTTCTTGGAAATCGATCGTATGACGCGTGCACTGGATGTTTCGCAGCAGTTCAAAGCTTACGTTCAGAGACAGAGAAAAGTGGAATATGGAGGGTATTAGTCAGACCCGAACGACAGAGAATTCGAGCAGATATCGATACCGTGTACTCGATCGGAGTTTTGAAACTCAGCCAGAAACGTCGCGTCGCGACGATATTTGAATACCTCCCAAAGTTAAGGGTTGTCGCGAGCCTGACGGTTTATGAATTAAACGCTATTATCCATGAAATTATATGGTCGACGATATTACTGGGAGATAAAAAAAACCAAAAAAAAAAACGGCCGATTGCTCGTCGAAATGTTCGATGCGACCGAAAAACTTATTTTCGTTAGGAACGGTGGCCAAGACCCACTTTTTCATCGCACGCTGTTCTATTTCCTACCGTCGCTAATATCTGCTTACTTTTTATTTGACAGATAAGTTTAATCCGTCGAATTCTCCAGAAACAAACAAAGTACTTAATTCTTCCTTATCTTGCTTACGGGAACGAAAGGTATTTTGTTTATATCGGAGGTCATCTCGCAAGTAGTACAATTTATAATAAATCCGGCCTCCGTGTTTATTTCGAAACTGTAATGACACTCGGTATTTTAATTACGATTCGAGGACGTGAAATTCTTACACGGTGATTTCTCCTACGTTCCGTCATTCGACCGAAGTAGTTGCAACAATAATTAACCAACTATAAGGACGTTCTTTACTGTCGATTATTGTACGATACTAATTTTATCTCTCATTGTCATTTTGCGTGGACGGTTTCCTCCTCTACGAATATATAGAAACGTTTCAAGTACAATATCAAAGGTAAAAGAAGGTGGAGCTTGCGGAGCGCAGTCGCGTGCAAAGGGGTTGGCAAGGGTAGCAAACGCAAGGGTAGAAGAGATAAAAGTAGGAAGTGGTGGTGGAATGGTGAGCGGTGATAAGTGGCGAGGATTCGAATGGCGTCAGTGTCAGGATTCAGCCTCTAAACTCGAGCGCGTGGGCGTGTAAAAGAGTAGGGTGGAAGGGTTGAGGCGCGTCGAGGGAAGCGGTGCATGCGCAGATATAGCGGGATCGGCATCGGCGTCGGCGTCGAGGTGTCACGACGCTATTTCGTACGGTTAGTTGGCGCGCGGGGCCCCGGTGACTGAGACGGCCAAGACAGGAGGCGCTCCGTATAAAAGGAGAAAGGAGAGACAAAAGACAGGGCCAAACGAACAAGATAAACTGTTTAAATTGTTTAAACGGATCGACGACCACACAGTGACGACGACTATAAGACGAAGACGATCGAATAATTAAAATTTTTCATTCTATCTCATTATTTTCGCTTCTATTCTTTTTTCTCTTGCCTTTTCTGAGACAATCGGCTATCAAAGTGCGCGAACCGATTTCTACCCATTGAGGGTGGCACAAACGAATTTCTATTTTGGATACCTACCAGCTCGGTTCAAGTAAGTTTCCCTGTTTTGACAGGCTGGATGTTTGATCGAGGAAGGGTATACGAGCGAGTGAACGAGCGAGAACGGATGGGAAATACAGTGTGCCCTTAACTCTTCTGTTACGCGTTCTCATTTCCCCTCTTTATCTTTTTAATCTACGGTGATTCGCGGGTGCTTTTGGTGCTTCAAGTGTTTCAAAGTGTTTTACGTATCGTTTCGTCAGCACACGAACAACTGCCAGCCTCGTTCGTATATCCCTTGGAGATCTTTTTTGGATCAAAAACGGTGCGTAACTTACTTATTCACTTCGACGATAAGCGGTCAATAAAGGTTTCCCAGTTCGCTTACAGTACTCAACACCTGTTAAGAAATTTCATTTGGTTAAATAAATTGGAAAAATAAAGAGAAAAGTCTTTAGTGGAATAGCAAATCGAAAGGTTAGATTGAAAATGTGGTTCTTAATATTCTCTGTGAGTCATAATACTGCTTGTCTGACTAATCGCGACTATTACTACTGTGCCGATCAATGTGTCAACACTTTCGCTGCATCGCATCGTGTCGCGTCGCGTTTCTAATAATCTAATCATCATTTCTTTTTGCAAAAATGGTATACAAATAGAAATTGATTTTTTTAACGAGATATTCAATGAAACACATTAGAAAGAATTATTTCTGAGACTGAAACTCGCCATTTTAGAGACACGAGGCCGAGAAATACGACGACCTTGACATGTGTGCCACTTGAGAAACAATGTCGTAGGAGTAAAAAGCGGTTTTGGATGAAAACATCGTAAACGAGGAGAGAATCGTTAATGATTCTTTTGGTGGATCGCCGAAACGATCGTTTAGCGGCGTCGTGACTAATCGCCACGAGTCTCGTCGTCGCATCCAACCACCGGGAACTATTCGTAGACCACTATCTAGGTATCTAGGCTCGAAGTCCATTTATTTTTAGAAAAGCGTAACGCGAGCAGGAACGTTTCGTCGTTCCATTCGACGTTTCGTCCATCTTTTCATCAAAATTTTCCTTCGTTCGATCGGCGTTCCTTTCATTCGATACGTCTGTCGTTCTCATTGTTACATCTTCTTTCATTTTCTTCAATTAATCTCCAGGTTTTCCTCTCTTCAGGGTCTTAATACCGAAAGTGATTAACGAAAGTTGAATTGCCGTAACATCATTGATGGCTCACGCACTATTGCAACAGGTTTGACGTGTCAAAAATTCCTGACCGATCTTTCGCTCGATGTACTTGAGTTTCAATGATATTTATAGAACTTCATGGTCAGCCAACCAGAAAATTACACCTGTTGATTGTTGAAGACTTTGTTGTTGAAATTAGCACAATGAATGACTAATTTATCGTTCGAAACGTAGCTTTGTTGTATCGCTTCGCTGGTTTTGTTTTTCTTTTTTTTTCTCCTAGCCATCTGGTTGTATTTTTAACGAGGAAACTCGTAAACTTCTACTGGAGCGATAAATATTTCATCATAAATAAATTAGAGAGATTAAATCAAGGTTGTTCGAGTTTCTGATCTTTTACTAGTGTTAAGCGAAGAAGTGATAATAGAAATTGTTGTGCCCCTCTTCCGAGGTAAATCGATGTAGCCAGGGTATAAGATTTCGACGGTTTACGAGACGCGTTAGTATGAATTTGAGTCAGTTCACGAAAATAGACGTTGCGACGAGAGTGTGGCGAGAAAACAGTAGTATAGACAGAAGAAGAAGAAGAGTGCGACGGAACGCATGCCCCTCGACTAATAATTATAACTTCTAGGTCGGATTTAGTACGGTCGGGTAACTTTATCTCGGTATTCGTTTCACCGATGACCTAATATTCTTTTCCGTGCTTGCGATTCGAGCCGTGAATCATTTCCTCGTGATCGATACACAATGATTTCCAAGTTTTTCACGTTTTCTTGCCGCTAAAATTGAAACTTTTCGCGATAAATATTATTATCATTAAAATTCTTAATTGTAAGTTTGTGTGATATAAAATGTAAATTTTGATAACATTGGTAGTGAAGAAATTATCTTGTGGCGTTAGCGGTTAAAAAAAAAATCTGACAATGAGTTAAAGGTCGAAGGGGATGTGGCAAGTTTAAGTAGTGTTAGTCAACCATTAGTCGGTCATTGTCACCGAGCGTTTACAGTTTACAAAGAATCTTTGCTTACTCTACTTGTTTCTTACATTTAGGAAAGTAGAAACGGACTCGATCTCTAATTGAAATATAAACAGTACGATCGACAGGTGGAATTAGAAACAATTAGAGTAACAATCTTTGTTGCAATAAATGCTTATCATCAGCCGTCATCGCGACATCGTTCGTCAAAGATATTTTCGTCTCATCGTTACTTAAACGATGCTTCATTCATTCCATTCCTTTTATAACTACATCACGCAGATCGGTGCCACTTGTTATTAGGTCGACCTGTCATCGAATATATTACATCGCGGGAGGACAATAAAATTATGCCAAGTCGTCTTAGCTATAGTTTCTACGCGACAACCGAAAATATTTAGACAGTGCGGTGTCTCGGTTACTCGGCAAACACCTGTTCGCTCGTTAATTCTGTCGGTGTTCTTTCGAAAATCTCTTACAACTACTCTATTGCTATGCGTCTGTGTAAACTTCAATTATATTAAATCGATAAAGTTTCGATATAAATTTGCTTTTACGAATTTTGACGATAGTTTCGTTCATAACCCTTCATTCATAAAAATGGGCACTCGGTTCGGTTATTTTTAAGACCATCAGTCACGAACTGTGATCTAGGTGACTGCCAAAGGTTTCATCGCTTCTTACCAAAGAGAATTCAATGAACGAGAAAAACATTTAAGATACTTTTACGGTTCTTATATTTGAAACAACAGTTGGATCGTTCGACGATATCTAGCGTTTAGAGATCCCTTTCGATCTTCGGTCATTCCCTTCTTCACTTGGCACGAGTGGAGACATCCTGTCAAAAGTGTATCTCGAACAAAGAGCAAGGAACTTGCTATTTCGAAAGATCGACTCGAATTTTAGTTTCGTCTAGCGATAATCGAGGTCATTGACCATATAATTCCTGTACGGATGACACAAGTTGAATAGATTACGACAGAGCACCTCTGTATAGCACCTCGTTTGTTTTTTAACAGTTCATCTGAAGTCTGTCATTTCGGTAGGTTCAGTTGTTCGAGCGTTGATTCAATCTTTGTTTCGACTGATCCTATTTGTGGTCAGCAAAACAATCGTATCGGTAGTGGACGCGTGCGAATTGCAAGGAACGAACCGACACACGAAAACGAAACCAAGGAAAGGATTACAATGAGAACGGTCGTTACGAAGCGACAGCAATCTCAAGAATGTTTCGGAGCTCGTTGCCAAGTCTTACCACTGACGTTGTAACACTTCACCCATTCGTTCTGCTTTGCATTTCATCGGTCCATCAAATTTCACTTTAATCTCAAATTTCGAACAAACTATTGGTAGTAGATAATTAAGCAAGGGAAAATTGTTGGCTTCTTTGCAATTGCAACTTAAAATACAGCACGAAGTCGTGTTAAAGCTGACGTTGTACTAGGTGGATGAATTTCGTGTGAAAATTAGTCACGACAAAAACGCGTAATTTTGTTCGAAATTTTGTTGAAAAATTTGATCGATTCACCAGCTTTATCGTGAAACGACTATTCACGTTTCGACGGTTAAATGCCAAGCATAATAACCGATTACTAAGATAACTGGTTCGCCTATTTTCGAGCCAAGAGCCACATTAATAATAGAAATGTTGCGTCATAATTCGGCCTTGGATAATTTCGGGAAAATATGCTTGGAATCATAGATTCCATGAAAATACCTTCGTTTTTCTCTCATTACGATGTTTTGATTATCGATGATAATCGGTACTATGAATACTAAAATTAACACAACAGTCGAGTAAATTATGTAAAGATCTATTTTGAATTTGTTTGTCAGAAATATATCATTTTAAATGTAACGCGCGAGATATAATAATTTGGCTCGTGCTGCCCATGGCTTTGAAATCGGAAATCATAATCGTCCGACCGAATCGTTCGCGCGATTAATAGCCGCAGCGTAACGATCGTAAACACGTTGTTCATTTCTTAGCCAGTAAATCGCGTGGTGAATAAGTTTAATACGAATGATGCGTTCTGAAGGAAACAATCGTTAAATCGCAGGCTCGGCAAGAATCCTGAGAAGCGAAGAGCGAAGAAGAGAGCTTAGGTTGGATGGTGCCGCGGGTCGGTGCCATTTAAACCGTTTTCGAGAGGACCGAATAGATTTTCCTACCGAAAGAAAGAGAAAAAGAAAATCAGCGAGAAAGTTCTCGAGTACGAAAGGGTTAGGGTGGCGCGCCACCCGAGAATTTGGCGGTAAAGGGCGGTGCGAAGGCGGCCCGACACCATGGGGGTCGCCGACGATTTCGCGCCGAGCTTCACCCAGAAGCCGCAACTCCGGCAAGAAGACGACGGGAACCGGTTGATATTCGAGTGTCAGCTAATCAGTTCGCCGAAACCGGACATATCCTGGTATCGTAGCGACACAGAGCTTAGCCAAGATGCTAGGACCAAGTTTCGAATGCAGAGCATCGGCACGAACAAGTTCCTCGTCGTCTTGGAGCTCGACGACGTTATCGAAACGGACGCTGGACTGTACAAGGTCAAGGCCAAGAACAAGATGGGCGAGGTCGCCGCTTCGATTAACCTGAACTTTAGCCGTGAGTATCTTCCTCTTAAATTGCACGAGATTACGCGGCGGTTTCTTTTTATCTTCCAACGCGTTCACTGACACGACGCTGTTAGCGTAAATCAATCGCCTTATTCAAGGGTTAATGCCTTGGATAATTCTTATTTCTACCGTGCCAGTCAACGCGTTAATAAACACACGTTCTTGACCGATCCGTTTCGGGTTACGGACCTCGTTTTCATTTCGTTAAGTTTATTTAAGCGGGTATTTCATTATTTTCCAGCTGTCGATGAGCCTAGGGAGAAGTAAGTCCGACGATTTTACGCTTCGAAACCATAACCGTTTGTCGCTTCTCCAGGCTCTACCTTCATTTTTCTTTCGCTTCTTTTCTTTAACGCCTCTTGCCTATTCTTTCTTTTTTTTTTTTCTTTTAATACACGCGCTTTTTATCCTTTATTTGCCTCGCTTACTGTAACTTGTTATTTTTCTCTATGGTTTTAGCTGCGGAAGAACCAGATAGAGAAGGGTGAGTTCGCTTGCTGGGTTTTCCGCGAACATCGTCCTCTGTCGAACCTTGTTTTGCCTGCTTGGAAGTTATATTTTACAACCCAATTAACATCTTTCCTTTGTCGTTCACAAAGGAAAAAGGGAACATCTTCTGCGTCGAATCTCGTTGTTTCGGTGAATCAAAGATTCACCTCGGTGAAAGAAAGAAGGAAGGAACGAGCATAGCGCAACGAGTGGTTTTGTCGATAACGTTTAGGTGAGCATCAAGTGCGACTGGCTAAAAATATTCGTCGCGGAATGCTCGCTATTTTTGGGCGCGTTCACGTGCGCTCACGCGCGCGTCCGATAAGAGAAACCGACAGCTATGCTCGTTCTAAGCCAGGCTTGATCGCTAAGTTTTCTTCTTCTGCCCACGCATTACGGTCTGACTGGTCGACGTGGAAATAGCCTCGAGAGAGAACCTCTCCTTCTCTATTTTCATTCTAGCCAATCTTCGAACCAACGACATTTGTTCGTGGAACGCATCGTGTCTATTCTTCGACTTCGTTCGTTCATCAATTCCTAAACACGCGGCCCTAACTAGATTTTCTAGTTCACCTTCGGGTGAAAGGATTGGAAAAATTCATCAAAGTAGAAAGTAACTTCTTTTTTCCTCAACGATTTGTTTGCTCGCTTCTGTTTCAAAAGGTAAATCAGGTCGAAAAGTTACATCTCCGGGACGGCCGTCGAGATGTTGTATTTTCGGATCGGTTCGACAGACACGCGATTCCCGTGAATTTCTAAAAGTAACGCGAGCCTTCGACGCCTCAACGTTTCCGAATACTAGCATCTTCCTTTGCTTTTTACCGCGAATCTGATCTTGTAAATCGACATTTCAAAGAAAAACATACAAAAACCAGGGAAAAAGTAGGTTGTTTTCTCACGAGAATTTTTCAGCGAGAACATTAAAAGCAGGGAATTTGCGAGACGAATCGACTAATCGAGTGTACACCGACGTAAGTCGGATGAAACAGCTGCAGCCTACTTCTTCGCTAAAGTTAGTTGCGACGTTCCTCGCGTCGGTCATCCTTCTTTCTTCTCGCTCGATCTTGTTGCTTTTATCGTTCGAAACGATTCATTCCATTTCTCAAACGCCCACGAAGTTGAAAAGAATTTCGTGAATAACGTGGAAAGTGACGTAATGTTTCGCAAAAAAAATGTTCTAATTGAACATCGTTTAAAATCATCACTGACGAGAAAGAAAAACAACAAATTGAATAATTAGTAGGTAGGTTCGTTGAGGCGGTCAATGCGTTAAACGATAGAAGGACGTTGAACTTGTACATGTATCGAGAGCACTCGCAAGTAGCTCGAGTGTTTCTAAAACTAGCTGTTAATGTTCTCTTCAATCTAGTTAACAACGGCTTTCTGATGCGATGCCTTTATTTTGAAGACTCATCTAAACAAAACAAAAGTTACTTCTGGCATCGGCTCGAGAAAATTACGATAAATCTCGGAGCGAAACGTTTCTTGCCAAAGTCTCTTTCACTTTTGTCTGATCAAGCACCGACCTATTCTACTTACTAAACGTGCCGTTACCTACTAACACTGCAACGTTGCTGTTCATCCGTTTAACTGTGTGATCGTTTTTAACCAGTCAAGTGTGATACTTACATTACCGATGTTTATGCAAATATACAGTTCTATTATATAAAAATAAAAATAAAAATAAAAATAACGATGTTTGCCGTGTATCGTATTGTAATGGAATAGTAGAACGCTAACAACGCAAATTTATTAACCACTAATCGACATTTCCAGACAAATCGATGGTATCGCGCCAACTTTTGCGAAAAAGCCTGCTATTAGACAAGAAGACGATGGTAAACGATTACTTTTCGAATGTCGCATCACAGCCGATCCGACGCCAAAAGTTACGTGGTTTCACGATGGAAATATGGTTAAAGATTCACCGAGGCATAAGGTAAGCCATCCGCATAGCTTTCATTTCTAACACGAATCGTTTGTTTCACCCTCTAACAACAATTTCAGCTCACCGTTGACAAAGACGGCCACTCGTACTTCGCGACTTTGGAAATCAAAAATGTGACTGTAGAGGATGCTGGCAAATATAAGGTCACCGCGAAGAACGAGCTCGGCGAATCTAATGCTACTATTTCCTTAAACTTCGATAGTAAGTACCATAGAGAAACAGTTAAACTTATCGTCATCTATTATGTATCTAAACATTGATAACAAAGTTTACATTGGTTTCCGATTGTCTTGTTTTACACAAAAGTTACGTATAGAAAGTGGAAACAAATGTAAACTCATCTAATGTCATTCACCTTTCCATTTCTTTTTTTGTCATTGCCTCATTCACTCATTCGGGATGTATATCGATGATCCTTTTTATCTTTGCTTCCAAATCAATGATTTTCTTTCCTACTTCATGTCTTGTTCTCCTCTCTTCACTGTTTTATTATTTATTTTTTATCAATTGGTCCATCTGTTTCTGTTTTTTTTTTCTCCAATATTCTGTCTCCATCCGTGTACATGGCATTTATTTTTTAATGGTTTATCTCGGTCGAGCAATGAGCACGTATCGATTGTCAGCTCGACGGAGCGACGATATACAGCCCGGTTGATCTTCGACGAACTACCAACAGTAGATGCAGATCAACGTCTAATCAGTTTGTAATGAAACGCTGCTTCTATTACAACGTATTAATTTCGAGTCGCATTCCACCTATCCGATTCGTGAGAGTTGAAAATTTAGAATAAAACCTGTCTGTCTTACTTTATATATACATACAGTTTATTTGAAAAGAACAGATCGGATCGGTGTACGGAATGCGAATCGGCCTTACGCTGACGCTTCATTAGGTTGCTACAATCTCACGTACATACATACATATATACATACTTTTTCTTCTTCGTACTCGTGTAACACAACTATGCAACGTTAATCGCGCGTTTTGTAAATACTATAGTAATTATATCTGTGTTTGAAAACATAGCGATTAATTTGAATCTACTAAAAGAACTCGATCTTTAATCAACAAGCGTAATTTGATTACTCGTTGTTTAACTCGCTTAACAAGTCGTTGCATTTACTAAAGACATTACATGAGTGATAAATGTACATAAGCTTCAATTCGTCGCAACAAAAACAGAAGAAGCAAGTTTTATCGAATGAAAGTTAGGTAAAACGACAAGTATGAATAAATTTACAAGTAAATTTCTGAAACGAAAGCAACCTAAGTTAGGAGATGTCGGTTCGATAGGCAGTTCGTATAAACATTTCGAGGCGGTTTACACGAATGAAGAAAGTACGCGTTTTGCGAAGCAACATGGAAAAAAAAAAAAAAAAGGATACTCGAATCGATACGTGGCTCTGACCTTGGATCGAAGGGCTTAAACCTTCCGCAACCAGGTCAAAGATTAAATGCAAAGTGAAAAAGAACGCGATAATTCGCGCGTTCTTCGATGCAGAGAGGACGGTAATGGTGCGAAGGGATTAAGCGTTAAAGATATTGTGTAAAGGGATATTGGACACATGGATCGTTTGTGTCGAACACAGGCGACGAGGCACCCGTACCCGACGACGGTATTAAACCGACCTTCACCGAACGACCGGTGATCAGGCAATCAGACGACGGTAACACCATCACCTTCGAATGTCGATTAGTTGGCGACCCAAAACCAAGCGTCAAGTGGTAAGACACTCTGCACCAACCCTATCACCAATGGAAGTACGCCCAAACACGAGCACTACTCTATCTCGAAACGTCCCTAATTCCCTTTCTTCGACGAACAGCATGCTTTCTTCTCGTCGCGCGATCCCTCGTTCAATTTCACGACACAACGAAAAACCAACGAGACCTTGAAACTATCGAGCTTCCGTTACCAAGTTGTCGCGTACTTCCTGAAACATCGTCCCTTTTGGAACGTATTCAGCATGCAGCACGATTTCTCATGCACACGAAACAGGTATCACGGTAGCGAGGAGGTGAAAGAAGGAGGAAGAATCAGCATGTCGCTGGAACTCGATCAGAAATTGTACCATCTGGTGAGATTAAAGATCGACAACGTGGCGAAGGGGGACGCAGGCGAGTACAGAGCGGTCGCGAAGAACAAACACGGCCAGGGAGTGGCAACGATCAATCTAAACTTCGAGGGGGGCGATAAATTAAAGTATGCATTGCTGGTATTCCTCGAGACAACTGCTTCTCGCGTCGCTGAAATTTCCACGTTTCTTGTTGGCTTTTTTTTTCTTCTTATTTGTAAAGGTAATTTTGTTCGAGCGTTAGGATTAGGAAAATTGCTCAGCGACGCGACGAACATGCCTAGATCTCGAGCGAACGCTCATCTTTGGTGCAAATTGATTCTCCGCGCGATGGAGAACGGGAACTAAGCGTTTCAAGTATCGATTTACACAGAATACCGGACGGTAAGCCGCCGCGTTTCCCAAAGAAGCCAACGATTCGACAAGAAGGAGACATCCTGATCATGGAGTGCGTGTTGGAAGCGCACCCGGTGCCGGAGATAACCTGGTACCAGGGCCAGAAATCGATCAGCGACAGCAAACGCGTGAAGATGTCACGCAAGGCAACCGGAAAGGACACTTACTTGCTCACGCTCGAGATTTCGAATCCGACCAAGGCTGATGGTGGAAATTATCGATGCAACGCGTTTAACAACTTTGGCGAAAGTAACGCCAACATCTCCCTCAATTTCCAAGGCAAGTCCTCTTCCGTGCGAAAATAATTCTCCTTGGTCTCTCCGTTTTGCGTAGAACACTCAGAGGACTTGTTTCAACTCGGTAGTCACTTCTGAAAGTCACTTCTTTTCAAAACTGGTCGGAGAGACCAACGAGAGATTTCACACCAATACCTCCCTTTCTCTTCTCCTAGCACGTTCTCTCAAATTGTTCGAAAATATTTCTCGAAAGAATATATGTAGATTCTCTTATAGACACTCGCCCATTCGATAAATTTTCGCGTGATTTCACGAGAAACGGTAAGTACATGTTGCGATGTCGCTAACTAATTCGTGGAGTCCTTCTCTCGTTGCTTCTTAACTCGCGACACTTGACCCGAATTTCGAACGTTCGGTCAAGGTACTTCATTGCGTAGAAAACACTAACATCATCGAGTTTTACTAACGAGCAAAAGTTCGGTGTTCGATCGTTATTTTCCGAATGAATTTCGTTGAAAAATGCGATCCATCCGAATGAACGTTTACCTGAGATTCTTGCCTAACCGTGGATCTTTCCAAGACGCAGAAGAAGGACCTGGTTTCGCACCGACGTTCGTCGAGAAACCCCGCATCATTCCGAACGAAACCGGTACCTTGATCACGATGAAGTGCAAGTGCAAGGCCAATCCAAAGCCTGAGGTTACGTGGTTCCGCGGTAACAACGTCGTCAAGGAATCGTCCAAGATCTCGATCAAGACGAAGACCGTGGAAGAGGACGTTTACGAATTGATCATGGAAATTAAAGTAACTTTCGTTACCATTTTTCACGAGAAAATCGACTCTCGCATTCTAATTATTCCGTTAACGATCGTTTCAGGATCCCTCCGCACCGGATGGTGGTACTTACAGGTGTCACGTGAAAAACGAATACGGCGAAAGTAATGCAAACTTGAATTTGAACATCGAGGCTGAGCCCGAACCGGAAGGAGACGGACCGACGTTCGTCGAGAAGCCGCGTATTCAGTCTCAGAATCAGGGTAAATTAGTGATCATGGATTGCAAAGTAAAGGCGAAACCAAAACCGGAAATCGTGTGGACCCACGCGGGTTCGGTGGTAAAAGAATCCTCGAAGATCTCGATCAGCATCGTTCAAGAAAAAGAAGATATATATTATATTAAACTGTCCTTGAACGATCCTGGTCCAGAAGATTCGGGTCTTTATAAATGCAACATCAAGAACGCTCTTGGAGAACTAAACGCCAATCTAACGCTTAACGTTGAAAGTAAGTTCACCTCTTTTCATTTTCGACCCCTGCTCTTCGTTTCAGCATCGTTGCAAATCTAATATTATTTATATTTCCTGTGTAGTTATACCCGTGATTAAAGAGAAACCGAAAGTCGTGAAAATCGTAAAAAAGAAAACGGTTATAGTCGAGTGTCACGTTCTTTCCAAGTTCGCACCAGATTGTACCTGGTTCAAAGAAACGCAAGCGGTCAGAGAGGACACCAGACACAAAGTGCACGTCGAACAAGTGAAAGAGGTCTGTCATAAATGCGACAACTATGAAATTTAAGAGGAGAAGTACTCTATCGCATTCTTTTGCTTTCAGGGAGAATTTGCTGTCAAATTAGAAATCGAACAAGTGTCATCCTCTGACAAAGGTGTCTACAAATTAGTAGCACGCAATGAGAAAGGTGAAGCAACATCCCAAGTTGTGGAGGTTACAGAAATTATGGAAGAAGGCGAGAAGCCTAAAATAGCGTCCGGTTTGAAATCGGCGGTAAATGTCTTCTTCTTTTTTCAACATAATGTCTATCACGTATGAATTTGTGGTTTATTTCAAAATAATACATTTGTCGTAGACGATCGAGGAAGGCAAATCGATCGAATTTGTCGCTAGCCTCTCGAAACAAGACCGCAAAGTAACTATCACCTGGTATAGGTAAATAAATTGTTTTAATTTGTATATGTATAATATATTAGACTCATTTCGCTCTATCAAAATATTTGATATCTGCAGAGATTCCACGGTAGTTAAAGCTTCCAAGGACATCATGATATCCTTTAATGGTACCGACATGAAACTGAATATCACATCTGCTACCACTTCGTTCTCCGGAACTTACAAAGTCGTCGTCACTAACGAATACGGTCAAGACGAGTCATCTGCCCGATTGGTCGTTAAGGTAAGAAACTCAGAAATGATAAGGAGTTAAATGAATCTCCATTGAAATTTTGTCGATTGTATCCCTGATCCAAAACCATTGATACCATCGTTAAAATTAAAATCTCACTGGAATCCAAATTGACCAAGAATCATTGATAGTGTATGAAAGTGTCCTTAAATGTTGCATGCGATTCTTTGTCCATATTGTAGCAAAAAGAAGAAAAGAAAGAGGAAGAAGAGGAAGAAAAGAAAAAGAAGAAGGTTGAAAAGAAGAAGGAAGAGGAAAAGAAAGAAGAAAAGAAGGAGGAGAAGAAGGAAGAGAAAAAGGTGGAGAAGAAAGAAGAAAAGAAAGAGGAGAAGGTAGCAAATATTGTTATCGCTGCAAACTTTGCTACAGAAAACGCTTCTTTCCTTCGCTACAGTTGCCCTTTTGTTTTCCAATTGTGTAAATACCCACAATTCACGCTCGTTTCTTATCATTCTTAACACATTACACTAAACATACAATTGCAAGTACAGTTTAATTTCTTCTATCGAAGCATTCGCTGTCTATTTTTCACGAAAGACAATTTAGTTTTTAAAAACATCAGAGCTCTTATCAATATTTTTTTTTTTTTAAATTATTTTTAAGGATATACCTGACAAGAGACCGAACGGTATTCACAAATCTGCTTCTAAGAAGGTAAAAATCATTTTCTGTCAATTTTGAAAAAAGGAATCATAATTTTTCTAAACGACTGGAGAAACTCATACATTTCACACTTTGTACATGTACCTAGAATACAGATCCAAGTACCTAACGCTCGTAACACATTGTGATCCCTTGTGATCGTTACGTTTCTGACCCATTATGTTTGTTTTAATTGTATTTATTTGATAAGCCATCGAACTAGTAAAAGATCATTTAATAAATAAATGATATAATGGGAAGTAATAATTACTTATTCGATTCTTTATTTCCCTGTTTCAGAAAGCGGAAGTTATTCAGGTGAGTGATCAGCGACGAATATTTGAATTTCACAAAGTATGCGCTCGAATTATTCGATCGATCTTTCTTTTTTTTTTTCAATTTTATTGCAAACTGGTGCAGACGTATGACGATTGCTTAATGCTATTACGATGAGATAACGCGCCGCTCTTGAATAATGATCCTCCGATTTTGCTAAATAAACTATCTTCTCTTTTCAGCTTTACTAAAACGCAGAATCTCTTTACTAATAAATCTATAAATTTATTTCAGCTATTATTATTTGCGTTATGTTAAAATGTCTATAGTGCTATTTTACACGATACGCTTCAAAATACTTTTAGAAGATTCTTATCACCCTATCCTTAGAAGCTGGGCTATTTTTGATTTTCCCTTGAAAACTTTACTTCCTATTTTAGCTTAAAGCATGTTTTGCTTGTGTTTTGCATGAATATAAGTTCATCGTATCGTAAGAAAAAATATATATTGAATGATGGTTTGAAATGTTAGATTCAGTAAGCACTTTATTGATATCTTTTCTTTTTCCCGACGCGTATAGAAGGACGAAGAAATTGCAAATAATGTTGAAGAAAGGAAACCGCTAAAGGTAATAATGCTTTGTTTTGTTTTATATACCAAACATTTGATTTCATCTTAACTTTGTACTTTTTTACTTACTTTGTATAGAAGAAACCGGAGGAGAAAATTGAAGAAAAGAAGGAAATAGAAAAGGTAATTGTACGAGCTTTAAAAATTCTTAAATATATTTAAAACAAGTGCTGACTGATTGAAATAAACAAAATTTGTCTTCATAGAAAAAGGTGGTGAAGAAGGCAGAAGAAAAGAAGGAGGTAAAAATACAAAACTTGGTTCAAGCGTATAAAAATCTTTTTAGTATTTCTAATTCAAATGTTACTATAATTTTACTTGGGTTACGATAATTTCAGGAGATAAAAGCAGAAAAAACGGTAGCTCGTAAGCAGTCTGTCAGTAGGGTAAGTTTCAGAATTCTTAAAATCTTTGCAAAGCGAGAATGAAAAATTGTATTTATCATTTTTTCGTTTAATTTTGCAACAGATCGAAGAATTACGAACAGAAAGTCGAAGAAGTTCATTGGTATCCACTGAGGAAAAGGTTACTCTTCATTTTGTGCTTACTTTTTTTCTTAACTACACTCAACAAATTCAGAACTATCATTTCAGTGTACGATTTACTCTTAACAATTCAAATACTTATTTATTTTTATTTTTTTAATATATATATAGATAGATGAAGATGGTTACTCATCACGACGCTCTTCTATTCAAAAGGTACACAGACACTCACAGAACAATTTGTATACAGAGCTTACAACACACCTTATAAGAAAGATACGATTTTTAATTTACTAATAATTCGTTATCTGTTTATTAATAGACTGAAGAGGAAGTTAAGACGGAAAGTCGACGATCTTCCATCATTGGACAGAAAGTGACGACAGAAAAGGTAAGAAAATGTTTGTTGAAAATTAAATTCGTGAATCTTTGTTCTATTTGTTTCGTGTAGTCCTTTTGTGTAATAACTTTAAACGATACTTTGTCGAATGTCCTGGGTGGACGTCCTTTGAGGGGGTGGTGGTAGCAGAAACGATTCTGAACTACTTTTTCCTGGTTACCACCCCCTTCAAGGATGTCCACCCACAACCGATCACCCTGTATGTACTAAGAGTTTTTTGTGGTTGAATTAAAAATCAAGATTATTATCTTTTACGAAAGCAGTAAGTACCGTGTGCAATGTTCAACCTTCTTGCAACAGACACAAGAAGGGCAGTTTGTAACCTTGTTTTATTGTCCGCCTACATTTAAATATACTTGAAACACGAAACATGAATCTGGTTGTAAATACAGGATTCGGGGAAGACTATATAAGGCATACACGAACTTTCAAATCTTTAGAAATCAGAAGAAAAGTAATTTTTTGTTTTATTATTTTCGCATTTTTAGGCAGGAACAGGTAGTCCAAAGATTAGGTCCGCAATTACATATCCACAATTCGCAAAGGTACACAGAATATTCTATTTACACGTTCCACACTGTCTCATTAATCATACAAAACTTAACACTCGACACATCCTTTCAGGATGAGCCGTATATGAAATATCTTGTATTTAGACGAAAATCAGAATATGAGTCTAAGGTACATGCACCACCTTTTTTTTTCTTAATAAAATTTGAATAAGTATCGATAAAAGTATTAATGTTATTGTAGATTTTGCCAAACGAAAATATTATTAAGAGAACTAGGCCTGAACGTGAGGAGGAGATCGAGGTAAACGATTGATTAAAAAGAATTTTGTTCGATATTTTTGGCAAATAGTTTAAATACTTATAAAAAATCGTGTTTATAGGATATTTGGGCGTCGATGCCAAGAGATTCTGAAATAAAACTCATTAGAAGAACAGAGGTATACCTAAAGTTTAAAAATGTTAGACTTTATTTTCTTTACGACGGGATTTTTTACTTTTTTTTAGGATTCTCCCAAAATAATTTCCAAAACGCGCGAAGATAATAGCAGAGTGAATACAAAATATTTACCAGTTACACACGAATCTCATGAAAAACCGAATGTCAAGGTAGAAATCGTTCTAATGGTAATGTTAGAAGTTTTCACTAATAAATGTTTAAACATACGACATAATTTATAGGATGATTTACCATCAGAACGTATTGGGCGCGATGAATCCACATTGTTACACGAGCCTAGGCCACGTACACGTAAACCTGTCAAAGATGTTGAGGTATACAATACACAATACACTTATATACAGTACCGAGCATGGTAGGCTATAAATCCGCGAGCGATTAGTTTTCCTTATTCTTCCTTTAAATCAAGAACACAGCACCCTAGCACACGAAAAGTAAGCACTAAATAAGAATATAATTTTAGGTTCAATCAGAATCCAGCAAATGTCAGAAGAAAGTAATTAGCAATGGCGAGGTACACGATTCGTTTCGTTAATTATTATTACACACGATGCATTAACTATATCTTTCATACAACATTTTCTTTCGTTGTAGGATACTCCGATATCGAAATTTAATTCGCAATCATACAAATCTGATGACGAAATAGAGGTAGTTTATTTATGTTACTCGCGTTATATATAGCAATTATATGTATATGTAAAAAGGGCATTGTTAAAGAGTAAAGTGTTTTTAGGACATTTGGGCGGATAGGCCTCAAGATCGCGAAATCAAACCTATTTGGAAAGAGGTACACTACTTATTTCAAAATCAAGTACTGTACCTTGTTGAATTAATACAAACCAGTAAATCATTATTTTAGGTACCACAAAAATCTATCACAAAATTATCACAAACACAACCAGAAGTGCTCGAGGTACACATAGTCTTACACTACACGGAATATATATATATTTTCTTTTTCGACTTACTACTTACCACGTTCGTTTTAGGATGTCTGGAAACCAAATGATAAATCTGATACGTTAAAACCTAAATCAAAATCAAAGTCACGCTCATCAATATCGGCTGACAATGTAGAGGTAGAAGAGCAAATATATTCTGAAACATCTGTTAACACTTGTACGTCAAATTGAAAATTTTACCGCTCTTTTAGGGGGAGATTAAACCGAAATTAAAAACAACTCGCAAAAAAACCGAAACGGACAAGGTACATGCTCTCATACGTACACTACATACACTACATACAGATAATTATCTAACAGAGCAAAAAACAATTTTCATTATTTTAGAAAGAGGGACCGAAACCAAAATCTGCCGCTCGCAAAAGTGACGATGCGAGCAAGGTATTATATTTTGTTCCTTATATTTCAATATTCTTCAGAATCTACATTTTCGATCTATTTCTTTTAATTTTTTTTCTTTCTCTTCATTTACAATTTTAGAAAAAAGTATCAGTCATCAGACGTAGGTCTTCAACAAAATCCACAGAAGGGTCTAAGGTAGACGGAATAGAAAGCATACTTTATGACATATCAAAAATTTGTTATGCAATTTTCATTTGTTTATATTTCATTCTTTATATGTTATATTTATTATTTATTCGCACGAATATTATTCAGGATGAAGAACCTATGATAGATTCGAAAGAAAAGGATACTATAGCTGATGAAACTAAGGTACACAAAACATTGATCACACAACAAATCTATATAAAATATCACCACTTGCTTAAACCCTTGTGAAATTATAATATTAAGTAATTAATACCTCTGCTTTGTTGCCTATTAACTCGTTGTTTGTTCTAACATAAAAATTGAAGCAACTATCGAACGGGTATTATCGGTTTGATACTTTTCTAGAAGGCGGAAGTCGTCAGTAAAAGCAAGATTGTCGGAAAGGAAGAAAAGAAGGTATACGAGCGATTCCATATGTTTGCATTAATATCCGATACACTACCACCTATATCAACGTACATATGTACTTCAAATTACACTTGATTAATTTTAGGAGGAAACCAAATCCGAACCCAAACCTAAACCTACACCTAAAGTAGAGGAACCTAAGGTACATAACACACATACCGATTCAAATACAGATTTACAAATATCTTACACGATACAATTGACTTCTAGAAGGTAGAACCCACGAAACCACAGGCCACTCTTGGTAAACCGGAAGAGCCCAAGGTACACGAAGCAACTTACACTTTCTTGCAATACACAATACATTTCGATCATATACTTTTCATATAAAAAGATTCATTTTCCAACAACTACGATACACGAATATATTAACTTCTAGAAAGAGGAACCCGTCACGAAACCGAAAACTACACTTGGCAAACCCGAAGAGGCAAAGGTACATCGCAACACGTTACACTTTCCACTTTCTTTTTTTCAAATCGCAGCACACTTTCTTACATGCAACAATTACAAACACGAGTAGTTACAGAATTGTTCTTTCAGAAGGAAGAACCCGTCACGAAACCTAAAACTACACTTGGTAAACCTGAGGAAGCTAAGGTACTTAGGAACACATTGTCTTTCCTTTCTTTTTCCTAGTACATAAAACACATTTTTTCACATCTTGCAAACATAAACGCGCATAGTTACACAAGTGTTCTTCTAGAAGGAAGAACCCATGAAACCTAAGTCCACACTTGGTAAACCTGAACCACCTAAGGTACACGAAAACAATCTCTCATTTTGCATAACACGAATTTACACCAACTAAAGATATAAAAAAGGATCCTAATATCATACCTATCGCAAAAATTTCTTTTTCATCATTCAACATCGTACATCGAAGGAGAGTAACAGTTAATTGTAACCTTTTCTTTTCAGCAAGCACTAAACTTGAATCATTGCAATCAGAAATACAACTTTTTTTTCAGCTCATACTAAGTTTGAATCATCGTAACAAGAAATGTAACAATTCATCAACATACCGCTACGAATTATGATTATTATCAAAACGTTTTACCATCATCTTTTTCAACCTTATCTTCTTTTGTTTGCAGACCGAGGAAACCAGAAAGCTCAGTCTCAAACCTGGAACAAAGGTAATTTAAACGCAATACATATCGATACACTTGTTTTGAAAATACATTTTTGATGAAATATCTGTTTACTAATTGATACAATATTATTGTTTTTATTAATTGCAGATGGAGGTAGAAGCCAAGACGTTGAACAAAGTAGAGCTCAAAGTAAGTACATGTTACCTCGTGCAATCGACCAAACATCCATTAATCCATTTCGTTACTCTGAAAATAACTTTGTCGTACTCGTAACGTAATATTGGAAACTGGTATTTGGAATAAGAATAAAATGTATTAAATATAGCCAACGGCGAACAAGGCTGGCGAGGAGAAATCAGGACTACGTAAACCGCCAAAATACGAAATTAAAGCAGAGAACTTTCAATTTGTTCAACTCAAACCGGTTGCCAGGGAGCCTAAAAAGCCTCAACAGGCTGAAAATGGAAATGTGGTCGAGTTGAAGGTATTCCCGTGAAAGGGAATCTAAGCAATTATCCTTCTTCTCCTTTATCTTCTTTGAAAATTTATCTATTAGCTCTCCTTCTATCTACAAATTTGTTACGTTATTTTACTATCTCTATCAGCACGGAAAAAATGTCTCTTCCCTAATTTTCTACAACATATTTCTTCTTTTAAAAATTCTTTTCTTCTTCGTGTCTTCTCTACCTTCAAGCTTTACGACATCTTTTTTCTTGTACTTACAGAATTAAACAAAAAATTCGTCTCTTTATCGTTTCGAAAATTTCCTTTTCTTTCTTCTTTCAAGGTTTACGACTTTTCACTATCCACTTATTTCTACATAAAAATTCTTTCTTCTAGCACTTACAGGATTAAATAAAAAAATTCACCTTTCTTCGGTGGAAAACTTTCTACGCTTAACGTTTCGTTTCGGTGTCGTTAACAATGGTGCAACTTATCGTTTATCCTTCAACAGCTAAATAAGGAATCGAAAGCTTTATAACAATACTGATTGTACATAAGCAAATATATACATTTGGTGGACATCACCAAATGCAACGGCTCTACTCGTTCATGGACCATTCGGGTCCTTCAAACTGACTACTAATTAAGAATACTATCTCTTCAAATGAACTCTTCTCTGCTGGGATCAATGTTTCTTCGTCTATCGCTATCTAATTTTACATTTGATCTACGCTGAAACGGTAAATTAATTGAACCAATTTGATAACGCACAGAAAACCGAGAAGATCGAGAAGGTTGAAACTAAGAAAGCAAAAACCGCCAAGTCTTCGAAGGAGAAGAATTACGAACTTCCAGAGATTCCAGATTACGAAAGACCTGTGTTGGAGAAGCCTCGAGAGTTTGATTTCGGCGAACATGTACCTCGCGACAAAACAAAGCTCGATAGACCGGCCACTCAGGTAAAAATTATATCGATCAGATGTATTACTGTAAGAAGAAATATAATATTCATAGTTACTAATGATTTTTGTTTTTCACGCGATGGACGAGCAGAAATTCGATTCTAAGGTGAGTAATAAAAGTTATTATTAATACTAAATGCTTAAGAGAAACTATAAGAATTATGCAATGACCTGTTGCCAACTATGATTCGATTAAATGAAAAAAGGATTTTTCGGACGAATATGAATCAAAATTCGCAATGTATAGGAGAGGGTGAGGGTGGAGCCGGGTACGGTGATACGAAATCCTTGCTGGTAGGGTTGGCAACCGTTCGTAGTCATATTTTCTCTTCTCTTCGAAGATTGTCGCCGGTGACGACGATGCCCGACACAAATACACTCTCGTAACCGTGATTCGATCCCCGCGAGGATAATTAACGCAACACGAGCGTGTGCGATAGGTAATAATCAGACGGGTAAAATCACGGTTTGGCAAGCGTGACGAATACCCTCCGTTCCTCGCTCAACGATTCGTTGCATCCGGATACACGGCTCGCGAAAGAGGGGGACAAACTATTTTGGCAAATAACCGCTCATAGATCACCTCCCTTGGATCCCCCGATTTTTCGACGTGGAAACGAGGATGGAGAAAATGTCGATCGCTATTTTCGGTGTTATTGCGTCCGGCTCGTACCCGTGCCCATCTATCTCCTCCCTTTGATTTCTCTCGAGCGATTCGAGCGATTCGAGAGATCAGTCTCGATTCAGTCTCAATCACCTTACGATCCCGATCGCGTCCTCTGAGGTCTCGTTAACGAACGTGAATATCTCTTAGCGATTTCTCTTTCTGGTAAATTCTTTTCTTTCACGAATTCTACCGTTTTGCCATCGGGGGAACAAATAAGTCTAAAAGAGAATTTAGATCCCTGTCAGAGCGAAGAAAAGTGCTAAAGTTATCGCGTAGCTCTTTATCGAGCTACAAACGAATCGTCCGAGACTGATAGTTTGTTTTCTGGTGTACGTAGCCGAAGGTGCCAGAGATCAAAGCACCCGAGACACCGAAGATCGAAGTTATCAAAGACGTAACACCGACTGGAAGCAGAAAGAGTTCTCTAATACCTGGCAGTGGTACTACCAGTCGACGCGGCTCCTTGATTCCACCGGAAGAATTGGGTCGCAGGCCCAGCCTTATCATCAGTGACGAGGTATGTTACCAACTATTTTCCCTCCATTCGAAGGTATATCGACTACTTTTTCTGAACAATCCCTTGAAACGGTACAACGTTATCGTTAAATACGATACATTGACAGCTTGGAACGGTCTTTCTTTTCGATAACGTTGCACCGATTCTGTATCGAAAAATGAACCGATTTGCTCCGAAATGTCGTCTGGTCGATTAAAAATTGATCGCAAAATCCATTCGATCGAGGTACCTTTGTCAAATTGCCAAACATTGTTCTTAATAGCTCTTAATGTCTAATGCCTGCCCAGAAATAATCACGATCCAGCCTATTTTCGTACGATTACTCATTACGTGGTTTCGGTGGACGCGCGCGGGAGACGACCGAAAGGCTGAAATCGGTAATAAATCATAAACGACGACGGACAAGCTTCTCGAAGGTTTCGTGATACGTGTATGTAGGTATGTGGCGCACCAGGTTTGGCCAGGTGTCTGAGTTGGCTACGATAAGCGACGGCGGCTTTTAAACGGAGCAAATCGGCGAACGTTTCGATCGAAATGCCCGCTCTGGTTATTCGCGATCTCAATTTTCTACTATCAAGGACGGGTATTTATTGCTGCCGCTAACACGTATACCATCGTCAAGCACTCTTTAGCAATTCGCTAAGATAAAATTGAGATCGGGTGTAACCGAGCCACGGCAACAGGAAAACCGAGCCCTGAAACGGATAGAGGAGTAGCTCGCGTGGCGCGATAGACCAGAAACGTAGGTAGAGATCAACGGCTACTGCTGATTAGCCCTAGAATTGTTGCAGTTTCTTTTTTTTTTCTCCTTTTATTTCCTTCTTTGTTTTTCTTTCTCTTTTTTATTTGGAGTTTCGTAGCAACGTCAGTAATTTAGTGATCCCATTCGTGATAGTCTATTAGAGGTAGATGTCCATGCGACGCGAACCCCCGACTCGTTTCACTAATTACGACTTGTATATCGAAACGTCGGTCGGGTGTGCGCGTTGATGTTAGTGTCAGCAATGCGTGATAGCTAGTTGAGCATCCCACTCGTGAATCGTCCAAGCAGCCCAGCTTCTGGAAAACCATTATTCCTTTGCCAACCCTGTTCGTGTCTCGAAAGAGACACTGTCCAAAAAGAAACGGAAGAAGCTTCCGTGGTAAAAGGAAGCGACGCTCGTGTTTACGTACACGCGTAAATGCAGCCATCCGATGGAGTACAGATTAGTAAAAGACGGTTTGATTCATAGGAGAATAGGAAGCTGCGACCTGGCGAGGTGGTGGACGAGCGCAAGGTGAGAAAATTCACTGAAAATGGAGAAACTGAATGCCTCGTCTGCAACCTTACTCGACTACCAAAATGCACTCGTTTCATATTTATTATTTTCACTTGTTATGTTACTCACAAGTTACTTCTATCGCGCACACTTATCCGATGGAACGTTGAACGAAGAGACACCTTCCTTCTTCTGTCTTGTTATACCCTGGACACGTTTGCGTTTTGTAACCTCGAGTGTACCACCTTTGCGTCTCTTCGTTCAATCCTGCCTGCACATCACAATTATCATTTTCTTTTCTTTTCTATATTTTCATTATCAGATTTATCCACGAAGATCGTAATCGACGAACTCGCGTCCAAAAATTGGCGCTATATAAATATTCTTTTCGATATATGGTCGAGCATAAAACGAAACACGTCGAATTGGACGCGAGATCATTGGCAGGAGCAAAGTTTCCCTCGACGCTAATCGAATTCGCGATTTCGAGAGAATCTCGGCTCGTTCGCCCTCTAATTTCATAATTATTGACGTGAACAACATGCACCCACTGCACCGTTGCACCAATGCACCACTGCACCTGGCACGGATCTGTTGCAACCGAATCTATGCACACTGCATATTCGATTATTCACCATGATCACTATTTATTATTAATATCGTTAATTTTCGTAACGACAATGATGATGATGATGATGATGATGATGATGACGATGATGATGAAAACATAACAATAATAATAGTAATTACTATAACAATAGCAACAAGAACAACGACAAGTTTGATGGTAACAAAGATAATGGTGTAAGAATGAAGGCGTGTCTGTGACACGAAGAAACTTAAATCATTAGCGTATAAGGTTTCGAATTCCCTCTGGCATGACTCGGGACTCGTATATTAGATTTTGGCAAGCATTGTCCCGAAAGGACAGCCGTCGGCGTTAACAAATGCCTAGACATGCGGCAAACATTTACGGCACGTGAATCGTGGCTACTTGAAAAGACACGACACGCCCGTCCACGTATGTAATGTACGTACATAGGTAGATACGCGTGTATATCATTTAATTCGAAGCAGGAATGCGTTTCACGCAGTCCGAACACTTGTTATGCTCTGCCAACGATCGGATAAAACTATCAATTTCCCGGACGCGAAGGACGCGTCTGACTTATGCTACTGTAAGTTTAATACTTTGCCACCGATTAATCAACTCTGATCGTGATTCAATGGATACCTTGTAGTTAGCCGATTTCGTTATTTCTGGATGCCACGATTCGCTTCGCTCGTACCTACCTAATATACGTGCACCGAATATGCACAGACACGCCTATGGATTCTTACGAATCGTCGAATTTTCTCCTACCTTTTCGACGATTCTTCCTGGATCGCAATTATCATCGTGACCGGATGGAAGCTGAGACGAAACATCACTTGTTTGCGAAATTAATGCTCTAACGTGCACCGTAAACTATTGTCGCAGAAGAATTGCACCGAAATTGCACCAGTATAGTCGGTAAAGCGAACCTCAGATACCCTTAGCGACCTTGTGATCGTCTTCTTTTACTTTCCTCCTCTAAACTATCCTTCTTAATACTCTACCCCTTTACCCGTTGATCCTGTTTATCTTTTCAACTTTGATACTTTTTCGGGAGGGGGTGGGGACTCGATTGCGGTAAAAGGAAGGTGATGATTTTTCATCATTTACCTATTCGAGAGATTCGCGTAACAAAACTACACTTCACTCAAAGTTCTTATCCCTTATCTGCAATTGTTTACAGTTGGGAAGGTTACGCCCCGGCGAGGTGTTGGAGTCTAAGGTGAGATTTGTGTTCGCTATAACACAAAGCTTACCTGCCCGAGTACCATCACCTGCGAAATGTTTCTCTATATGTTACTTAATTTTTCAATCGCTCTCTATCTTCCCCACTACATTTTACACACTTTTTTCTATACTCGTTTTTTCGTTTTTTTACTACCGCCCCTCTGCCCCACTTACGAAGGTATACAGCTGCGTATACGAAGTGCAATTTAACGCCACTTACCAAACGAAACGAACCCTCGCAGACGGCAGTACCTGCCGTTTGTCATCATCAAATTCACGACAGCATTGCCCAAATATCATTCATTTTTTTTTTTTTTCATCAAATTTTTTGAAGCTGTCGCCGCTGCTCTTCGTTCCCTCGCCTATCTGCAAAAAAAAAAAAAAAAGCGGCCCAATTACACGTGTTCGAGAGAGTACACTGACAATCGAACATAGATCCCACTCCACCCTTATCGATGAAATTCAATGCCCACAATTTTATATTTTTCATTTTCTTTTTTCTTTTAATGTTTTCTCTGTTTTTACTTTCGTCTCTTTTTTTTCATTTTCACGCACCACGTACAGAATAAGTCTGGCCGTCCTGGCGAACTGCAAGGGAAAGAGGTTAGCGGAAATTACTGTCTTGTCGTTCGTGTATGTTATAAGCGGGCGTTATCTCAACGTTCTATTTTTTTTTTTTTTTTTTTTTACTTTTTTTAATGCGTGTCGCAAAAAGCTCCGAAATGTTCGCAATGCGTCTGTACATAGTTTGCAAGTAGCGCTCTCATCGAGCCTCCGGGTGGTTTTCGACGAGCAATTGCCTATCTGTTTGTTCATTTATTTGGTTTATTTTGTCGATAAAACGTAAACTTATACGAAGAATATTTGCAGTCGAAACAACCCGCACGGCTAATGTATAAAATATTTGCTTGATTCGAGCGGATACGAGTGTGTGTATCCGAAAAGTAGTCATTAGAAATGGTGGTAAGAGATATTTTATTTATCGTACGAATAGCTTGTATTCGTAAAAAATTTTATATCTGTTTCTTTCTATCTTTTTTTCTATTGTGAATACATTTCTGTACGTATCAGTCAACCCGTTGAAGTAGTATTGGATGCGCGGTGTCAGACGGGCCGCAGTAGCGCAGCAGCGCTTTAATCAGACATTCACTTTTTTTTCAATTTTCTTTGGATAAACATCGATTACTGTGGCCCCTTTGAGGCCTGATGAATGTGTAAATTATATGTATTTTTTTTTACTCTAGAAAAATCGTATATATGTAATAATAATTAGTGTCCTCTGTTTTTTTCGTTTTTTTTTTTTTTTTCGTAAATAATCCATGTAAACAAACGCGGTACACAACAAATACATTAGGTAAAGTTGTGTCGGTAATAATTCCAATCCATTTGGACACCTCATTCCTCTTCCCTGTTACACTATTCTCCTGAATTTATTTGTCGAAATTGTCAACTGTATCTCTCTCTTTCTATGTATTTCCTTACTTTTCTTTTCAAATTCCACTTTGTCTATTAACAGAACCTTCTAAATCGCAATTGTTGTATCTAACTGCGACGACGTGACGGTAATCGTCACCGAAATATCTAAAATCTACTCACGCATCGAATAAACACCTTTCGCGCGCCAAAACTACGTTAATCCAATTATGTTAAACGCTTCGATCGACGGTAGGAGAATTTCTTTGTTTGCAAGTTTCTTTAGAATAAACAGGAGAATAACGATAATAGGAAAATTACCATCGATCGACGCGACTGGTAATTGATTGTAATACTTCCTCGTAGTCTCCAAGAGTTTTCATGTGTATTTACTTCCGTTCTTTCACAGCGAAGCTCTTCCCAAGTGCCACGACACGAACATCGTGTCAAAACTTACATCTCGTAGCGTTAGGTTTAATCTTGTGACTGATCAATCGCTGAAAATTGTTGCGCGTCGAATTCTTTCGGATTCGACATCGACGATGTACATAAATGATTCCCTCCACGTAACTCGAACACCTCTGTTTATATGTATTCCATGTTCATCCCATTTGCCTGTGCGTCGATTTCACCATTCTGCTTTCATTTTTCATGATATTCTTTCAATTGATAATTCGAGTCGAGTAATCAGGATGGTTGAAAATCTACGCACTAATCGAATCTTGTCCTTTGCTACGTGTACTCAAGGGTTCCATGATGACATTAACGTTATACTCGATAACGAGGAACCCTTGATGTTGCTGGCGTATATGTAATACCTAGAAGAAATCCAAAAGGTGGTTAGAAGTATTCTTCTGAGCCATCTTTTCCCTCTCGCTAATGGAGGCTCGCCAAGAGACAATTGGTAGCAGCTGGCCTCGTTTTTAACCGCTTCGATTTGTTTAACATCGTGACTAACGGTTATAGATTTAACGCTTTTGTTCTAACGATGTGGATTAACTGTGCGATTAACGCGGCGTTTAATAGATTGCACCTGCACGCTGCACGAGAACACCGTGTTCGAAACGACGCGACAGGCCATGATTTTCGTCTTTCAATATCTATCGAAATTCAAACGAATAGAAAGGAGAAAATGTTAGAGAATTGCTGGTAAGTCGAGGAAAATCATCTGGCTAGTCGTTTCTGCTTCGTTTCGCTTTCTTCCAAATGCTTTATCGGACGCTTAACAAGATAGAATATAAATTGAAAATCGAAAACGAAACGTTTGAATATATCTGTGATCGATCGATATACAGCGTCGTCGTCCGAGCACGGACGTTAGAAGACCCAGCGTGGCGGACCTCGAGAATAAGATCAATCAGCCGAGCACACCTCTTCGAGATGTCGGACCACCGGGACCACCTCAGATCGTCGATGTCCAGGAATCTTATTCCGCCGTCGAAGGTACGTAAGTTATTGAATTCCATCGAGGATCGAGTAAAACGTGCGTTATTTTTGCAGACTCGACGGCGTACCTCACGGTGGGAGTGGAGGGTACGCCGGCACCGACCTTCAAGTTCTACAAGGGCATCACCGAGATCATCGAAGGTGGTCGATTCAAGTTCCTTACGGACACGGAGACGAATACGATCACCCTCTGCATGAGGAAGACGAAACCCAACGACGAGGGTACTTACAAGATCGTCGTGAGCAACATCCATGGCGAAGATTCGGCCGAGATGCAGCTCTATGTTTCCGGTATCTTTACTCTTTTCTTAACTGTTCGCAAATCGATTTGTAAGTACTTAATTCTCGATACGTAATTCCAGACGCCAGTGGTATGGACTTCCGTGCTATGCTGAGAAAGAGAAAGTATCAGAAATGGGCGAGAGAGGAACAAGAACAAGAAAAGGTAGACCTGAAGGAAGTTGAAAAACCAATGCCAGCATTGAAGAAGGTGGAGAAGGTGCGTACTCAGATCCTAAACGATACCTCACGTTCAGAATACTTTTACGAAATAATTTTCAAGGAAAATCTCAAACTTTTCTCTCTTGACTATATCTTGAAATAGCTTGTCTATACGATATGATAGATATACATCTATTGTTACGCATGTCGAATCGTTAAAAATTTCATTGCACTTTTTATTCGTGTTCTCAAACACTTGCGGTAATCGCATAACAGCTCGATACATGCTATGGCGCGTATGATCATTTATTTGGTGTAAAGAATGTTGCCTGTCGTTTAATTGGTATATATATATATTATTATAACTGACCTTAATGAGCGAAAATCATACGCGTAAGAGTTCGGAACGAAGTACGTAATTGATAAGTTTTTATTAAGTAAGTGGACGTGTTAGAACGTCGAGGCGTTCGTTTGAAACGGGAAAGAAGAAAGATGACGATTTATGAGAAGAGATTCGTCGTTTGAGAGTCGATTTTTGGTAGAGCACCTTTTCTCCTGGTTTTTTTTCTCTTCTGTACGTTTGTCTTCGTAGTCGCTGCGCGACAGCGAGATGCACGGAAGAAGCTGGTATCAAGACGGGGAGGAAATAGTGATCTTGACAGAGGGTGAGGAGGTCCTTCGAATTTCTCTAGACAAGAAGGGTGAAACTAACTGGAGCTGGCTCAAGGTTTTCAGCTATCATCCCCCCGTAGATATTTCCTGCTCAGACTTTGACGACACTTGTCTCGGACGTACTAATCAACCCCCTTCTGTTATCTGCAATTTCAAAAATTACTCGTACAAATGTAAAACCAGAAATTACTTGATGATAAATAGAAATAGAAGAATTGCAGGAACAGATATTCTGATTAATCCACATTACACATATATCACGTTACCATGATTTTCATTCGGGGACAAATGATACGGCAGACCAAATATACGCGAGAAGTTTGAAATTCGTTGACGAGACTGATTTACACACAGCACACGTAAAGTATTATGTTCACCGTGTACACAAACGTTAGTTTAGAGCTAATGCTGCGCTTTAGTATCGTATATGGATGCACTTTATCGAATCGTTCGCGTTCACGTTCACTTAATATCGTTCGTCTTCATTAACCGATTGTTCTTCATTAACCAAACCTTAACGAATACCGTGAACATTTTCATTAGATCTGTTTATCACATCGTTACGATAAAAAAAAACAAACAAGGAAGAGCTCATAGTTTAACAGTGCATGAGTAGAGATCGATGTTGTCGAATGAAAAGAGTAACGTTCGATTCGTAAATTAACGCGCGACACGCATTAAGAGCTCGGCTATGAGTCAACATCGATTGTATGTAACCCGCACTGATTGCCAGCAGCAAGCATTATCTCTAAATGTTCAATGTTGTAACACGGATGGCCCTGACGCGAATTCGAATACGTTTTTACCTATTTAATATTAGATTGCCCACCGAATTGAATCAACGTCGCGTGTTAGAAATTTTTCATTCCTAAAGGATTAGAAAGTTTAAAACACCGGTAAAGAGAAATTAATTTTAGTACGAGTCAAGTTGGATTGTAAAGGGTTAACTAAGCTCGTGGCGGGGTCATCTAAATTTCCACATGGGCTATCGTATAAGAGTGGCATTAACGTGGACGTGTGTGTGTGCCGGGCATGCAGGACGTCTTCGACATTCAGCGCAGGCCAAGTTTGCAGGAGCTAATCGCCGACTGGCCGATACTAGCGACAAGGGTCAAAGAGAAGGTTCGCGATATCTCTTAAGCAACTTTTCCTTCATTCCACGCGCTCGATTTCGCTTTAATCCCTTGGGTGAGGCGATGCCTCGTTCACGAAAAATCATCGATCATTTAGTTATCCTGATTTTAACGTATTCTCCAATTTATTCGATGCTCGACAAAATCCCCAAGGGGTTAAAATCTTCGAAGGAGAGAGTATAATGCCTACATTTCCGCCCTGCAAGGCTTTAAAAACACGATTAACATTCTTGATACACATAGACTTGATGAAAGAAAAATCTCAGCTCGGTTCATTTAAAAGTGATGAAAAATTGAAGAATAAAAGAAGAAACAAGTGAAATATCCGAGATTGAGGATCGCGAGATTTTCTGTCGGAATTTTTAGCTTTGCTTCCGGTTGCTGTGCCAACGATGAAACTCTCGCGATCTTTCCAAAGAAACTCAAATCTGCTTTGGCCTGCGCTTACGATTTCTTCTCATCCCCCCCCCCCCCCCCCCCCTCACCCCTTTTTTGTTTTTCGAGACACTCGGCTTTCCCAAAATCTTCGTAAGAATAGCAACTAATTAACACCTTACCGACCGGAAACCTATAATATTATGCCTTTGAAAACTTAGGCATCCTGATATTAAAAGAATCTTGTTAATACTTGTTTAATTAGCATTAACCGTTCATCTGTTTCATCTGCGAACGATAGGTAAGGTGTTAATACGACTAATATGTGTCACGTTACAAAATATTCATCCCTGTTCGTTAAGACGTACAAGGTAATCGTTCACGTAACAATATTTGTGTTTCCTGTGCTTTTATTTGCTTGCCATCAGCCTCGTACACAGCGAAGAAACCATTTAGCCTGGTCAAAATCAGATCTGTGACCGTAGACGAATTTTGTTGTTTTATAGAATAGTGGATCTCGTAGACCCTCTCTCGCCGAATTAATTCCCGACTGGCCGACCCTGCACCATTTCACGAAGACGGAGGTTGGATCGTATTCTTCGACGCCTTAAGATGCGATTTTACGATCGTCTGATCGTCTGATCATCAGTGACCCGTGATAATCGGCGTCTTGCTCTATTTCTCTATTCTACACCTCTGTCTATCTTTTTCGCTCTTTCTCAAGAATGCGAGCATTATATTTCTATCATCTATTTTCTATTTTCTGAATGCACCATTCCTTCGCTCTCAATTATTCGTCTCGTGAAACTTTTTTTTTCTCTGCCCTTTCGTATCTTTTCATTCTCTCTTCTTCTTTTTCATTCTATTCTTACTTACTTCCTTGAGCCTGTACTTATTGTACAGTCTACTTTGAAAGCTTCAAATTTTCTCTCTCACTCTATCTTTGTGTCGATCATGCGGCAATGTTTTTTATCATGACATATTTTGATTTTTTATTAGACACACATCACAGTGTTTTTGTTCTTTTGGTGGAATTTCACAGGCGTTCCAGTGCCTCTTCTTCAAGCCTCGAATGTCTCCGTCAACGGAGACTTTTTTTTTTCTATTTTTCCTGTTTTCTTTTCGTTTTTTTGCAGAATTTTATCCAAGATTTTTGTATCCTCGCAAAGCGGGACACACGCTGTTATCGATTATTGTATTTTAGCGGCGTCGATTTTTCAAACGCCTACGGCATATCTTTTTGAATCTTCTTCTTCCTTGTATGCCTAGCAACGTTGCCATTGTGGACGGTGTTATTGGATGTGATGGTGAATCGTTCGCGAGAGATCCTCCGTTAATTGATCGTTCCTGTTTACAGAAACCGGAAAGCTTCCTAAAACCACTGGTGGATCAATACGCCAAAGAAGGCAAAGACAAGAAGGTCGTATTCGAGGCGAACTTCTCGAAACCGAACTGCAAACCAAAATGGTTCTTCCGAAAAGACGTAAGATAAACTCGTTAATTCTACAAGTTTCTCCATTTTCTTCTTAATTTTATTAACTTTTCTTTTTTCAATTCTCCGTTTAGGAACTGTTCCCTTCAGCCAAGTACAAGTTCAAGAACGAAGAGGACTGCTACCAGCTGATCATTCTCAATCCGAAAGTCGAAGACACAGGCAAATACACCATCGAAATTTCTGGTGTTTCGAGCACAGGCTTCCTCAATGTCGAAGGTTGGAATCATATCACAAATTTTTTTCATTTTTCTCGAGTAAGAACAGGAAAATGACCAATCGTTCATTTCTGCAGAACCGGATCCAACATATACGTTTACCAAACCTCTTGCAAAGAAGTCGAGCGGTTATACCAAGCACGAAGTGTACATGGAATGTACCGTCAGTTCGAATTTGGCACAGGTTTCATGGTACAAAGGAAAAACCAAACTCGAGGTATTAATCTATGATCCTGTATCATAATTCATTTGAAAAATTGATTTGAAATAATTGTTTCTTCCGTTCAGGATGGTGATACGTACAGCATATCAAAGGACATGAGTGGCGTTTGCCGATTGACCATAAAGAGCGCTACCCTCGAAGACAGTGGCGATTACATTTGTAAGATTAGCAAACAAACCGACAAGACTGAAACGACTCTAACCGTAATCGGTATGTTTTATCTAAAAAGAGATATCGCATTGTTTGAATTTTTTAAGAATGTAAAATACTCGTTTACCCTTTATAGAATATCCGTACAAGTTCGTGAAGGTACTGAAGCATCAACAGCTCGTAGAGAAGGAAACGTTGACCCTGGTCTGCGAGTTGGACGATGCTGCTGGCGAAGTTAAATGGTTCAAAGGTGACCAGGAGATCGTAGCTGATAAGAGGGTACAGATCAAAGAAGAAGGCAGAAAGAGAAAGCTCATCATCAAAGATACAAAAGTTACCGATGCTGGTCTTTACTCCTGCGTGAGCAACGCCGACAAAACGGAAGCTGAAATAGTTATAAACTGTGAGTTAATTTAACTAATAGATATGTTAAGATATTTCTGTTAAGGAAGTTCAACTTCTAAGAAAAGCAAATTGCATCTAGATGCGAACCGTTTCAACAAGAAACTAAAGGACACAGTGGCCGTGGAAAGAGAAAAATTGGTGCTGGATGTGGAACTTCAAGATCAAACGGCGCCAGCCGTGTTCTTTTTCAATGGCAATCCGATCGAACCGAACGAGAGGGTCGAGGTGAAGAATTTAGGCGGTGGCAAACACCAGTTGATCTTCAATAAGGTAGAAATGAGCGACGACGGTGAGATCACTTGCGAGAGTGGACAGTTAAAGAGCAGCTGTAAGCTCACGGTTAAGAAAGGCGAGAGCAAACCTATCTGTGAAGTTCCTGACAAAGTTGAAGGACCTTGCAGCGCACCACTCGTTTTCGTTGTTCCTTTCAAGAGTAAGCTTAACTTTTTTCAATGTTTTCTCTTAAAAGTTCCAAAGATTCTTGTAAGAATGACTATCTCACAATAATGCTGTCTACTCCAGTCGAAGGCACGAAACAAAGCCAGGTAGAAGCTAAACTGATGAAAGATGGTAAACCACTACCATTGAAGGAAGTAGAGGTGGTCGTAGGCGAAGACAAGATCACCTTCAAGATCAAGAAACCTTCTCGCGATCAATCTGGCATTTACCAGATTAAGATTGGTAACAGCCAGGGAGAAGAAGTGAAGGATGTGAATATTAACATGCAAGGTAAGTATTTTCTAAAGTAGTTTCTCGGATAATAACACTGCAAAAGTTGTAATTTTTTCAACGTTTTTTATACAATTTATACAGACGTGCCATCGGCGCCCACCGACGTTGACGTAAACGAGATCTTCCAAAATTCCTGCGTGGTATCTTTCAAGCCATCGAAAGACGATGGTGGATCTCCTATCACGAAATACGTGATCGAACGTCTCGATCTCAGCTTAAAGGCGCAATGGGACAGCGTTGGCGAAGTTATGCCTGGCGAAAAGTGCGTTTACAAGGTTCAAGATCTCGTCGCAAAGAAAGAATACAAATTCCGTATCAGGGCAGTGAACAAACTCGGTTCCAGCGAACCTGCGATGTTCGCGAAACCTGTTCTCGCCAAAGATCCTTGGGGTTAGTTAAACGAAAAGATACAATAGTTCGTTGAGAGATATCGTTAAACTATTTTCTTTTCTACAGACGAACCAGGTAAACCAACAAACGTGGACGTTACCGATTGGGACAAGGATCATGCTGACTTGAAGTGGACAAAACCAGATAATGATGGCGGAGCACCTATCACTGGTTACGTAATTGAATACAAAGAAAAGTTTGGCAAGGAATGGGTAAAGGGTAAAGAAATCGAAGGAGACGCGACGGAAGGAACCATCGACGGCTTAAAAGAGGGTACCCAATACGAATTCAGGATCAGAGCCGTGAACAAAGCTGGTCCTGGTGAGCCTTCGGACGCGACAAAACCAATCATAGCCAAGTGTCGGTTCGTCAAACCCTACATCGTCGGCGACGGTCTCACGAATCTGATCGTTAAGAAAGGACAAGTTATCAAGTACGATATCAAATATGCTGGAGAACCAGAACCAGAAGTGCACTGGTTCCTTGGAACAAAAGAACTTGTCCAAGATTCCGCTGAGAGAATTACGATCGACAAATATGAGAGGAACACCGTACTCACCGTTAGAAAGACGACTCGGCCAGATTCTGGCAAATACAAACTGGTCCTGACGAACAGTTCTGGAACCTGTGAAAGCACCGCAGACGTCGTTGTTCTCGGTAAGTCACTTTTCTATTTTTCCATTTTTTTAAGGTGCTAATTTTCTAGCGATAGAAGTTGCAAAATAAATTCGATTTTTTTTTCTCCAGACAAACCTTCTAAACCGAAAGGCCCATTGAAAGTGGAGGAAGTGCGCTCCGATCACGTTAAGGTGAAATGGCAGAAACCAGAAGACAACGGTGGTACTGACATCACCGGCTACGTTCTGGAGAAAATGGACATGGACACGGGACGATGGATTCCTGCCGGCGAAGTAGGACCTCACGAAGACAATTTCACTTTTAGCGGACTAACTCCTAAAAAGAAGTACAAGTTCCGTGTAAAAGCTGTTAATAAAGAGGGTGAATCCGAACCACTCGAGGTGGACGAAGCAATTCTCGCTAAAAATCCTTATGGTAAATAATCCTGCTTCCCACTGACAATTTGTAAATTTGCTATTTTTAACATTCTTTATTTTTTCCTCGCCGTTAGACGAGCCTGGTAAACCGGGTAAACCGGTGATCTTCGATTACGACAACGTCAGTGTGACCCTGAAATGGGAGAAACCGGAAAGCGACGGTGGTAGACCGATCACTCATTACACCGTCGAGATGAAAGACAAATTCGCAGTCGACTGGGTCGAAGTAACGAAAACTACCGACGCCACTCCTGAAGCAAAGGTCGAGGGTCTCAAGGAAAAGATGGTTTATCAGTTCCGAGTCCGTGCCCACAATAAAGCAGGTCCTGGTGAGCCTAGCGAACCTACGGACAACCATCTTTGCAAGCACAAGAATCGTAAGCATCTTCTTTCTCGACCAAAGTGTCCCCCAGTTCTTCTCGGCTCGATCGTTTAATGTTTCATTCGATTGTCTAACGTTTCAGTGAAACCAAGGATCGACAGAACCAATTTCAAATCCATAATCATCAAGGCTGGTCGTACACACAAATGGTCCGTGGACATCAGCGGAGAGCCACCACCAGAAGCGAAATGGATCTGGAGAGACAATATTCCGCTAACGACCACCGAACGCATCAAGATCGAGAACGTCGACTATCACACGGACTTTACGATCGTGAACGCGATGCGCAAAGACACTGGAAAATATACCCTGATCGCTGAGAATAGTAACGGCAAAGACGAAGAAACCGTAGAACTTACGGTGCTCGGTAAGTATAGTGCATCCTTCTGAATCCGACACATTCATTTCTGGAGCTCATGCTATTCGTTTAATCAGGAAAACCAAGCCCGCCAAAGGGTCCTTTGGAAGTGACCGACGTTACTGCCACTTCGGCCAAAGTCAAGTGGGAGAAGCCAGAAGACGACGGTGGTGTTCCCATTAAAGAATACGAGATCGAGAAGTTGGATACGAAAACTGGCAAATGGGTCAGGGTGGGAAAAATTCCAGGAAACTCGCCGCTTACGGAATTCGAGGTAACCGGCTTGAACCCAGGCAGCGAGTACAAATTCCGCGTTACTGCTGTCAACGATGAAGGTGATTCTGAACCACTCGAAAGCGAACGCGGAATCATCGCTAAGAATCCATATGGTAGGTCAACGAATCTTTATAGATCGTAAATTCCCTGAGAAAACATGCTCGTTCGACACTGGCTAAATGTAATCATCGTTACTTTGCAGATGAACCTCACAAACCAGGAACACCAGAAATCACTGATTACGATAACGAGTCTATCAGTTTGAAGTGGACCGCTCCGGACAGCGATGGTGGTGCACCGATCGAAAAGTATATAATCGAGAAGAAAGATCGCTATAAACCAGACTGGGAGAAAGCTATGGAGGTTCCTGGAAATCAACTCGAAGCCAAAGTTGCCGACCTGAAGGAACGAGGAGAATATCAATTCAGGATTATCGCTGTGAACAAAGCTGGCCCGTCTCCGCCGTCTGACGCTTCGAAGATGCAAATTTGCAAACACAAATCTCGTAATTATTCATTTTTCTCTTAACGTCATTCTGAACGTATCAATGAAATCTTTATAATTTTCCAGTGAAACCGAGAATCGACCGTACAAACTTGAAACCTATTACCGTAAGAGCTGGCAAGACGATCAAGTACGATGTAGACGTCCGTGGTGAACCACCACCAGAGATCACCTGGTATCACGTTAACCAGGAGGTGAAAAGCGGTGAAAATATTGAAATCGTCAACGTTGATTATAACACGAAGATCACTATTACCGACTGCTTACGCAAGAACACTGGAGTTTGGAAGATTAAAGCTGTAAACCCTCATGGCGAAGACGAAGCCGAAGTTGAAGTTATCATACTTTGTAAGTTAATTCTTTGTATATTAATTTTCATATCGCATCGTTGTGCGCTTGTAATTCGTAAACACGTTTATGTACACGTTAACAGCGGCACCCGGAAAACCAAAGGGTCCTCTGAAAGTATCCGATGTAACAAAGAATGGATGCAAGTTGAAATGGGACAAACCGGAAGACGATGGTGGAAAACCAGTGACCAGTTACCAAGTCGAGAAGCTGGACAAATCAACCGGAAGATGGGTTCCAGTTGGACGTACTTCTGACACCGAAATGGACATTAAGGGCCTCCAGGAAGGCCACGAATACGAGTTCAGAGTGAAAGCTATCAACGAAGAAGGGGAATCCGAACCATTGGTCACCGATGGCACGATTCTCGCAAAGAATCCTTACGGTACGCATTCTAGATGACATTGTACATCATGCATATCGAACGAACGGCAGCAAATTCAACGTTTAAATGATCTTTTCCAGACGTGGCCAGCAAGCCTGGTGTACCAGAGTTCGAGGACTGGGATGTGGATCGCGTCGATCTGAAGTGGGAGCCACCAAAGAACACCGGAGGTGCACCGATTACTGGTTACATTATTGAGATGAAAGAGAAACCATCCACGCAGTGGCAGGAAGCTACCGTGACTGAATCACCGCAGCCGAAAGGGCGCGTTACCGGATTGAAGAAAGGTTCCGTTTATCAATTCCGTGTTCGAGCTGTTAATAAAGCTGGACCATCCGAACCTAGCGATTCAACGAAACCGCATGTTGCAAAGGCACGACACTGTGAGTATCTCGTAAAAATTTACACGTTTAATGTAAAAAATAATATTCAACTTTTTTATACCTCACACATTTCTCTGCTTTTCTTTCAGTAAAACCACACATCAACCGTGAGAAACTGCAAACGATTAAAGTTAGAGCTGGGCAAATGGTGAGGCTGGAAGTGGACGTCGAAGGTGAACCTCCTCCAACTATTACCTGGAACTTTGCTGGTGCTGTTCTGCAGACTGGTGCCAACGTAAAGATCGACAACGAAGATTATCTTACAAAAATTCATTTAACCCAGACTAGTCGCAAAAACAGCGGCAAATACACCATCAAAGCTGTTAATGATTCTGGAGAGGACGAAGCTGACGTGGAAATTATCATTCTCGATAAACCTGGAAAGCCCGAAGGTCCTCTAGAAGTGACGGACGTTCACAAGGAAGGATGCAAGCTGAAATGGAACAAACCAAGGGACGATGGTGGTTTACCTTTGTCCAGTTACGTGATCGAAAAAATGGACGTGACCACAGGTCGCTGGGTACCAGCTGGAGTCGTAGATCCTGATAAAACAGAGCATGCAATTACCGGTTTAGAACCGGGTAAAAAATACGAGTTCCGCGTGAAAGCTGTAAACGAGGAAGGAGAGTCGGAGCCATTGCAAACAGATACTGCCATCATTGCTAAAAATCCATATGGTAAGGCAACTTTTTTAAAAGTATCTTGAAAATTCTACATCTTCCATCGCCTTTCAGACGCTCCTGCCGCTCCTGGTCTTCCGGAGATCATCGACTGGGCCGAGAACATGGTCAAGCTTAAATGGGAACCACCTATACGAGACGGCGGCGCCCCCATTACCGGTTACATTATCGAGATGAAAGATAAGTTTGGTAACACATTCGTGAAAGCTGCCGAAGTTCAAGGTCCGGTTTGCACCGGAACTGTGACCAGATTAGAAGAAGGAAATCAATATCAATTTAGGGTTCGAGCAGTAAACAAAGCCGGCCCCGGTGAACCCTCCGAAGCTACCAATCCTCACACTGCCAAAGCTCGTTGGTGTAAGTACATCCATACATTTTTCGAACGACGTTAAAAGCTTTCTCGTCATAAGATTTGTAATTCCACAGTGAAACCGTTCATCGACCGTACCAATTTGCAACCGATAACGGTCAAAGTCGGTCTTACCGTGACTCTGGACGTGAATATCATCGGAGAACCACCTCCAAATGTAACCTGGTATTTCGGCGATAAAGAACTCACGTCCGACGATACAATACGAATCGACAATATCGATTACAACACTAAATTCTTCATCTTGAAAACCAAACGAACTCAAACCGGAAAGTACGTAATCAAAGCGAAGAACGAAGTCGGCGAAGATTCAGCGGAAGTCGAGATATTGGTCATTGGTAGACCGAGCAAACCAAAGGTACAAGTTTTGTTACATTCAGCAAATTTCGACTGTTTCTATCGAGATTAATTTGATTTTTCAGGGCCCTCTAGAAGTGTCCGATGTTCATAAACACGGTTGCAAGCTAAAATGGGAGAAACCCGAAGACGACGGTGGTGTACCAGTCGAATACTATGAAATCGAAAAGTTGGATCCTCTTACCGGCCAATGGATTCCTTGTGCAAAGTCCACTGAACCAGAAGTCGCGGTAACTGGACTTCAGGAAGGGAAACCCTACAAATTCCGTGTGAAGGCAGTAAACAGAGAGGGCGAATCAGACGAATTGGAAGCAGACAAATCCATTATTGCCAAGAATCCATTCGGTATTTCTTTTTATTAAATTTTTGTCAATACTGTAGCAAACGCTGACGATTACAATTACGATGCTTTCAGACGAACCTGGCAAACCTGGTCGTCCAGAAATCAAGAACTGGGACAAGGACTTTGTCGATCTTGAATGGACGCCGCCTAAAGATGACGGCGGAGCTCCAATCGAAAAGTACATTGTGCAAATGAGAGATAAGGAAGGAAGACAGTGGATAGACGTTGCAAAGGTTCAAGGAGATCGCACGGTAGCTAAAGTTATCGATGGCATCGAGGAGGGTCACGAATACGAGTTCAGAGTGGTAGCTGTCAACAGAGCTGGTCCTGGAGAACCTAGCGATACCTCGAAGAGCGTTGTGGCCAAACCACGATTCTGTAAGCACATATACCTATTTTCTTATCTTTCACCCTCTTCTCGCTTCAATATTCCATACTAACGTGTGTATATAAATCTATTTTTACGTAAAGTGGCGCCACGCATCGATCGCAAAAATCTGCAGAAGAAGGTGATGCGAGTCGGACAGTTGCTGCGAATCGAAGCAGATATACAGGGTGAACCTCCTCCAATTGTCACTTGGAAACTCAAAGACGCTGTGCTGAAGAGCATGGATCGTTTGAAGATCGAAAACGAAGATTATCACACTACCTTCATCATGAGCAAATTGCAAAGGTCCGATACCGGAACGTACACGGTGATTGCGAAAAACGACAGTGGTACCGATCAAGTCGACGTTGAAATCCAAGTATGAAATTCGTCAACGCTACGCCTCAATAATAATGTTTTTCGATAAGATTGCTAAATGGCGATTATCATTTCAGGTACTAAGCAAACCTGGCAAACCTAAAGGACCGCTCGAAGTATCGAACGTGACCGCAGAAGGATGCAAGCTGAAATGGGAGAAACCCGACGACGACGGTGGCGAACCAGTGGATCACTACGTGATCGAGAGAATGGACGTGGATACCGGAAGATGGGTGCCTTGTGCCACGAGCAAAACTCCGGAAGCAGATGTCACTGGACTGAACGAAGGAAAGGACTATCTGTTTCGAGTTAAGGCCGTCAATTCTGAAGGAGAATCCGAACCCTTGGAAACGGCTATTCCTACTACAGCGAAGAATCCTTACAGTGAGCAAAATTTTTTACGAGCTTTATTCTTTTCTAATGCGCGGTGTTTGTTCTAATCGTTGAACATTAAAATATAATCTACTTTCCTCGTAGCCGAACCCGATGCTCCTGGCAAGCCAGATCTCAAGGACTGGTCCAAGCATCACGTCGACCTGAAATGGAAAGCCCCGAAGAAAGACGGTGGAGCACCGATCGAGAAATACATAATCGAAAAGAAAGATCAATTTGGTAAATGGCAAAAAGCGGCTGAAGTTCCTGGAAACAAAACGGAAGGTAGAGTCGAAGATCTCGTGGAAGGACAAAAGTATCAGTTCCGCGTAAAGGCGGTGAACAAAGGTGGCCAGAGCAAACCCAGCGAACCAAGCGACAGTTTGGTTGCCAAGGATCGTTACGCCGCGCCAAAGATCGATCGTACAAACCTGAAAGACATCACGATCAAAGCCGGTACCCACATTCGATTGGACGTGAAGGTCAGTGGCGAACCACCTCCAACGAAGACTTGGTATCTGAACAAGGCGAAGCAGGAATCTGCCGGTGTCTTGACAATCGAGTTGGAAGACTACAGAACAAAGTTCATCGTGTCGTCGGCTAGCAGAGCTCACTGCGGCACTTTAACATTGAAAGCGGAGAACAGCTCTGGAAAAGACGAGGCGTCGATCGAAATTCTGGTCCTGGACAAGCCTGGCAAACCGGAAGGCCCTCTGAAAGTGTCCGACGTGCACAAAGAAGGATGCACGCTCAAATGGAATCCACCACTGGACGATGGTGGTGCACCATTAGATCATTACGTGGTCGAGAAAATGGACACAGAATCGGGACGATGGATCCCCGTAGGACGCACCAAAGAACCGACCATGGTCGTAGAAAATCTGGTACCTGGTCAAGAGTACAAGTTCCGTGTTGCCGCCGTGAACGCGGAAGGTGAATCGGAACCTTTGGAAACGGATCATGGAATCGTGGCGAAAAATCCATTCGGTTAGCATCAATATATTTTTTTAAGACAACGAACGATTTACTAACGTTATTTTACCCTGTTTACAGACGAGCCAGGCCCACCTGGTCGCCCAGAGGCAACCGATTGGGACAAAGATCACATAGACCTAAGATGGACTCCACCATTGACCGATGGTGGATCTCCAATCACTGGATATGTGATCGAGAAACGCGAAAAGGATAGTCCACGCTGGATAAAGGCTTGCGAAACCGGACCCGATTGCAAGGGTCGCGTCGACAACCTCGACGAAGGCGTCGAGTACGAGTTCCGCGTAAAAGCTATCAATGCCGCTGGTCCTGGTGAACCCTCCGACGCCAGCAAGCCAATTACAGCCAAGAGTCGACGACGTGAGATCGCTTTTCGTTCAATCGATCCTCTTTTTTATTTTCTTTCTATTTTTCTTAAGTTCCTTATTATTTCTCCTCCACAGTCGCACCAAAGATTGACCGAAAGAACTTGCGCGACATCACGGTACGCGAGAACGAAGGATTCCACTTCGACGTGAAAATCATTGGAGAACCACCACCAGACGTCACATGGGTCATCAACAACAAGAGTATTCAACAGACAACGTTCCGTAGGATACAAAACGTTCCGTACAACAGCAAATTCTTCAATGACAAACCTGAGCGAAAAGACAGTGGCATGTACAAGATAACAGCGGTGAATCAATATGGATCTGACACAGCTGAAGTCGAAGTTACAGTTGTCTGTGAGTACTCGTTCATTTTGTTCATATATTTTTCTAGAAGACTCTGGTGACTTTTAAAATCGTAAATAATTTGACAGCTAAACCCGGTAAACCCGAGGGACCGCTCGAAGTGTCGGACATTCACAAAGAAGGATGCACGCTCAAGTGGAAGAAACCAAAGGACGATGGCGGTGAACCGATCGAAGCGTACCTCGTGGAAAAGTTCGATCCAGACACAGGTGTTTGGTTACCAGTCGGTAAGACAACTGCACCAGAGATGAAGGTAGAAGGACTGACACCTGGACACGAGTATAAGTTCAGGGTGAAAGCGTTGAACAAGGAAGGAGAGTCGGAACCTTTGGAGACTTACAGTTCGATCGTGGCTAAGGATCCATTCAGTAAGTAGTTACTCTGAAAGCAACGATTCGAAAGCAAGGACTTGACGATCGATTAATTCTCGTTTAGCTGTTCCAAGTCCTCCGGGAGCACCGGAACCGGTCGACTGGACTGCCAACCAGGTTGAACTGACTTGGAAAGAACCTGTCAGCGACGGTGGTTCGCCAATCACCGGGTACATAATCGAAAAGAAGGATAAGTACAGTACAATGTGGGAGAAGGCACTGGAAATCGAGACACCCAGCACGAAAGCTTTGGTCCATGGTTTGATCGAGGGCAACGACTACCTGTTCCGAGTAATAGCCGTGAACAAAGCTGGTCAATCGGAACCAGGAGATGCCAGCAAAACGTTTACGGCTAAGCCACGATTCTGTAAGTGGATTTATGTTTATTATGTTTATTTTTCACAACACACGGGCACCCATCCAATTGCTTTTACCGTCGCGTTGTATCCCTGACACGAAAGAAACGCGTATCCTCGTGGTAATTATACGATCCTATGTACCATTGACAATCACGGCGCACCAACGGCTCCATAAATAACCGTTATTGAGATTGATTTTTGGCACTATCGACGAATCGGTCACGTATAAATTTCATTCCCTCAGTGGCACCGAAGATTGATCGTCGCAATCTACGGGACGTCACCCTGTCGGCTGGTTCGTTGCTCAGATTTGACGCTAACGTAATCGGCGAACCACCACCACACATCGAGTGGCGATACGGAGCCATACCTTTGCACTCGGATAGAAAAGTGCAAATCGACAATTCAGAGTACAGTACCAAGTTCAGCATTCGTCCCGTGTCGCGCGACGACAGCGGTGATTATACAGTCACGGCAAGCAATTCATCCGGAAGAGACTCCGTCACGGTACAAGTCACAGTCACCGATAAACCGATGCCGCCCGAAGGACCGCTTCAAGTCACGGACGTTCACAAAGAGGGATGCAAACTGAAGTGGAAGAGACCGAAAGACGACGGTGGTACTCCCATCGAGTACTACCAAGTCGATAAAATGGACCCAGAGACTGGATGCTGGGTGCCTTGCGGACGCTCTACCGAACCTCGTAAGTTTCCTCGCTATTTCGAGAAAGAAATAAAAAATAAAAGATAAGAAATAAACGATTAAACTGCTTTCGTGTATCTAGTTCTGGAAGTGACGGGATTGACACCAGGCAAGGAATATTTGTTCCGTGTAAGTGCGGTAAATGCCGAAGGGGAGTCCAAACCTCTGGAAGCGGAACACGCGATATTAGCCAAGAATCCATATGGTGAGTGAATTAAAACAAAACGAAACTAAAAACGAAACGAAAAATAAACCTGTCTGTTTTCAATTTCAGACGAACCAGGTAAACCTGGCGATCTACGAGTCACCGATTGGGACAAGGACCACGTCGATCTCAAATGGACTCCGCCCGAGAGCGACGGTGGCTCGCCTGTCACGGGATACATCATTGAAAAGAAAGACAAATACGGTGAATGGGAAAAGGCTCTCGAAGTGCCGGCGGACGAAACATCGGCAACCGTTCCCGACTTGATAGAAGGCCAACCGTACGAGTTCCGTGTACGAGCCGTAAACAAAGCTGGCCCCGGCGAGCCTTCCGATGCGACGCCAACAATCATTGCCAAACCGCGAAACCAAGCGCCCAGGATCGATCGTACAAATCTGGTGGAGGTCAGAATCAAAGCTGGTCAGAATTTCAGCTTCGACGTGAAGGTTACCGGTGAACCTCCACCAACCACCAAATGGACGTTGGGCAAACGCGAGGTCAGGCCCACCGATCGCATCAAAGTCAAACACGTCGATTACAACACCACCCTCAGCGTCAGAATGGCAACCAGAGCTGAATCTGGTAAATACACGATCACAGCCGAGAACATAAACGGCATGGACGAGGCAGTGGTCAAAGTGACGGTACTAGACAAACCTAGCCCACCTCAAGGACCGCTTAGAGCATCGGACGTGCACGCCGAAGGATGTAAACTAACTTGGAAACCTCCGGAAGACGACGGCGGTCAACCGATCGAAAAGTACGTCGTCGAAAAGATGGACGAAACGACCGGTCGTTGGGTACCAGCAGGTGAAACCGACGGACCTGAGACGTCTCTTCAAGTGGACGGGCTCACTCCGGGTCACAAATACAAGTTTAGAGTACGAGCGGTTAACAAACAAGGCAAATCGGAACCGCTCACTGCTATGCAAAGCGTCGAAGCAAAGAATCCGTTTGGTAAGCGAACTTTCAATTTCTATCAATCAAAGATGTAACAGATTGTATTATCATTTTGTCATTTTCTAATTTGCAGACGAACCAGGAAAGCCTGGCACGCCAGTCGTCAGCGATTACGACTCTGACTTTGTCGAACTTCAATGGGATCGTCCTCAAGAAGACGGCGGTTCCCCCATTACTGGTTACATCATAGAGAAGCGAGACAAATACAGTCCTACTTGGGAGAAATGCGCGGAAGTCGAGGGTGACGTGAATCGTGGAAAAGTGAATGATCTTGTCGAAGGGACCCATTATGAATTCCGTGTTAGAGCGGTGAACAAAGCTGGACCGGGTGAACCGTCCGACGCTTCTAAATCCCACTTGGCGCGTCCTAAGAATCGTAAGTATTCGAATCCTCGATTTATCGACTGGTCTCACCCCTCGCCACGATGAATTTTTATTAATTTAGATAACAATTTTATTTTCAGTTCCACCAAAGATCGACAGGAAGTACATGTTGGATGTGAAAGTAAAAGCTGGTGGTTTCTACGACTTTGACGTTCCGGTAATCGGCGAGCCACCTCCAACCAAGGAATGGTCGCTAAAGGGTACGGTCATCATACCGACGGATCGTATCAAAATCGTCAACGAAGACTACAATACCAAAGTTCGCGTAATGGAAGCGAAACGTTCCGATTCTGGCGTATACACGTTGGAAGCCAAGAACATCAACGGCAGAGACAGCGCTACCCTAACCGTGAACGTTCTCGACGTGCCATCTCCGCCGGAGGGTCCGTTGAAGATCGACAGCGTGACAAAGAACGGTTGCAACTTGAAGTGGCGAGCACCGAAAGACGACGGTGGCTCGGAGATACAATATTACCAGGTGGAGAAGATGGACACAGAAAATATGCGATGGGTACCGGTAGCAGAAGCAACGACCACTTATGCTCACGTCGATCATCTGATCGAGGGACACGATTATCAATTCCGCGTGCGTGCCGTTAACAAACAAGGAGAATCTCAACCGCTTACCGGTATGGATACGATTACTGCTAAAGATCCATTTGATAAACCTGACAAACCGGGAGCACCGGTCGCTACCGACTGGGACAAGGATCGCGTCGACCTGGAGTGGGCAGCGCCGAAGAAAGACGGCGGTTCACCCATAACTGGATACATTATCGAGAAACGACCACGTTTCGGACAATGGGAGAAGGCGCTCGAGATCGACGGAAATAAGACTAACGCTAGAGTACCGGATCTGATAGAAGGTCAAGAGTACGAGTTCAGAGTCATCGCTGTGAACAAAGCTGGTCCTGGTGAACCCTCGGAAGCTTCTGCTCCGATCGTCGCCAAACCACGATTCCGTAAGTGAAATATCCTCCTAGGCCCAAGTATTGTACTTCGACTCTAACGTTAAACGTTTATTACAGTTGCTCCATCTTTCGACCCGCACCTACTGAACGACCTTGTCGTTCGAGCTGGACAGAAGATCAGCTACATCATTCCCATCCAAGCTTCGCCTAAGCCTGTGGCCACATGGTCGCTGGAAGGTGCAGTAATCATGGCCGATTCTCGTCACGAAATGTACACTACTCACACCGAAACTACCTTTGAGATACCATTCTCCGTTCGCTCTGATACCGGTCGATACACATTGACTCTCGAAAACGATCAAGGAAAATTCAGGTAATTATCATTAACTCACCATAGGACGGATTTTTTTGAAAGGTCTAAATTCAGTGATGCATTGTATACGAAAATTAAAATGTTTCAGCGCGAGCGCTAGAGTCACTGTTCTGGACAGACCTTCGCCACCACAGAAACCACTACAAATTAGCAATATTACCAAAGAAGGTTGTCATTTGACTTGGGGTCATCCGGCGGACGACGGAGGTAGTCCTATCTTGCACTACATTATCGAAAAGATGGACCTGTCTCGAGGCACGTGGTCCGATGCTGGCATGAGCACGATACTGAGCCACGAAGTAGCCCGATTGACGCATCGCAAAGAGTATCTGTTCCGAGTTAAGGCTGTTAATTCCATAGGAGAATCCGATCCGCTCGAAGCACCCAAGAGCATCGTAGCGAAGAACGAATTCGGTTAGCGCATTCTTTATTAATTGTTTCATCTTTCAATGCGTTTATTTTGCGCTTACTAACGGGACAATTAAATTCGTTTAGACGAGCCAGACGCACCTGGAAAGCCACAGATTACGGATTGGGACAAAGATCACGTGGATCTGAAGTGGCCAGCGCCAGGCAGCGACGGTGGCTCTCCGATCACAGGATACATTGTTCAAAAGAAAGAGAAGGGTAGTCCTTACTGGGTTAACGCTGTCCACGTACCACCTAATCAGACAAGCGCAACCGTTCCCGACTTAACGGAAGGACAAGAATACGAATTCCGTGTGATCGCGGTGAACGCAGCCGGACAATCGGAACCATCCGAACCGAGCGACCTCATCACTGCGAAACCTCGTTACCGTGAGTTTTCACAACAAATAATGATAATGATATCATTTAATTGTGCGTTTCGCTAATGGTCAAACTGAATCGTTTCAGTGGCTCCAAAGATCAAGACGCCTTTGCAAGACATCCGCATCAAGGCTGGCCTCATCTTTCACGTTGACATTGATTTCGTCGGTGAACCAACGCCGGAAGTCAGTTGGACCGTAGGAAGCCAAGAACTGCAAACGACCGAAAGGACGACCGTTACTTCGATCGGTTATCACACCATCGTTCATACCGTTAATGCTCAACGATCCGATTCTGGCCTGTATCACCTGTTGCTGAAGAACAGTAGTGGAATAGACGAAGGTAGTTTCCAGGTGATCGTTCTCGACAGACCAGGCCCGCCAGAGGGTCCTTTGCAATACGAAGAGATCACGAGCCAGTCGGTTACTTTGTCCTGGAAACCACCCAAGGATAACGGTGGTAGCGAAATTACGTGAGTAATGATAATAGTTGAAAAGTTTCCAATAAAAAACGCGATACGACGAAACTACAGGATAACGTTGCGTTTGTTCCTTTTCACAGTGGATACGTAATCGAGAAACGTGATTTGACTCACGGTGGAGGCTGGGTACCAGCGGTAACCCACGTTAATCCCAAGTACAACCACGCCACCGTTCCGAGATTACTCGAAGGTACCACGTACGAGTTCAGAGTGTCCGCAGAAAATCTTCAAGGACGTTCCGAGCCGCTGACCACCGACCACTCGGTCGTCGCCAAGAACCAATTCGGTAAATTTCAAATTTACTGTCGAATATAGTAAATTTACGTCTAACCGTTGCAAACATTTTGTTCATTCAGTTGCACCTGGACAGCCTGGCAAGCCGGAATGCGTCGACGCAGACAAGGATCACATAAAGATCAGGTGGACAGCGCCCATCAGCAACGGTGGATCGAAGATCATCGGTTACGACGTGGAGCGTCGCGACCGTGCAACCGGTCGCTGGCTAAAGTTGAACAAAGAGCCTGCGAGGTACGCTGAATATTACGATGATCACGTAACCGAGGGTCACCAATACGAGTACCGTGTCACGGCTATAAATGCCGCCGGAGCAGGCAAACCTAGCGACACATCTGCGGTGTTTATCGCGAAACCGATGAAAGAGAAGCCGAAGTTGAATCTCGACGCACTGATAGGACGTAGGATCAAAGTTCGTGCCGGAGAACCGATCAACGTTAACATTCCATTGTCCGGTGCTCCAACGCCTACCATCGAATGGACCAAAGACTCAAAGCCTCTCGTCGAGACTTTGCGAATCACTGTAAGTAAAAGGCACGGCATTGTCGATAAGTTTTTACCTAATATCGATAAATAATTTTTAGACCGAAACGAAGAGCGACCGCACAAACTTGTCGATCGAGAAGTCGGTACGGGAAGACGGCGGTCTTTACACGATTACGGCAACGAACGAGCACGGCAAAGATTCAGCCGACATCGAGGTGATCGTGGTAGACAGACCAGGACCACCCCAAGGTCCTCTTCAATACACTGGCACCACTCAAGAGTCCGTATCCTTGTCTTGGAACCGACCACTGGACGATGGCGGATCCGACATTACCAACTACATCGTCGAAGTATCGGACTACGGAGCAGACAATTGGCGTCAAACTCCTGGTTATTGTCCGAGAACCAGCTACACTGCCAAAGGACTCACCGAGGGCAAAAAGTATGTCTTCAGGGTACGAGCGGAGAACATGTACGGTGTTTCGGAACCGTTAGAAGGGAAACCAGTTATCGCCAAGAGTCCGTACGATCCACCAGATGCACCAAGTCAACCCGAAATCCTTGGCTACACACCCAACAGCTGCAGTCTCCTCTGGACCCCACCGGTCAATACCGGTGGCAAGCCTATCACTGGTAAGAAACGTTATTTTTTACAATATTCTATATTCGCATACATTTAAATATCATCTTTTTCAATTACAGGATATTACGTGGAGAGGCGTGAACGCGGTGGCGAATGGTTGAAAGTTAACAACTATCCAACTCCAAATACAACCTTTACCGTGCAAGACCTTCACGAAGGATCGAAATACGAATTCCGAGTGATTGCTGTTAACGAAGCAGGACCTGGTAAACCTAGCAAGCCTACCGAACCGATCACTGCTGGACATCAACGTCGTAAGTAGAACGAAACAAGTACCTAAGTGCTTTAACAGATCGATTAACTAACGTTTACGATACGATGTTTCATCAGTACGTCCTGATGCTCCCGAGCCACCGAAACCTGACAGAATAACGAAGGATTCCGTGACGCTTAGCTGGCGTCCACCGCGCAACGACGGTGGTGCCAAGATCAGAGGATACATAATCCAGAAGAAGACAAGAGCTCAGGACGAATGGGACGACGTAAACGGTGCATTGATACCAACGAACGTTTACACGGTCCCGAAACTGACCGAAGGCGAAGAGTATCTGTTCAGGGTGATCGCGGTGAACGATGTCGGCAAGAGCGATCCGAGTCGCGCGAGCAATCCGATCGTTATCGAGGAACAACCCAACAAACCCGTCATGGATCTTGGTGGAGTTCGCGATATCACCGTTCGTGCAGGCGAAGACTTCTCTATTCACGTGCCATACATCGGTTTTCCGAAACCAACTGCCACCTGGTTCGCTAACGACGTTATCAAAGATGAAACCGACTCACGAGTACACCAACAGTTGGGTGATGACTATGCTAGGTATCTATTGAAACGTTGCTTTTCTAAACGGATAAAGAACTGTAGACTATTAAATTCTTTTGATTACAGCTTGGTGGTGAAGAATTCGAAGCGTTCGGATGGCGGTCAGTACCGTCTGCAGCTACGCAATTCTTCCGGCTTCGACACGGCCACTGTGAACGTTAAAGTTCTCGATCGTCCAAATCCTCCCGTGAATCTCCATGCCGACGAATTTGGCGGAGACGCTCTTACTCTCTTCTGGAATCCACCGAAAGACAACGGTGGCGCCGATATTACCAACTACGTGGTCGAGAAACGAGAACCAAAAGGAACGTGGTCGAAGGTTAGCAGCTACATCACAACACCGTTCGTCCGAGTAAGGAACCTGATGGTGGGAAGCATGTACGAATTCCGGGTGATGGCTGAGAATCAATACGGCACCTCGGATCCTGTTACGACGATGGATCCGATCAAGGCTAGACATCCGTTCGATCCACCTGGAGCACCTGGTACTCCAAGAGGCGTCGAAACCACCGAAGACAGCATCACGATTACCTGGACCAAGCCTCGTCACGATGGAGGCTCTCCTATTCTTGGATACGTTATCGAGAAACGACTTCTGAGCGAGGACAAATGGGTGAAAGCCACCCCGTCTCTCGTTCACGAGACTACTTATAGGTAAGTAGTTAATTTAAGAAGAATTTTTCACGCGAATACACAACGCTGTTTGAATTTATACAGAGTGACTGGATTGATCGAAAATCACGATTACGAGTTCCGCGTAGCGGCTGAAAATGCAGCTGGCCGTGGACCATGGAGCTCCAATTCCGACGTGATCAGAGCCAGTGCACCGCCTTGTAAGTATTCCTCGAGAAACGATTTCAAAGAGCTACGATCGATCGTCGGCGATTACGTCTCGAATGAAATTCGTTCCAGTCCCACCAAAGATCACGTCCGATCTGAGCATTCGCGATATGACGGTGATTGCCGGAGAACCGTTCACGATAACGGTACCATACACGGCAAATCCAAAACCAAGACCAAGCTGGTCCATCAACGGCGAAGAAGTCCTTACCGGAGATAGGATCAAATTTGATACCACGGACGTCGCCTCGCAATTCATCAACAAGAAAGCCAAGAGATCCGACACGGGAACTTACACGATTTATCTGACGAACACCGTTGGCACAGACTCTGCTTCCTGCAAGGTTCTCGTTGTCGGTAAGCATATTTCTTCCAACTAGCCATGTAGATTTAATTCGTTATACTTGAAATCAATCGAACTTTTTTATTCTGTTCGCAGACAAACCATCACCGCCGCAAGCACCTCTCGATATATCCGACATCACTCCCGAAACCTGCACGTTGTCTTGGAAACCACCGTTCGACGATGGTGGTTCACCTGTCACGAATTACGTTGTCGAGAAATTGGATCCGGCTGGCGTAAGTTTATATATTTATAAATTACAAAAACCTCGAGATAAGGATAAGAAATTGATGTTAAATGTCACGAATGGTTCTAGTATTGGGTAAAACTGAGCAGTTTCGTGAGGAACACTCACTATGACGTGATCGGTCTGGAACCGAATCGCACGTACAACTTCCGTGTTCGCGCGGAGAACCAGTACGGAATATCGGATCCGTTACAAGCCGACGAACCGATCACCGCCAAATTCCCATTCACGGTGCCCGAACCACCTGGACAACCGCGCGTTATCGATTGGGACACGTCGAATGCGACAGTTGTATGGACTCGACCCATATCCGACGGTGGATCTCGTATTCAGGTACGTACTTTGCTGTCTCGATACCATTCCCGTAGCAAACAACCAATTTATTTCTTCTTCAGGGTTACAAGATCGAATTCCGCGATCCTGCCGACGATGCTCAATGGCGAGTGGCAAACGACTACCTGGTCAAAGATACAACTTACATCTGTTACAATCTCTTGAGTGGTCACGAGTACGAGTTTAGAATAAGAGCAAAGAACGCTGCCGGCTTTAGCAAGCCTAGTCCACCTTCGGCACCGTTCAAATTGAAGAGCAAGTTCAACGTACCTTCGCCTCCAGGTACACCACAGGTAGTTAAAGTTGGCAAGAACTACGTTGACCTGAAATGGGAGGCTCCGGTATCGGACGGTGGTAGCCGCATCACTGGTTACATAATCGAGAAGCGCGAAGTCGGAAGCGCTCTTTGGGCAAAGTGCAACGAGTACAACGTGACCGATACCGAGTACACCGTTTTGCATCTGATCGAGCGCGGCGACTACGAGTTCCGTATATTTGCGGTGAACGCTGCGGGAAGATCCGAGCCGAGCTCTTGCACCACACCCGTCAAGATCTGCGAGGTCGAAGGTGGGGAGAAACCAGAATTTGTCAGGACTCTGCCGATCAGTCAACACACACCGCTCGGAAAGATGCTGGTACTCGAATGCGAAGCTACCGGAAAGCCTTTGCCAACCGCCAGGTTAGTATTCGCGAAATCCTATCTTATTTTCCGATTACAATCAAATTTCTACAATCTTTACGCTCAATTAGGTGGCTGAAAAACGGCAGAGAGATCACGATCGGTGGTCGTTTCCGAACAGAAGCGTTCGACGGTATCTACAGGTTGATTATATCAGAAGTATGGGACGCGGACGCTGGCGATTACAGTTGTCAAGTATCGAATCCGCTCGGTATAGCTACGACAACGTGTTGGTTGAAGATCGGTACTCCGCCTCGCATCGAGCGCATGCCGGATGACTTGTACCTAGCCGAGGGAGATAACACCAAGATCAAGATCTATTACAGCGGCGATCAACCGATGGACGTTACTTTGAAAAAAGACGGGCACAAGGTGGTGGAAACGGGTCATCTCAAGTACACGGTGTTCGACGAGTATCTGATCATCTTTATAAAGGATATTCTAAAGGAGGACGCTGGCGTTTACGATCTGTCAATATCGAACGACAGCGGTAGCGTGAGCGGTTCCTTCAACGTCTACATCACCGGTCTACCCGGACCGCCAACAGGACCTCTCGACGTCTCGGACATTAATAAACACACTTGCACGCTTTCCTGGCATCCACCGAAATTCGACGGCGGTTTACGCGTTACTCACTACGTGGTTGAACGTCGCGACGTCAGCCTCACACACTGGATCATCGTCTCCTCTTTCTGCAAGGACACCACCTTCATGGTGCAAGGTCTGACGGAAGGACAGGAGTACCTCTTCCGCGTAATGGCGGTGAACGATAACGGAATGGGACCTCCGCTCGAGGGTACCAATCCGATCAAAGCCAAGGCACCGTTCGATCCTCCGGGTCCACCGGGAACCCCAAAGGTGATCGAAGTCGGTGGAGACTTTGTGAACCTTTCGTGGGAGAAGCCAGAAACGGACGGCGGTTCGAAGATCCAAGGATACTGGATCGACAAACGAGAAGCCGGCAGTCAAACCTGGCAACGCGTCAACATCGTTATCTGCCTGCCGACTCAGATCAATATCAGCAACCTAATCGAAGGAAGGCAGTACGAGTTCCGCGTGTTCGCACAGAACGCCGCTGGTCTCGGTCCAGAATCGAAAGCTTCGACCTCGGTGAAGATCACCGATCCTCAAGCGGCCAAACCACCGGAAGTCATTCAACCGTTGCACAAAGTCAACTGCGTGCAATATCACAACGCGCAATTCCAATGCAAGATCATCGGTACACCGAAACCGACTATCACCTGGTTCAAGGGAGCACGCGAGATCGTCAGCGGTTCCCGATACAATATATATTCGGAGGGCGACGTGCACTATCTGATAATCCACGACGTCTTCGGCGAAGACGCGGACGAGTACTTCTGCCGAGCGGTGAACAAGTGTGGCGTGAAATCAACCAAAGGCGAATTGTTGATCAAGACACCGCCGAAACTGAACGTACCGCCTCGTTTCCGAGACACAGCATTCTTCGACAAGGGCGTCAACGTCGTGATCAAGATTCCGTTCACCGGTTACCCGAAACCAAAGATCAGCTGGGTCAGAGAAGGCGAGGTGATCGAATCCGGGGGACACTACACCGTCGAGGTGAAAGAGAGACACGCGGTCCTCACCATCATAGACGGCAGTCGAATCGATTCAGGTCCTTATCGCATCACCGCCGAAAACGATCTAGGCCAAGACACGGCCATCATCAAGATTCAGATCAGCGATCGTCCAGACCCGCCCAGATTCCCACAGGTGGACAACATTGGCCACGACTCGTTGGCCCTCAGCTGGAAACCACCGGTCTGGGACGGCGGCAGCAACATCACCAATTATCTGGTCGAGAAGCGAGAACATCCGATGACCAGCTGGATCCGAGTCGGAAATACCAGATTCTGCACGATGGCGGTTACCGGACTCAGCCCTGGCCACCAATACGACTTCAGAATTTCCGCGGAGAACATTTACGGCCGATCGGACCCGAGCGAAGTAACGCCTCTGATCACCACCAAGGGTACCGTCAAGAGGGAGTTCAAGAAGAAGGAATACCCGGTGGACGAGTCCGGCAAGAAGATTCGCGGACGAAGCGACGAGAAACCACGGGACTACGACCAATTCGTGTTCGATGTTTACAGCAAGTACGTGCCGCAGCCGGTTGAAATCAAACACATCTCGGTCTACGATAGATACGACATTCTCGAGGAGATTGGAACCGGCGCGTTCGGGGTGGTTCACCGTTGTCGCGAACGAGCCACCGGTAACATCTTTGCCGCCAAATTTATCCCCGTATCCCACGCGATGGAGAAGGAACTGATCAGGAAGGAAATCGATATAATGAATCAGTTGCATCATCCGAAACTGATCAATCTTCACGACGCGTTCGAGGACGACGACGAAATGGTGTTGATATTCGAATTGTGAGTATCAACGTTGATTTTTCATCTCGCTCTCTCTTAAATCTTAACTCTTTCTTCCTTTTAGCTTATCCGGCGGTGAACTGTTCGAGAGAATCACGGCGGAAGGTTATACCATGTCGGAAGCCGAAGTGATCAACTACATGAGACAGATTTGCGAGGCTGTAAAACATATGCACGAAAAGAACATCATACATCTAGGTAAATATGATTCTTCTTTTCGTTTTCTGCCCTTTTCTATCTTTTCATCGATCTTACCATTTTATTATCGTTATCTACCTTTCAGACATCAAGCCCGAAAACATCATGTGCCAGACCCGAAACAGTACCAACGTGAAATTAATTGACTTTGGTTTGGCCACGAAACTCGACCCGAACGAGGTTGTTAAGATCAGCACCGGTACGGCAGAATTTGCTGCACCTGAAATCGTTGAACGCGAACCAGTCGGCTTCTACACGGACATGTGGGCTTGCGGTGTACTAGCCTACGTTTTGTAAGCAATACTTTCCTTTCGCTTTATCGAACGCGATCTGCCTAGGAGGCTCGTTATGACCAAGAGTCAATTGCATCGATTTCACAGGTTGAGCGGTCTGTCGCCGTTTGCCGGAGACAACGACATCGAAACTCTGAAGAACGTTAAAGCCTGCGACTGGGACTTTGACGAAGAGGCATTCCGCGACGTGTCCGAAGAAGGCAAGGACTTTATCAGGCGGCTGCTCGTCAAGAACAAAGAGTACGTTCTAATCATGAATCTTCTGTATAAATCGTGAATGCTCTTTTTAAAATGAAATTTTACAAAAACGTTACGTTGATTGCGAAGGAAACGTATGACCGCTCACGAGTGTCTCCTGCATCCATGGTTAACCGGTGATCACAGTAATCGTACGACTCCGATCTCGAGCAGTCGATACCTCAGATTCAGGGACAGACTGCGAGCCAAGTACGAGAATTGGGACAAATACGTGCTTCCTATCGGCCGATTAGCCGAATACTCTTCGTTGAGGAAATTGTTGATCGAGAAATACAAGATATACGATTCCTGTTTCGGTAAGGGACAAAGTTACCTTGCTGATAAATAACGTCTTCTCGTCCACTTTTAATAATAATCGTTCCCTTCGTTTGCAGATCGACGACAAGCAGCGCCAAGGTTTGTCATCAAACCTACCAGCGCGTTCGCGTACGAGGGACAGAGCGTGAAATTCACTTGCCGCGTGATCGCGATCGCCGCTCCGACCCTTACGTGGTTCCACAACAACCAGGAACTACGACAATCTGTCAAATTTATGAAACGATACCACGGCGACGACTACACCTTCATCATCAACCGAGTGAAACTAGAGGACAGAGGAGAATACGTGATCAGAGCGGAGAATCATTATGGTTACAGAGAAGAAGTCGTCTTCCTGAACGTGCAACGTACGTATCAACTTTACTGAATTACTTACTAATCACTGTTCGCAAGGATAGACGATAATAATCAATGAAAATTTTCAGCGCTGCCTATTCAGATCCCGAAATACAGGCCAGAACTGCATCCAGTCCGAAGGAGAGAACCGCTTGGCTACAACGTTTGGATGGAAACGATCGAATCGGCACCGAGCTTCACCTTCTTGCTTCGACCGCGTGTCATTCAAGTCAGACAAACGTGCAAACTTCTCTGTTGCTTGAGCGGTAATCCACCGCCGACGGTTAAATGGTACAAGGACAGAGAAGAACTCTCGAAACATCATTATGCGATGACGAACGCGGACGGTGTGGTCACGATGGAAATAATCGACTGTAAACCAGAAGACAGCGGCAAATATCGTTGCGTCGCGACGAACAAACACGGAAAGGATGAAACTAGCTGCGTGGTCATTGTCGAAGGTACGTTCGTTCTTCAAAGGATCGTTAAATATTCTTCGAAGACGATTTATACTTGACGGTAATACACGTTTCCGGCGTGTCTGACCAACACTCATGAGATATTTGTTTTGTAGGCACCGGGGAAACCGAGGAGCAAGTTAAATTAGCGCACGACCTCCTACATTCCGGAGGTAGAGCCATAGAGTGTAGCCCCCTCCTTTTCTTTTCTCCCTGTACCCTCCAACTAACGTTCTTGTTTCGCGTTCTTGTTTGTAACCCTAGTCAAGATAGTACTACTGCCTCTAGGCGCATGAATCTTAAATTGTACCCATTCGTGTACAAAGTAGAGTAGAAATAGTAGCGTGTATTTTTTACTTGTAATATCAACAAAAATTGATACCTTAAAAAACGTGGTAATTTTCTTCAGATCGAAGATTCATCGAGCAACCGTTGAAACCAGCACCACCGCCGATCATAACGGTACACAAATCCAGCGGATACAGTGGATACAGTTCCACCACCACGCAGGGTCATAATTATAATAGTTCTACCACCAAACATAATTCCACTACTTCCTCTTCGTCCTCCTATAAAGTAAGTATAAATCGATTAAAGTTTTTCATAAGGGCGATAAAAATGTACGTTAATATTGGATAAAACAATTATATTATATAATATAGGCCACAGACTCCAGTACAGACAAACGAAGCGTCAAGAAATATGGACTCGATGCCACCGGCAGCCCATCCCGCTCTAGGAGTACGACCAAAGAACTAGCTTGTAAGTGAAACGCGTTACTTGAAGTCATAAACGAAAGAAACATCATAAGCAAAAGTTGAATTTTATCTTTCAAGATCCACCCGACGACTCGATGAGACCGCCGCAGTTTACAAAAAAATTGAGCGATCTGACGATCGGTGACGGAGAACAATTGGAACTCAGCGCGAAAGTTGACGGTGATCCAGAACCACAAATTACCTGGTTAAAGAATGGCAAGGTAAATTTATGAAACTGAACTTGTATCATATTTAATGTTTTAATCAAACATCGCGAAACTAAAGAACCGTGTTATTCGTTAGACGCTGAGCTCTTCAGAGATCATGAGTCTGAAATACAAAGCCGGAGTTGCCACTCTCATTATCAACGAAGTCTTCCCCGAAGACGAAGGCGAATACACTTGTCAGGCGAGTAACAGTATCGGTACTGTAACTACCTCTTGCAAGTTGACCATAAAACGTAAGTAACGAAAACAGAGGAGGAAACTAGAAAAGTGATCGAATCATCCGATCGTACGTTTCTTTTCAGCGATGACGAATGCAGCGGCAAAGAAAAAGACCGACGACAAACCTCCACAAATCGTGGACCATTTAACGAGCATGTTCGTAAAGGACGGCGAGGCCGTGATCTTGAGCTGTCGAATAATAGGCGCGAAGAAATTCGACGTGGTCTGGCTTCACAATAACAAGGAAATCAAACCTAGCAAGGACTTCCAATACAGCAACGAGGCCAACATCTATAAACTGAACATAGCCGAAATCTTCCCCGAAGATTCTGGTACTTACACCTGCGAGGCATTCAATGACGCAGGAGAGAGCTTCTCGTCGTGCACATTAAATGTACTTGGTACGTTAACGCGATCACGGAGAGAGAGATCGTTTTTCTTCAAAATATCTAAATACTCGATTCTGTCCGTAGTTCCAAACGAGGAACCGAAAAGTCCAGTTTTCACGACATTCCCAAAATCTGCAACGATAGGCGAAGGCGAATCGGTTACATTCGTATGCAAGACTGAAACCGCGCCTCTGAAAGGTAACCGATACAACTGTTTCTTACGTTATCGTAGATTTATCATTGCAACTGTCGCTCTGTTAATCAAAATCCTAACGAGTACTATGATTTTAATTATACAGTAACGTGGCTGAAAGACGGAAAAGCGCTCCCAGAGACCAGCAGCAGGTATCTCTTCAGTTCAGACGGTGACAAATCGTTCGAGTTGCGTATTAAAGCGTGCACGGCCAGCGACGTGGGTCAGTACGTTGCTCGCGCGATCGGCAAAAAGGGTGAAACCAATGCTGCTTTTGCCCTAAACGTTACAAGTGCTAACGAACTGTGAATTCACTGATTTCGTACGTGAACAAATCGCAACGCGACAAAGTTGGGTGAGATTTATTTATTTTTTACCGTTCTTTCACCCGTCTATTATCGAATAGCGTTACCATTTCTTCATCTTGATATTACTTTTCTCCTTTTAATTCATCTCTTTTCAGCATCCACAACGTTATCGAGAGAAAATCATGTAAAAATGGACTGTACAAATTTGTGACTCGCAAATGAACGCGATCATAAAGAACGTGACGCTCGTGTATAAATGAGAAATTGAAAAAACTATTGTATTTGCACTGTTCTATATGTAAATTATCCTTGGAACGCTGTACTTTCTTTTTGTGTGTTTATCATATCGCAAAAACAAAAAAATCATGTCGTTATATGGTGAAGAATATGGCCAAGAATCCAAAGCGTTAAAGAATACGGATAGCACGCGCAATCTATTACGCTAATACGAGCTTTGCTGTATACACGAATTAGCATATTTTAAGTACATACAATAATACATAACGGCAGTACGAAAGGTAAGTCGAACCAGCAATGGTTCGTTGTAGCCCGTCCCGGCAAGATAGCCAGCATCCTCGTCTATTAGAACGTTAAATAACATCTTATCCTGCCTGGACGACTATAGTACGAAATAATTGATAGTACTGCCGTAATGTACGTCCTTATTCCATGTAATCGTACGCACCGTCGTGTTATACATGTTTGAAGACTGCTTCCGTTACAAAATTTACGATAAATAGAAAATGATTCTCAAATATAAAATTGTAGTTTTGCATGTCTCCTTCCGTTATACTATTCCTACTATAATACTGTAAACGAACCTTTACAGAAATATGTCCAGTCGGAGAAGAAATCACATTCAATCTTATGAAATTCTTTACTTTAGTCTAATTTCAAAATTACACAGTATCGTATAAAGTATTCGGATCGATAATGCTAATACATCTTAATGTAGGAATAAAACAATTTTCGAAATCTTTTCTTCTCTGTGTATGGAGATGCAAATATTGATGCTTTTCATCGCGATCAGTATTCAATATTATTAAATCAAAACCACTGACACACACGTACCTTATCCGATACGAATCATCTTGATGAACAGGTACAGTATCCATGATGTTTATTACTCTATGCTCTACGCATTGCTGTAAACAATCTCCCTTCTCGCAAACCGACACCTTTGCATCAATTCTTGATAGAACCATTTCACCTAAATATTCACCTTGTAGAAAAGTATTAAATTTATTGTAAAAAAACAAATTGAGAGCATTGAAGCATTATTTTTCTGTGTGTGTATATATACATATTTACCAGTTGAAAATAATGTTCTGTCATGCGTGAGAAACGCTATACTTTGTCTAGCAGGATTTTCAATTGATATGATTTGCCAATCATTGGTTTCTATAGAATAAATGTAAATGGATGATTTTAAGAGAAACAGCTTGCCATTAAAAACACAGTGTGGCGGAACTTCGGTAAAACTTTCAGGCATTTTACTTGTACATTTTGTCCAATTACCTAAAAACTTATGCAGTGTATTTTTATGTATACATATTTACAACTTCTACAAAACTTTCAGTTTTATGAAAATATTTCTAACCAGAATGAATATGAAGAATATCAACTGTATTCAATTTCAATCTATGCTTCCCTACACCACCTGCCAAAACTAATTTATCTTTCAAAAATACAGCTACCATATGCCTTCTGGGAACAGGCAGATGTGCTTGATAATACCACTTTTTTGATAAGAGACAATAACGCCAAATAATATCATTAAATTTCCCAGTTCCCAAACCCTTTTCTCCTCCAATTGTATACATACTAAAACCTAAAATATTATTTTCAACTATTATCATTCTTTTTGTTAGAAATTAACTCAACGAAATATACCTCTACTTGCAACTTGCATTCCAATTATCTCACTACCAGAGTCTCTGTTTTTTAACTGAATGCATTTGGATAAATCATTACCATTCCAGGTATATAAAAATGCATCCTTATTGGCAGACTCACACATATTATAAATAACAGTGCCATGTATGAATTTCAACTCTCTTTTATCTTTTATTTCCATAATATCTAATGTCTAAAATTAAAATATATTAAAAGATGCTATGAAAATAGTATGTAATAATATTACCCTGTGGCATTTCATCCATTCGTTTCTTATCAAATTCAGGTACTCTATGGAAGACCTTACATTAACATTTGCAATTAATTGAGTAATATTATCTTTGGTTAATTCAGTAAGCAAAGGTACAGGTAACTCTTCAAAGCGATCTAAACAGACTGACAGACAAACATCTTGTAATGTTTTTAAACTCAATTCTTGAGCCAATAACCATATATCAATGATTTTCTCTGGTAACAACCAATGTGAAATTATAACGTCTGTAACATCATCTGATAATTCATCAGCCGCAAACAATACACTCAATTGTAATAAATTTAATAATTCTATAAAGTTATGTTTTATAAATTTTATCAAAGAAACTTTTATAGAATTATACTGCGAGTATGTAGGGGCTTCGCCATCCTGAATCCATTCAACAAAATTCTAAAAACAGAAAATTTACCGTAAAGATAATATGTAAAAATCTCATTAAACTCATGCTAGTAAAAAACGTAGTAAGAACCTGTAAAGTAGAAAAGGTTATGTTATAATTAATAACATATTCCTTGTTATGAGAATCGTTAAAATTATGCGAAAATAGGGAAGCAAAGTAACAACTTTTGGATGCAAGTTTTTGCTTATCGACTTCGATATGGTTTTCATTATGAATCAATGTTATATGTCCCTCCATGATGTATCATATACCGCAGTTCACCAGAGTCCATAACTGCGAAAAGACCAGTTTTCGTTCTTTGCGCATCTCCAGTACGCATCTTCGCCCTGATTGGCGATACTCTCACTCCCATACGCTTGCGCACAGCGTCGTTGAGGCGCCTCCACGCGGTGCATCTACGTGAAAGTGCATCATTTGGGGTCTATAACAGGTAGCACGGATTTTAACTCACGTGTATCATTCTGTATTCTTTCTATTCAATCGTACTATTGTTTCAATTTCAATATTTTATCATTTTTTGATGATGTGGGTAATATAAAAAGCAGACGACGATTCTTTAGGGCCTCCTGAACAAATTTCTCAAATTTCTTTGCAATCTCTCGTCACCAGTGGGCGCTTTTGACACAGAGGCGCCATTATAACCGAGAATACATACATTCTGAAGTCGGGAGTGGTTATACAAAAATTGTTGTGATAGTGCCATCTAGAAGCAATCGTAGAGTAATATTCATGCAATCCACTGGATTTTTCTAGATTCCTCTCTACATTTAACTTATATCACGCTTGCGCGAATTCTACTTGTTGCACCGCAACACGTCTCGTGGTCAGCATTTTTCCGAAGCTTTCTTAAAAGCCCATTAAAGTTGTAGTAAATCGTTATATTCAATTCGTGAAAAAATGGCAAACTACCATAAACCGGAATCGAAAACCATTCAAGAATTAAAAGACATCGCAACAAAGTTGAGAATTCATTCAATCAATGCCACACAAGCCAGCAAATCCGGGTACGTGCAATAATATAATTTTATAATTGTAATTCAATAAGTTATTAAATATCTTTTCTTCGGATGAACAGATATCGATATTTACTGTATTTAATTATGCTATCACATGCTACGTTTTTGGAATAAATATCAAATATTAGAAAAATCGCGCGCGAAAGTTATTCCGATGAATGCGGCACGAAATTTACTTGCTTTATTTTGTAGATACAATAATTCGGCGGTAATTAGCTGCAACAATAACCGATTACGTTATACATTGACTTTCCTTATTTTTCTTTTCTCTGTAGACATCGTGATTTTAGAAATTTTTGAATCGCACGATGTTAATTCGGATTTAGAAAGTTTACCTAGCGATGTAATACTACTTACATTTTTAGCCGCTTACATCGTAATACACAGTTCAAGGTAATGTTATAATTGCGGTTCTTATTTATGCATTTAACAGCAAACAGAATAATATTTATATAACATTGAAAATTTTGTTTTATTGAAATAGTTCCTTATCATTAGTGTTTGTTAATCAGTACCTAAAGAAAGGGTTATCGCGCGTGTGCATAGATATTCCATCCATCCTAACCTGGAAAATTGTAGATTCGTAATATGTGTTAAATATGCAAGATTTTCCAATAAATTAAAAACAATACTCGCCTAAATGTACATTTCGTTAATAAATTTCGAAATATTCCGACCGTGAATTGTACTCTATGTATAATTAATAAAAATGATGATTTAGGTATATGCATAAGGCATATATTGTTACGGGATTAACAGTGTAACAATTTCCAAAAATGTTTAAAAAAAAATAATGCTGCACCGGTTCTCAAAACAGGCTTATACATGAATTTCTTTCTATAGATTTTGCACACAGCAATAGTGCGTCCAACACGTGCATATTAGGGTAAAGCACGTTAGTGACGATGAGTCGTTATATAACGCGCGTACGATGAGACTGAATAATCGAGAATATATCAAGGTTGACATGTTTCACGAAATTATCATTCATGATTTTTTGACCCCGAATGTGACAAAAACGAAATGAGTTAGTTACATATTTTGAGAATAAAAATTTTCTTTCTGAATAGCGCGGTAAAAATATTCTCATTACGACGCGCATCCCTTCCGGTTTATCCTATGTCCTATGGTATAGATTTAGAAGAAAGAAACATTATTTAAATCGAATTTAAATTTTAAACGCAAAAGAAATTATATTAGTTATGTTCTTGATAGTAACCAAAATATATATGTATAGTGTGATAATTTAAAAATAATTCTGCTAAAGGGATCCGGCAATTCCGAAACGCGTTATGAAATTGTTGCTGATAAAGTATCCATTATCTAACTAAGCGTGTAAACGCACACTTTTTTATTTGCACATTATGACCTATAGAAATGGTAAGTGGTGATATGTAGTGGTAGTATGTATCGGGAATAAGACCGGTAGGTTTCCACACGTATGAAACGTGAACACGTTGATTTTGAAATGTATTGTACACCGTCATGAAGACCGTAGAGAGGGGAGGTCCAGGGCGCAGTTACTCGTGGAAGGTTCAATCCCTCAGTTGTTATTGAACGCTTGTCGCGAAACGGTTTTTGGAAAGGTGTTTTCATAGTACAGAATGGTGCGCGATACGAACATGGAAAAACTTCAAGACCTTGCGACCAGGCTTCGTATTGAATGTATTCAAGCTACCGAAGCATCGAAAAGCGGGTACGATATAAGGGAAAAGTCTTGGGAATATTTAACAATATCTAAATATTTATTTTTTGCATTATTTTCATTTTAGGAATACACTATCATCTTTCGAACTATGTTCCAACTATTGACACGTTGAATTTTTTTTTTTGTCTACACTTCAACGGATCTCTGAAATATTTCAACTGGAAGAATTTGATAATAGATTAAAATATTAGAATCAATGTTAATCGACTGTTAAGAATTTATATAAATTCTTTTTTTGAATCATTAAGTATAAATATTTATCGGCGGTGATATGTTCAAATTCATGATCAAATATGGTAATTTATGCGATCAGGAGATACATGATTTGAATCGCATTAATTATTCGGTAACGAGTAAATGATATAAGAAACAAATATAAACGAAAATAAAATAAAAATTATACATATACTTCTATCACTACAGTCAAATAATCTTTCAGTGTAATTAATTAATATTTCTCTAAAAAATTTATTTTCACGGTAAAAATTGCATTAGAAATTATGTAATTATGATTTTGGCTATTCTCGACTTTCGATATCGGACAATCGTATGATCGAGATTAGTGACTTTGTGACCTCTAAAAGATAACACTTCGATTATGATGAATATTATGAAACACACATATACATATAATACCTAGAATCACGCGATTCTTATTGTGTTATCCAATTTTTTATATTTCCAAATTATTTAATTAATTTCAATGAAAAAAAAATGTATGCTTGATTTTTAGACATCCAACATCATGTTCGTCCATGGCAGAAATTATGTCTGTTTTATTTTTCCACACGATGCGTTACAAGGTATCGGCGCCACGTGATCCAAGCAGCGACAGATTTGTCCTGAGCAAAGGTCATGCGGCTCCTATCCTTTATGCGGGTAATTTTTTAAATATTCATATATTAAACGCTTTCATCAGGAATCGTTGTAACGCTGAAATTTTTGTTTTTATATTTATAGCATGGGCTGAAGCAGGTCTTTTCTCACCAAATGAATTATTAAATTTGAGAAAGCTTGACAGCGATTTAGAAGGACACCCGACTCCAAGACTGAACTTTGTTGATGTTGGAACTGGTTCCTTAGGTCAGGGTTTGTCAGTTGCTGCAGGAATGGCCTATGTAGGAAAAAATTTTGACAAAGCTAATTACCGGTATATAAATATTTAATGTTTATTATTTATTTTTTAAATTTGCTTTCACAAGTAAAATTCTCATTTGTTTTTATTATAATTTAGAGTGTACTGCCTTATCGGTGATGGAGAAGCAGCTGAAGGTTCAATATGGGAAGCACTGCACTTTTCATCTTACTATAAGTTAGATAATCTTTGTGCAATTTTCGATATAAACCGTTTAGGTCAAAGTGAACCAACATCTCTTCAGCATAATATGGAAGTATACCGCAAAAGATTGGAAGCTTTCGGTTTTAATGCGCTAGTTGTTGATGGTCATGATGTTGAAGAATTAGCCAAAGTATGTTTGTGCATGTGCAAATATAAACTGGCTGTAAATGTAGAAAATTTACAATAAAATTTTGTTTACTAGGCCTTCCATGAAGCACAGAACACAAAAGGACGTCCTACTGCTATTCTAGCAAAAACATTCAAAGGAAAGTATTTCCCGAATATTGAAGATTTAGAAAACTGGCATGGAAAACCCCTTGGCAATAAAGCAAATGAAGTGATTCAAGTAAGAACAAGAACACATATACCATAAAATAATGAATTATGTTTTAAAAACTATAATATACCACGTTTAATTACAGCACTTAACTGGAATGTTGAAAAATTCTGGTCCTCTAGGATTGCATCCACAAAAACCATTGGTTGATGATGCTCCAGTAGTAGATATTAAAAATATCAAATTAGCGACCCCACCAAGTTATAAATTAGGAGAACAAGTAGCTACTAGAGTGGCTTATGGTACTGCTTTAGCCAAGGTTTGCACATGTTTTTCTTTTATTCCAGTGACTAACGATAAGTATCGAATAACGATAATCGTTTTCACATTCTTTGTTTTATCTTGTTTCAGCTGGCCAAAAGTAATCCTCGCGTAGTTGCTTTGGACGGTGACACGAAAAATTCTACGTACGCCGAAAAAATTAAGGTCGTTGATCCAGCTAGATTTATCGAGGGTTTTATTGCTGAACAAAACGTTGTAGGAGTTGCAATTGGTGCAGCATGCAGAGACCGAACTGTTGCGTTTGTATCGGCATTTGCGACCTTCTTTACTCGTGCCTTTGACCAGGTAAAATAAAGCATCTTATGGACAGAAAAAGGGAAACCGAATAAATTCTTTTAAATATTATTTTTAAATTTTACAGATTCGTATGGGTGCTATTTCGCAAACGAATGTTAATTTCGTTGGATCTCATTGCGGTGTTTCCATTGGAGAAGACGGTCCATCGCAGATGGGTCTGGAGGATGTAGCCATGTTCCGTACGATTCCCGGTTCTACCGTGTTTTACCCAAGCGATGCCGTTTCAGCAGAGCGTGCTATCGAATTAGCAGCTAATACCAAAGGCATTTGTTTCGTAAGAACCTCTCGTCCTGCTACAGCAGTTCTGTACAAGAACGATGAGGTCTTTGCCGTTGGCAAGGGTAAGGTGGTTAAGTCTTCCCCCAAAGATCAAGTTCTCGTGATTGGAGCTGGAGTAACCTTGTACGAGGCACTCAAAGCTGCCGAAGAATTGTCTAAAGTAGGAGTACACGTACGAGTGATCGATCCATTTACTATTAAGCCACTTGATTCTCAACTAATTATAAAGAACGCTAAAGAAGTTGGAGGACGAGTGATTACCGTTGAAGATCATTATCCAGAAGGTGGCCTGGGAGAAGCAGTTCTTTCAGCAGTGGCTTTAGAAAAAAATATTGTAGTTAAGAAGTTAGCTGTACCGGAAGTACCACGCTCTGGTCCCCCGACTGCATTATTGGATAAATATGGAATCAGCGCACAGAAAGTTGTTGTTGCTGTTCAGGAAGTTTTAAAGTTGTAAATTTACCAGATACATAAAATTACGGGTATCGTAATAATGAGAACCGACTTATACGCAGAACGTACTGCCATATCAGAATATACACAGAATACAATTATTTTTATGATACAAATTCAAGAAAAAACTTATTCATTCCAGGTTGTTTTTATACATTCAATGTGTGCATAAATATAAAAAATTTGGTTCGCATTTATATGTCTACATAGATAGAAAGGTGTAATGAAAACATATATTTATACATATATGTTTTAAAGAGAGAACGAAGTTTTGTACACGAAGATCTAATTTTGTATGAATATTTGATGCGCGTACTATTTGTAGATACGAAATGTTTTTGAAACTACCGTGTTAAGGAGAAATAGATACATTTGGAAAAATAATTTTGGATGAACTTTATCCGTACCTACCTCAAGCTCACAAACATACATAATATTAATATTGTTAAACGTTAAGTTTGTGTATTACAGAAAAATTGAATGGAAATAAAAGAAGATTAAAAATTGCGCGCAAAATATTAACGATGAGGGAGGAAGTTGGAGCTTTGAAGAACTAACATAGTAAAAAAAATAAGAACTAGAAGAATCCCTAGATTTTCAGACCAGTCACTGTGAGAATGAAGTTTTGATTGGTCGAGAGACTAGTGTAGCTGTATATAGAGAGTGGAAGTTAGAGAAAGATAGAAAAGGAGAACAGACAGCAGCGCCACATTCCCCTGTTAAACAAGAAACGTCAACCATTTCCCGTTCTTCGCTCCGGTGTCTGGTTTGCTGTTCGGTATCCAAATATCCAGGCTGGCACGGTTAAATTTGTATATGTATGCGTGCGCACAAGTATCTCTCTTGATCGTGATTGTGTAGGTAATAGTAGTTGATCCGACGGCCATTGCGTATACGTACTGGAGCGGTGGCACGTGTATGTGTGTGTGCAAGGTATACACGCGTGTGCGTTTTCCGTTCCGCGATTCGCGTTCGCGTATCCCGAAAAGATGGCCGCCATGAAAGCGTACGGTGGTGATGTTGACGTCGTTCATAGCAAGGCCGCGTTACGTGTTCGAAAAGCGTGAAAGGAACGCGATCATTCGAATGTTTCCACGGTTCTCGTGGTGCGCTAATACGAGAACACGATACAACAAGAAAGTTGTTGGTAATTCGAGACGCGAGTGCGGTATTCGCAGGATCCCTCTTGTAGTGCTCGACGAAAACGACGATCGGGAGAGAGGAGATAGAAGAGAGGGAGAGCAAGCAAGGAACGTGTTCAGTACGGGGTTAAAGGGAATCATATGTGACAGAGAAAGAAATGGACGAATTATTTATCAAAGAGCAGAGGTAAGAAGGAAGGAAAGAAGAAAAGCCAGGGAGCGCGTGGAGAATACAACAGGGTGATACGGAAGCGAGTGATTGATAGAATCGTGGGTGGTGTGTGGTGCCGCGAGTAAAACAAATGCGTGCGCGTCGTATCCGAACAAGCTTCTCTCTTGCCAACAATATTCCGATTAGTCTGGTTTTCGCATTTCCTAGAAGTTGCGTTTTATGCGTGACTCGAAACTTTGTGTCAACGAGGGACGGCCATATTAATCCGTAGCCCCCGCCGTCACACATATTCGAAGAATCTTACCTCCTCGAGGTGGTGCCTCTAGTTTTACGATCTTGGTCACTTTTTTAGTGTGTACCCGGTGTTGCATCGTGTCTTTATCCTGTTGTGTCGTGCCGTACCGTATCGTATCGTATCGTATCGTGTCGTGTCGTGTCGTATCATATCGTATCGTATCGTGTCGTCTCGTGTCGTGTCGTTTCGTGTCGTGCCGTGCCTTGCTGTACCGTATTGTGCCGTATGTATGATGTGATTCTCAATCACTTGGATGTACGCGTAACATAGTCTTTAGATTTTTCCGGATGACGGTGCGTGTACGTAGTACGTGAACAGCGGCATTTGTGTGTACCAGCAACATAAACGACCGTCACTATACGAGTTCTATGCCGCTTGATGTTCGTGCATCGCACCGAGCAACTTACCGGTTCTCCACCATCGTGTCTACCCACTTTGCCAGCAGTACCACCCTTCCTAGACTCTGTACTACCCACAGAGTAAGTACACTACCTATATTTTTTCTTATATTTTTCATGTTTATATTTCTTTATTTAGCTTAAATAATACACTAAGCAAATATATATTTAGTTCTACGATACTATCATATGTTTTAAATGAGAAAATAATAGTAATTTGTGAAAGGTTCTGTCTTTAGCGAAGATACATATTAATATGTACTTCTTGCGATGGTTCATTGGTAACTTATTTTCAGAAATGATAGTTGTATAAAGCATCAAAATCTTTATTGGTTTTAGAGTATTCGCTTGTTTTGTCACATGTTGTTTGTTGATCGTATACTTAAGAAAAATAAGTAGAACTTGGCTATAAATAAAAGTATCCCTTAGAACATTTTTCTGTCATTATCTAGCTATTATGAGAATTATTGATGATACTTATTATTGCAGTAACGTACAAGGTATTATTTTCATTATTATTCACAAAATGAAGTATGCGAGACAAGTTTATCTACTGTAGATAAGATTGAGCACTATTTTGAAAAATATTTAAATAATATGAGTAGGGTAATGACATAACCTCATCTTGACAACAGTAGCATTATAATTTTACAAATACTTATTTTTACAAACAATTCAGATGTTAATAATGATAAGTGATAAGTTATGGTAATTGAAAAAGTGTTTTACATAAAGGACAGAATGTATGAAAGTACTTAGCATTGAAAAAGCACAGAAGAAAGAGTTGAGGTTATGGTAGAAGGAGGAAATGTTTTTTTTATTATTATTATTTATCAGTGTTACGATTACGCAGTATGTCAAAGGAAAAATAGTATAGAGAAGGATATCAATTGATCGCATTTGACATGCGAGTAATTTTTAGGGTGAAAAGACGGTTTCGCGACGATTAATCATTTCCCTTCTAGCAGCTCGGCCTATTTAATAGCGTGTTCCAGTGGCCTGTCGCTCGGCCTTTTTATACCGGTTTCAAAGGCGGTCGAGTGTACTTGGTATTTCGTAGCAGTAGTGCCGTTACGATGCTACACATGCGACATTTTTGTCACTATTAACAACACTATTAAATTTTTAAACGTGTCATTGATAATCCCGCGGTGATATTTAGAGTATTAAGAAAATTCTTTACTTTTCAAATATTTTTTAAATAAATAGAAAGAAACGATCATTTTCCGAATGACTTTGTCTGGTAACGGTGAAAAGGGGATTATTAAAGTATTTAAACTCAGCTTCTGCGATGTAAGTTTTGGTCCGGGCATTCGAGAAGAAGGAAAAGAGAAGGGAGAATAAAGTTTTCCCTTGGAAGGTATTGGATCTGGCGAGTGGAGGAAAGGCAAGAAATAGCGAAAGCATTTCTAATTTATCTTTGGAGTAATTGGACCGTTCTTTTGTGACTCCGCGTTTCATATTTTCTCGTGGAATCGACCAATTAAGTTTCCGATCTAAACCAAGGACCAGTTTTTCTCCTTTCAACTTGGTTGAATAATTGACTAAGGGAATTAATGTTTCAAGAGAAGCTCTCTTACTGGATCTGACATTTCGAAGTAGCAGTTCACGTAAGCAAGCTGTCGTTTGACCGATGACCCTCGTGCTAGTCAATGTGTTTACAAATACGACAGGTTGAAAGGATGAAGTCAGTGAAAATTTATCTATCCCGAAATATCATCAACTTATTTACAATCGTGATTTACTCTGATAAATCGTGATAATTCTTTCGGTTTAACTTTACGTTTCATTTTCCAATGTATTGTAATTAAATTTATTCGAGAGTAAATTGAAACGGGGTTGCTGGAAAAATGGAATTTCAATGGAAATTCGGATTCGATAGTATATACACGGTTATCGACGAACACATAATTATCTCTGCTCCTCTTTTCACGTTTATTAACTGGTTTAAAGCTGTAACAGTAGTGGAGTATCGAACGAATTCTAACGAATTCGTTACCGTTTCCCGCTCTCCGTTGCTTTCTGTTTTATCTTATCATAATGCTTTAATCTTTGCCGCGCAATAATGCACGAGTGCCGTTATAAACTGTATAATACCAGTAATATTCGATTCGTCGAGAGAAATCATTTTTCTATGTTAATCTGCTTTTCAGCTACAAGCGAGCCGAATAAAATAATCAACACAATTATTCGATCTGAACATTACCGAATCGGTTTAATCAATTTTCAAATTGACGTTCATTCCAAGGATTGGTTAAGGGTGATTTAATGTTACAAGATGTCTGGAAAAAAAAATTGGGTCCTCCGTATCCGGGGTGCTCCGTTTAAGCAGTAGGGGACAGAACGATCAGCTGATTTGCACTTACACGTCGAATCCCCCGTAAACACAAATGTAAATAATCTCTTAGTGTTCGATCGCTACGCAATTAGATTGTACGCGAATCTATACGCATTCGTTTGTGTAAGTGCAAGTAATATAGATGGATGCAATCAGCTGTTTGGTCAGTCGCTCAGTGCACCCCGGAAGTCGAATTTCCATCGCTTATATCTCGGAAACAATGCTTCTGATCGCAAAATCCTACTAAAGTTTTCAATTTGTTTTACCACGGAGAATCTACAGTTTTCGTAACAAGTGTTCCTATTATTATTTCCACACTGTGTGCATATTTCTGTGAAAACATCGTTGGAATTCGCAGCCTTCTTGTCTACACGTAGGAACGTCACCGTTCCGTCTTCTCTCGGCACTTTCCACGACTCAAGTTCCCTCGAGAGTTCTTCAGCCCTATCTCTGCGACAATACGAACTGCATAAGATTCGTCTTACAACCGCTTGCACTTACATACGTAGGGTTTTATCAAAGTTGTATGAATTGCTCCACGCTTGGAATTTATTTTTTTTCCCCCCCCGTTCAGAGATTGTTTCGAGTAAATTTTTTTTAGAAATCTTGCATAAGGAATAACATTTGTTGGCTAGGCGATAAAAATTTGTACGCAACACAGAGAACGTTTATTTCCCAGTTGCATCTTCCAGGGCGTTGACCAATTTTATAGGCAGACTAAAGTTTATGTATGTAGACCGGGGATAGAAAATGTTTCGAAAACGGAAGCTTGAAATGCCTTGAAATGGCTTTTTAGTAAACCGGCGAACCTGTAAATACGGCATTGCACGCGTTTCTCCTACAAGTGGAGACTTTGGTTGACGTTGAAGAGCTCCCTTGCACTTGGAGTACGATATTCGAATGTTTGCGTTGCGATTCAACTAAAATACAAATAAATATTTCAACGTAGTAGCATGTCGAGTTTCTGCTGAACTCGAAAGGACTCGTTTGAATGGAATATTCTCGAGTTTCGTGAAAATTCTGAAATCGTTGCCTATGAAACCTATGGAATCGCCTCGTTCTTGTTCAACCGTCTTCGATTCGTACGAAAGATTAACGTGCTTTTAAGCATTTGGTAAATGACTTTAAATCAGACTTAATCGACTTGCTAGCTCGATGTAATTCCGCTCGATTCAGATTATCTGGATAAGGCGAAACGAACGTTCATCGATGCTGGGGAGTAATATACGGTAGAAGTAATAGAAAAAAAAATTCATGCTTTGTATGGCATACGATAATACTAAAAGTTACTGCTTATAGAATGGATGAACTTTTTGATCGAATTTCTCAGAACGCTCTTTCTATTTTCATTTTCTATTTATGTAAAAGTATTCATAGAACGGTTATATTTTCCCAAGAACATAAAAAACCGTTAAAGTAGCCGGTAACTCACATTAAAGTTAATTACATTTAATTATATCGAATCGACAGCTTCGGTCACCGGTGAGCAACGTTCACATGTGTTCGAAAAAAACTCTGCCAGTTCTGGGGTAAGTGCCATGGGGTTCGTCACAGTCCTCTTACCAAAAGGCAATGCCTTCTTCGTTTCGTGGCCAGATCACTCAGGAACAAAGTCCTCGTTCTTTAGCAATACGGCGTTTCTCTAAACACTCTTCATTGAAACAAGCAGTCCTTCGATACCTGATAGCTGAGAGACCCAATACGAACATCGGCCATCCTCGGTTACCAGAATTGTTTAGTCTCACCCTCTTTCAAGTCCATCGAAAGCGAAATAGCGTCCGGCTATATGCCTTCGACTTAAAAACGAAAACGTATAAAACAATAAATATACGCGAAAGGTGAAATGAAAACACGAGGTACGTCTGTCGTTCACAACATGCGACCGTGCTATTATTATTTTTTTTTTTCTTTTCTGTTCGTTCAACGATGTCCCACGTTTTCCTGCTTATTTCCCTACACGCGACGCCAGAACACCCTAGTTCCCCCCATGCCACGAATCCACGCCTCTTCAATCAGCTGTGCTGCTCTTAACCTTTTCCTTGCGTTCAAACTATGCGTATATGTACAGGGTGGCTCGAATACTCCTTTATTATTCTTTACAATTTGAAATCTATAAACCGTTCGGTGAAATCAAAACAACGATGAATATCTTTGATCGAGATTGATAACCTCTCCACTTAGGACTTTACTCCAATCTTTATCGGTCACTTAAACGTTATCTCGATACGAAACGTTGGAACTCTACAATTCCGAAAAATCTATCTTTTTATCGTGTTCCCTTTTTTTTCTTTTTCCAAATCGGGGATCGTTGTTCTTTCGCTCGAAACTTTCCGTTTGCTTTTCAAACGTTTTCCACTATTTGGAGAAGCTTAATTAGAATGTGCAGGTTGGACAAATGAAAACACGGTTAGCACAGCCTCGACGCGACAGTTTAATTATACCAGAAATTTAATGTGATTTATTTGACACGAATTTCATCTGTAACTCCCTATTGGTCGGTTTGAACACCCTCCAGCCGAACACCTATTTCCACTCCCGTCACGTTCGTCTCGATATTTTTCTCGTGACGGGAATGCGCAGCGAAAGACCGATGCCTTTTCAAAATTATTATTATTAAGAAAACGTACTTTCTTTTAAAAAGAGAAATTCAAGCAATTGGGTGGCCAGCGAGTTGCGTGTCGCGGAATGAAATATTTAACAGTAGGGATGTAAACATAATTTTGTTTTTATCTTGAAATTGATC